ACAGAGGTATTCGATCGACCGACACGAAATAAGTAACAAATCATAAGTGAAAGAAAAAAACGAAAATCAGCCGTTTGACCCAGCAAGTAGAGCGTCACAAGAAAGTGGGGAAAAGTAAAACGCGTTGTTTCTGAAGGAGAGCGGTGCGGCCGCAGCGTGGTCTCGGGGCTGGGGTGCAGTGAGATGAGGTGACGCGTGAAATTAATTCCCAGACGTGTTAATCATAGCCTTACGTACCAGCAGTGCCAGCCGGGGGCGGGAGGGGGGGCGGGGGCAAGGCTTAAAGTAATTTACGGGAGCCATTTGCAGGCCGGCACGTCGCACTTATGGCCTGCGAAGACCGCCTCCCCCCCCCCCTCGTCCTCGCCGCAAGCGCCTCTCGGAGCTTGGTCCTAGCGCCCTGGCGGGTACCGGCCTACCCTCCCCCACCACACTGCCCTCTGCATTGACGGCCTCCGGGTTCAGGCCAGGCAGTCCCGAAAATGGCCACAAGGAGGGGGCCTTCGCTGGCGCCCGCCCCCGCAACTGCCCCGCCCTGCCGCGTCCCACCCTGCCCCGCCCCGTCCCGCTTAACGCGTCTTGTCACGGAGAGTGGCGTGCAGCCCCAGGAGGTCAAGAGAGAAGGGAGGGGCCACGGCGACGCGCTGGAGCTGTTGCAGGAAGGCTCTGTCTCCCGGTGCAGCCATCGGCGTGATCCGAAAAAATTGTCGTCAAGTACACTGCTTGACTGGCAGCAAAACACAGGCGCTGACAGCCGAGAGCGTAGAGGCGCCTCCTATAGCACAGCAAAAACTACGGAGAGTCGCTTCGAAGAAACTGAAGGCATTACGAAGAAATGCTTCGTGTTATGAAGCAAAATCCTTCTTAATACGAAGCATTTCTTCATTATACGAAGCAATTCTACAACGCCTTCAAGCAAATGCTTCGTAGGCTTTTAAGAGTGAGGAGGTTGGTTGTTCGCGTCCCACGTTTCATTTGCTCTTTTCTGCACGCCAACCGTGCGGTGCCCGAGGCGAGTCACGTCTGGAGTCGAACACAACGCCTTACCGAGGGCCGAGATAATCGTTGGATCATGTTCGTTACGAAAAGTTTTTTTTTCCTTCTGCCAAATGCCGAATTAGAACGTTGGTTCTAGAGTTTCCCCTCGCCCGGGCCCAATAACTCTCCCTCCGAATTTTTATGCCCCTATCCCCCTCGCTGCCACCGCCTTCGCCTGTACTCATTCGCAAATTGTGAGACATGTGGCTTTGACTGGGGCCCAGCGATAAATTCCATCGCGGCCCGGAATTAGCGTGCCACGCCCCGCCCCGCCCCGCCACGCCCTGCCATGCCCTGCCACGCCCCGCCGCCACAGCCACCCCCTGGACCTGCTGTGGGGCGACGTACTGCCGTCGGGCAGAAACCAAGGCAAAAACCACGGAAGCCGCGGTCGGGAGCGCGATGGTCCGCGAAGGCCCGGGCCAAACCCTGGGCCGGACCCTGGGCCGCCGAACTGCCCTCTTTATCTTTCATCCGTACCATTCCCCTTTCTCACGGCGCCCCGCAGATCCTCTGCCTCCACTCGGCATCCGTTTGCCCCGCATCATTTTTGGCCGCGCGTCTCTTGCTGCGTGAATGGACAATGCTCTCCTGTGTAGTGTGCATAGTGCGCTGGAGCTTTGAAGTGCCCCGGGCAAAGTCCGACTGGCCCGCACCGCCCCAACTGCCCGCACCGGGACCATAGACAGCGGCGGCAGCGAGGGAGGGTGCCTGGCCGCCTGGCCGTGGTGAGGGCGGGGTGCGGGAGGTGCTGGTGCCGCGCCAGCCCCGTGCCCCGTGAAGGGGCCCGCCCGTCCGGCAGCACCACAACACAGAGGTGTGAGCGGCAGGAAGGCGACCCTGCACTGTTCACTGCGAATAACGCGACTGCCGGAAGGCCGGGGGCCGCCGGGGGCGGCAGGGGAGGGGGTTAACGCGCCGGGGGCGATAACTTGTGGGAAACGGCGGGCAGGATGCAGCGCCGGGGGCGGCGGGGCGGGGACGGCGGGGGCAGCGGGGGCAGCGGGGACGGCGGGGGCGGCGGGGGCGGCTGGGGTGGCGGGGTCGGGGAGCAGCAGCCTTGTTCGATAGCGACCCGAATAGCGTCGCGACGCCACAAGTCGTGGGGCGGACGACAGACGTCGGACGTCATATCGCACCGCGGCGGGGCGGCGTGGCGGCGTGGCGGCCCCTGGCGCCCAGGCCGCCCTGCCGGCCCTCACCCCTCCCTTTGTAGCCAGCACAACAATTAGCCGGCGCTCCGCTCGGCTCCGCTCGGCTCCGCTCGGCTCCGCTCTTATCGCGGCGAGCGCTTCCAGACTTCCGGCCGAGGCGCCGAGCGCGCTGCCGAGACGCTCTACTGCGAGCGCGAGCTCTAATGTGATCTGCAACAACTTGGAGCATCAAGTGGAATGAACAGGGGGCGCTTGGCTCGCTGCACTGTCTTTGATCGAACGCGAATAAACAGAGCTCGGGACCCCCGTACATGAATAGTTAATTATAATTAAATTTGAAATTGTTGGCCTTTTGCGCGCCACCGACTAACGCCCCAGGCGAGACCGAGCGGCCGAGCCCTCTCGATGCGGATTTTTATTTTTATTAACTCATTTTTGGAGGGGATGCTTGTCACACACGCCACTCTTAGGTAATACGAGAGGTCTCTCTGACCCTGCTCTAACTTCGGGGGCCTGTCCCTCGAGGCGGTCCTCGAGGATCCCTCCGGAGCAGCTATCTCGCCCCTCCCCCTGACCCCCTCCCCTCTCCCCCCCTCGCGTGCGTTGGGTTGCACGGCGTCTCCACGCAAACCGCGCGCGCAAACTTTCCGCTGTCATTTGCACAACGGCGGCCGACGGCGGCGGTCGCGGCGTGTAACAAGAAATTACAAAGTTAGCCGCCGGCCTGTATACGGTTTAAATATTGAATTAAGAGCGGCTGGAACGAGTTTTACGAGAAGCCGGACGGCCGTTTTCCCGCCGTAGTCGCTTTCGCGCGGGCGATGACAACAGATTCCAGGAACTTGGAAGAAAAAAGAGAACAATTGTCCAGACACCTGGTAAACAATCCCCTCTTTTTCTCGAGTTCCTCCCTCTCAATCTTCGACGTTGTTCGCCCGAACTTGGTTCCGCTTTCCCGTGAGATAAAATCCCCCCGGGGATGTGTGCGCGTAATGAACACGGCGGGGGGGGGGGAACGGGGCAGGGGGGGAGGGGGTGACACGCGTCACCGTATATGAAGAGACACATTATGCATAACTCACCTGCGACGCGCGGGCAGGCGGGACGTGGCTCGCTCGCCGTAGCTTCGGCGGCTTCGGCCCCCGCGGGCCTTCCTCTTCCTCTGCCTCTCTCTCTCCCTCTTCCACGGCCCTTCATTGCCACTGCCTGCGGCTCCGCCCAAGGCTCCGCCGGGGCCGCGCCATCGCTCCCAGGTTCCGCCGGTCCGCCCGGCGAGGAGGCTCCCTTGACGTCGGAGAGGCCGACGGAGCGGCGGTCAAGACCTGGCGGTGTGCTGGTGGACCTGGCGGTGTGCTGGTGGACCTGGCGGTGTGCTGGTGGGCCTGGCGGTGTGCTGGTGGGCCTGGCGGTGTGCTGGTGGGCCTGGCGGTGTGCTGGTGGGCCTGGCGGTGTCCTGGCGGTGCCCGCAGCGGCCTGCCGGACGCCGGACGACGAGGCGCGAAGGTCCTTCACACCCCAACAGGTGGTCGCGGCGCGCAGGCCGTCGCCCTCGCCGCGGTGGCCGCGGCTGACACTCGCGCACTCTCGGCGACGCGCGTGCGGCGCGTGACGGGCCGAGCGGCGTGCCGCGACGCGCCGCGTGACGCGAGACGGGCGAGCGACGAGGACGCACGAGCTGGACCACGCGGCACCCGCCTTGGTGCTGCGCAGAGCTGCGGCGGCGCGCTCCTCCGTCCCGACTGTCCCGACCACAGGCGCCGACCGGACTGGCTGGCTACTGGCGGCGGCGGCGCGGCACCTCTCCGGGGCCGGTGGGGGGCGGGGGCGGGGGCGCCGCGGCGGCCGGGGTTGGGGGTTGGGGCCGCGCCGCCAGGGCCCAGGAGCGTAGCGCGGCGTAGCGCAGCGCGGCGCGGCGGGAGCGAGCATGCGCACTGGCGTGCTTGCCCTACGTCCTGCGAGGAAGCCCACGCCTCGCGCTCGCGAAGGGTTGCCTGCCTCAGATCAGGCAAAGCACTTTGCAGCGATTAAAGCATGAGAAAAGTATGGATGTTTAAAGAATTCCGGCAATTCTGTTGAAGAGTCATGAAGTACCGTCTTGGGGGAAAGAGCTGAATAGGGTATTTCGGAGCAGCCCTGGCCCGGAAGAAAAGACGCCCAAAAACGGAGTTAAAGGCAGTTTATGAGAAATAAACGCTGCGGATGCTCATCTGGGGTAATTTCTCATAGAAACTGCCATTTCTAACTTCCGATTTGGTTCTTCTTCTTGCCGGCCAGGCCTGCTTCGAAATACCCTATTATCGTGCTCCATCCGAACCCAAAGAGGACGAACAAGTTCTATGTGCGGTCGCCCAACAACATTGCGGCTACTCTAAGAATAGACCCATATCGGAAACAAATCAGCTTACTTATGGGTTTTGAAAGATCTCAACTATCAAAATTATAATTGGTTCAGTCAAAGTAGGCGGGACTAGGACCAAAGCAAATCTTTAACAGCCGACCCTTTTCAGGGGGTCTCATTGTCTGAGTGCTAACTGCGCCCGTCCCGATCATTATAAGGATTCAATCCCTTTGTAAGGTGCAGGTTCCGGGGCATCTTGGGGACTGTTTCCCACTTTCATCATGTCTGGCAGAGAGAGCCGGAAACCATTTGACATTCCAACTTTTGGCGCCCACTGGGTCTTCGAGACCGCGGCCGTGGTGTGGCCGTGGCCGTGGCCGGCCGGCCGGGGAAGTCCATTCCGCAGTCGCCGCGCCACCTAGCGGCAGAGTTGCCAACTAGAGGGCGACAGGGTTCGGCGGTTCTCCGGTAGATGGCGCTGGCTATGACGTCATGTCTGCTGTATTTTCTCCTGGCTGGTTGCAGTTCAGTGTTTTGAAGTGCTATTTGTTTATATTTTAGGATAATGGACGTTGAACTATGATACCGTTTTGCTCTGTTTCAAAATGGCATCAAATGAGGTTCGGACTTTACTCAACTCTCTTGAAGAATACGAAGCTCAAGTAAGTTCAAGATAAATGGCTCTTACTAACCTAAATTTTGAAAAATCTATAACATATCTGTGAGTGTTTTTAAAATGAGAAAGCTATTTAAATTTATGAATTGAACAGCAGTGGAAAGATTGTTTTTATGTCATCTTACTAATTCCTAACGTTTCATGTGTCATGCGCAGTTGCACCAGGTGAATGCAACTATCAATGCAGCATCAAATGCATCAGAGAAGGAAACGCTGTCATCTTTGAGAGAAGACATAGTTCAACTCATAACTCTAACCAAAGAAAATCTTTCCGAGCTTCAGAGCTCGTCAAATAGTTCTGCCACTGATACTTCTGTACCAAATACTGAAGATGACATATTCGCTAAAGAATATGCTCTCTTCAAGGCGGAGTTAGATGCAGAGGACGGGCCTTCTTCTTCTCATTCAAATGAATGTCAGTCCTTAGCGACCCCTGACATTGCTGTAAGTTGTTTGTATAACCGAGATAGACATATTGTTTGTTTGTTTTTTCGTTATTTTTGATTGCACTTGGTTAATCATGCCTGATTTATGTATTGTAGAGTGAGCTTGAGGCGCTTCAAGGTATGAAGTGCCAAGCACCTTTTTGCCATGGCTGGGGAACATCGTACCACAATGCCTTAGTTTTTCATGTCGAACCTACCAACAACATAACAGAAATGGACCAGATTCAGGTATGATATCTTCTAAATTAAGACTTATGGTAGAGATTTCTTCAACAAGGTTTGAACTCGTGTTTTATTTACTCCTGTTTTCCCTTTGGCAGGTTCGTGTTATGTTTACCAATCCAACAGATATAAAAATGGTTCCCTGCTCTTACTATCTGGAAGGAGAGTGCCGTTTTGATGACAAGAAATGCCGTTTTTCTCATGGAGAACTAGCGCACCTGTCTGAATTAAAAGAGTATAAGTAAGACAAATTTTATATGGCTATCATTTCTTCTTCTAGTGACCCTTTGTCCTGCCTGGTTTTGTAAAAAAGCTGATAATTTTCTAATGTATTTTCAGAGAACCGAATTTTGAGGCAATCAAGTCTGGCTCTAGAGTGTTGGTTCTTACTGAAGGCAAAGATAAGTTGTGGCACCGTGCAATTGTTCAACATGAAGTCAAGAACTCCATCTGGCAAGTAAAGCTAGAATCCTCGGGAGGTAGCAAAATCCAGGTTGGATTAAAGGACATGTTGCCACTTGAAGGTGATGGAGGTAAGGATTATTATTGTTGTTGTTGTTAATCTCAGTAAAAGATTACAGTGGTGTTTGAAAAAATTGCACTATTTACAGATACCAATAATGGAGCTGAATCATCCTCTGATGACAGTTTTGACGATGATAGTGAAGATAATAATGATGATGAAACTGTCCACCATTCCGCAATGGTGCAGTTGAGTTTAAGCAAGGCCTCAGCATCAGCTCTTGGTGCTTGGGAGCAACATACCAAGGTAGTGCACAGTTTTTAGTAGGGTTTTTTCTCATTTTTTATGAATGCATTTTAAAACTATTTGTTTGTATTTCAAAGGGCATCGGTTCCAGATTAATGGAAAGGATGGGTTATGTAATTGGTACAGGCCTGGGACCACTAGGCGAAGGCCGAGTGGAGCCCGTAGAGGCTGTTGTTTTCCCACCAGGAAAATCACTTGGTATGCTTTCAAACCTGTATTATTTTCATGTTTTTCCTCTCTTGCTATTGCATACCAACTTCTAAGCATACCGTTAAATGTTTTCAGATCATTGTATGAGGCTGAAGGAGCAAGCAGGTGGGGACAGCCTGTTGAAGACTGAGAAGAAACTCCGGAGGCAGAAGAAGAAACAATTAGAGCAACAGAAGGCACAATACGAAAAGGAAAAGAAACGTGTAAATGTGTTTGATTTTCTAAATAGCAAATTAGGAGACACAAGTGCGCAAAAGGGTCCATCAATCAGAAAAGATGTGGAGGTAAAGAAGGCCTTGAAAGGTGAAACTAGTAAAAGCTTAAATCTTGCAAATTTACAAGTAGGTGAAGATATAAAGCGTGCAGGAAAAGATCTTATTCATCTCAAGGAATCCTTGGGACGGCAGACGGTAGGGACACCAGCATATTCTGCCATAGCTAGCAAAGTTTCTATGAAAGAGAAAGAAATAAGGCAATTGCAGGAATCTGAAAATAGAATCAATGCAGAACAAAGTTTAAGGAAAGGAAACAAAAAGATGTCTATATTTTAGGCACCATGAAATTTTTGTGAGTTTACTTTGTATTCTTAAGACAGTTCTATCTTGCCATTGCCTGGCTAAATTTTTTGACATCAAGTTTCTATGAAAAATGATGACATTTTTATCTCATGAAGCAATTTTTAGAAATTATTATTGTTGTATATTTTTGTGAAACTGACTGGTAGTATTATGTATTCCTTGAATCAATTGTGCCACTGCCATTGTTTGATAATTACAGGTATTTTAATGCACTGCATTTGAATAAATGTTATTTATTTTTTTGCTGTTATTTATTTGTTTTATTCAAAAATAATTAATTAACATACATTCAGCGTAAGTGGGTATAAATGGTATACTGCCAGGTGGGGTATGAACCATCAATGTTAGCATAGCAGACCACTGTGCCGGGCAGGCCGGAGGGCATGGTTCTGATGAGTACTGGAGTCTATGAACGGACCGAAGGACGAATTAAAATAACAGCAGTGCCTGCCAGGGAAATGTGATTAATGTGAGCTTTGACTAAAAAGACTAAAACAAAGACAGAAAATGACGGTCAAGAAAGAAGGGCACCCACTGTCCGGCGAAGTCGAGTCAAGTCGAGTCAGGGCGTGGTCGAGTCATTAATCGCAATCGCAATCGAGCGCCCGCCAAGTCGTGGGTAGGCAGTCCCGCTCAACGCACCTGTCTGGAGGGCTGGCTTGCAGCTCCTAGGCAGGGGCCTGGCCTGGGCCGGGAGACTGCAGCCTTCATCCCTTGAGAATTAATTTAATGCACTGCATCACGCTCACTAAAACTTGTAACCTACCCCTAAAGTTGCATTCTGACTATAGTATGGTTATCTATCAACTAATTACAATATCACAATGACTAAATGACAAACCTTAGTTTTAAATATCACAGAAGAATATGGATTCGTGCGGTGGTGGTGGATTAACAAATCATCGCCAGCAACTTAGCTGCACACCTGGCCGCTTGTTTCCTGAGAGACGGCCGTCTGCCTCGATTTGGCGGACAAAAAAACGTCGAGTCGGAGTAGCTTCGGTCGCGACGCGCAAGTCGACGACGAATCCCGTCCGTCTCCTGTCACTGTGCGGCTGTGCGGTTCACGGCAGGGGAAGGCCCGGCAGGCCTGTCTGCCGCCGCTAGCGCGTGCAGCGCGTCAGCAAAGGCCGTCTCTGCCGTGACGTGGTCGAGGGTCGGGTCGCGACCGGCGACGGCGGCGTCCTGGGCGGCGCGGCGGGCCTCACGACGGCGGCCTCACGACGGCGGCCTCACGACGGCGGCCTCACGACGGCGGGCCTCACGACGGCGGCCGCTTGTCCGCGAGCTGCTCTTCGCGCATCTGCTGCTCCAGGCGCTCCAGGCGGTCCGCCTCGGCCTGCAGCTGCTGGTGGTGGTACAGGTGCGTGTTGTTGCGGAGCCTCTTGGAGGCCGTCTCCTCGGTGTGCTGCCTGATGCGGTCCAGGAGGCTGCTGACGCTGAAGGACGACAGCAGCTCGTTGGCGAAGTCCTTGATCTGCCCCGAAATCATGGCGCCCACCTCGGGCCGGAACTCCTCCAGGAAGTCGGGCCCCACGTCGCTGATGACGCCGCTGGCCAGGTCCGCCACGGCGGCGTCGCCCAGCAGCCCTTCGAGTTTCACCTGCGGCAGGCAGTGCAGTCGTCAACAGTGTGCCGCCGGGGCGAGAGCGAGACGCCGCGCTGCGCTGCGCAGAGCCGCACTTACCTGCAGCTTGGCGATGCTGATGTCCAGCTTGAGGTCGTCCACGTGCAGGAACAGGTCCTTGAGGCCGATCTCCACCCGGCCGGCCACCTTGAGGCCGCTGATGCCCGCCCTGGAGGAGAAAGGAAGGGTTCACAGGGCTGCATGTTGCATTCAATGCGTTTGCCGGCCGGGCAAGCACTCACCTGAAGCTGCCGTTGCCGAAGACGCGGTGCTCGCCGTTGATGAGCAGGCCGTCGATGTCGTACAGCCCCGTCACGTTGAAGGCGTCCACGTGCGCCGTGAAGTTGGCCGCCATGTTCTGCGGCTCGGACTGCACCTCGTCGAGCACGAACGTGGACGCGTTGTGCACCTCCACCTGGCGCACTTCCAGGTCAGCCCTGCAACGGGACGCCCGGCGTCGAGTGAGCATGCCCGAAAAGGCCACCGAAAGTTCCAGTCGTGCATTGCCTGCGCGTTTTCCTGACAGCGAGCAAGGCGCAAAGAGACCCGGATAAACCCGGTCCTTTGGGCAACTCACGTGAGCAGCGGGTCCCTGAAGTGCAGCTCCATGTGCTCCACGCTGAGTGGCTCGAAGGACTTGCGCCACAACATGCGCACGGCGTCCACGGCCAGGTAGATGACCTCGTCCAGGGCGGGCGCGGCCACGGCGCCGAGGCCCTCGGCGGCGGGCTGCAGCACGATGCGGACGCCTCCCTTGAGGCCGCCCTTGAGGCGCGTGCGCGTGCCCTGGATGAGGCGGCGCAGCGACGCGGTGGCGGGCTCCACGATGCCCGACACGCCCGAGACCACCGTCTTGGTGGCCGGCTCCAGCACCCCCATCACGTACTTCACTGCGCAGCACGGCGAAGCACGCGGGGATCGTCAGGCTTCGCGAAAATGGGCCGAAGCCGCGATAAACGCGACAGCGGCTGGAAACTAACGAGTTGAGGCATAGTTTGGCCGGTCTTCATCTACTCACTTATGGTGTCCTTGGGCATGTCGGACACTTGGCGGACCACCTCGGGCGTGAGCTGACTCAGGGCCTCCTTCGTGACGGGCTCCACCACGGACTTGATCTGCGCCACTGGAATGAGTAATCAAGGCCTAGAAGGGGAGCACGACGTTGGTGTGCGCAGCATCCTTGTTTGAGCGAGGCAACCTCACTCCCTCTGTTTCTACGCCCCGGGTCTGGCCGGAAAGTTACGAGCCAAGGGCAGCAGTTTGTGTGGGGTACACTGAAAACCCAAACGTGGTCTAGACCACACCAAACGTGGCCAAACGTGGTCTAAACCGCACCAAACGTGGCGAAACGTGGTCTAGACCACACCAACTGACGTGGACAAAATGGCACCCATCTGACCACACCAGTGGTGCGGTCTGGACCACGTTTGGTTTTTCAGTGTAGTTAGCGTTTCCCCACCTATCCGGCCTGCCCGGCCAGACCACCGCGTGCGCTTCGGCGCGCTTCTTCTGCGTCTCGAGCACGTGGCGCCGTGGTGCGCCGTGGTGCAGCACGGCTATCGACGAGCGGGCCGGGCCAGCCCAGCCGGGCCAAGCCGGGCCAAGCCGGACCGGGTGGAGGCTTCCCCAATCGCGGCGAATCGCGGCGCGGGTCACCGCCACCAGCCCGCCATTGCACCGCCGTCGCCGGCCAGCCCGGCCAGCCCTTCCAAGGCCGGCGAAGGCCGCGCACGGCAATGCCAATGTCACTGCCAGCGCCGCCATGCCGCCATGCAGCGCGTTTCGGCGGTATCGTTTCGCCTTATCGCCTCGTTGCTTAACGCGATAATTGCCTCTCTGTCCATTCACTGCCCCCGAGCGTGTTGTAAAGGTACCGCACGATATTTCGGACCGGCCTTGGCGGCCAATCTGCGCCATCTGCCATCAAGTTTTGATAAAATAAAAAAGTCCGCCGCGTGTGGAAAGGCACAATGTTGAGGCCGTTCTTGAGATTTAGTGCTGTGATCTTCGGTGCGCTTTGCCCCGCTCAGCTCCACTCTGCCTCGCAGGGTAGCACGCTGCAAACTCCAAACGGCTTGCTTCCTTGTGTCACTGAGCATCTCTGAGAGCGAGAACCCGACAGGGACAGGTGGCCTCGGTCGTCCCAACACAACGATGGCTGCGACCGCCAAATCTCTTTACCCATTTTATCGGCTTCTCATCGCGGCGACTTTGACCATTTTATTCTTGACTTAATTAGCTGTCTAAAGTTACATTACAAACGCATCATTATTAGAGGAAAGCAACACAGTGAGCCAGAAGACCGGTGGAGGCGGCCAAAAGTCTAGACGCGTTTTGAGCTCCTGAGTCGCTAAATGAGACTCCACCAATGGAATGCTCTCCGAACGAGGAATCCATTGGTGGGGTCACACGTTCGGTTTGGAGCTCAAAACGCATCTACATTTTTGGCCGCCTCCACCGGTTTTCTGCCAAATCCACCGTGCAACACTTACCGACATCCTGTCGCGGCACCGCTGAGATCTTGGCGAAGAAGTCCGACGTGCCGGCGGGCCACGGGAAGAACTCGGCGGCGTGGGCGGCCGTCACGCCCAGCACGGCCACCAGCAGCAGCAGCAGCGGCGACCGCGCGGCCGCGGGGGACTTGGCGCGGCTCTTCATGGCGTCGTCGGCCGCGATCGCAGAGACCGTGTCTGACAGTCACAGACCGGCTGGGACGTGCGTGCCGGGGCGGAACTGCGCGACACGAGAAGGGTTAGCGGTGGCGGTAGAGCCAGTGAGCGGCTGTTGTCCGCGGCCTAGAGGGAGCACGTCCGGAGCGGCGTGGGGAGAGGAGAGGGGGGGGGGGGGCAGCCCTGACATTGCACCATAACTAGACACGAGTGGAGACGCGAGCGGAGAGGAAAGCGGCGAAGCACCTCCGCCACATTTTGGCGGCATCGCCTGCGTCACGACAACTCGAACGTGTGTGCTGACGTCTCTTCTCAACAAAGTCCTTCTCGATGGGCTTGTTTGCGAGTGGAGCGTGCGAGCGGCGACCGTCCCGGCGGACGTCGTCTTATGGGATTCCAGAGACAGTTCGGCGCGAATCAAGGGCTAAGTCCGCCTGAACGGTCGCGCAGCGCGGCGCAGCGCGGCGCAGCGACCCGGAAGGAGGAGCGGGGGGCGGGGAAGGTTCTCCTGTTCCAACAATCGCCTGATTGGACGATTCCACTGGCAAGAACTGCGATAAAACTCCTCTCCCAGCTCATCAGTCCGGCTGCCTCGTTGCGCCTGAACAGGTCTCGTATCCGGATTCTATCTCCCGCAAGGGATTATTCACAAAGCCATCCTTCTTATGAGTTACTTTCCGACATTTATCAGAGCGCCTCAAATCTAAACTCTACGTTTTTTTTTAACACAGCTAATTGACCGTTGGAATCCATCTCCATGACAGTGCCGATGCGGGCCGGCTCAGCCTCGCTTAGCCTCGCTGACTCACAGGGAAACAACGAAACCAAACAATCTTTCCGGAGTGCTGCCTCGTCAGCCTCGGCGTGACCGGTACACTGGAAAGGGGCAATGACATTTTGATCGAATTTTCTCCCGCTCGTTTTGAAAAAGGTGTCGGTGTCAACTAAGCGCTGTAATGTGGACTTGGGGTTTTACAGCTATCGCCCACAACCTTCAAATTTGGATTCCCCCCCCCACACACACACACACTCACAAAAACACGTTGTTTTTTATTGTTAGGTCTTTCTTTTTTTATTTGCTATTATTATCATTATTTTGGGTTTGCAGTGTAAACAGCGCTGTCAGACGTAGGAGCTCCGGGTGGCAGGGTTGGGTGTGTGTACAAAAATAATACTATCAACAAACTGCCGTGGTCATCGCAAAAATGGCTCAGTCCGTGCATCGCATCCATATTCTCCCATGACGTGGCCACGCAAACTCATTTCTGAAAACTACGCTATTGCCACAAATAATAGATGACTTGGGCTAGGCGAGAGAAGAAAAGGAGTGGAAGGAATAAGAATTCGCGGACGATGGACGGTTCTCGATCACAGAAGCTGAAACCCTTCAAGGTCATGTCCGTGAAGAAGCTCCATCTTTGCCTCTGCCACCCAGCTCAAGTCGTCCACGGGTATTTTTTTTTTATGGTAGGCCCCATGATGACCATTTTTTTTTCGGTCCAGAACACGAGAGGGGGACGGAAGCGTCAGCGTTCGCGGAATCATTTTGGAACACAGTGTTATCTGGGCGGTGCGCCGCTCGGTGCGCCGGGCAGCAACGTTGTGGGAGGTCATGACCGCACGGCCCGGCCGCACGGCCGCACGGCGCCGAAGGGCCGTCTACCCTGGCCGGCTCGCTGGCCGGCCCGACGGGGAGGCCTCGGGGCATTCCGAAAAGACAAGTTTTTCCGACGCACCCTCGATGCAAGAGAATGGCGGACGGGCGTCGGGCGCTTGTCGGCGGGGCTTTGGATCAGATAGCGAGCCGCTCATCGACCCGGAAGCTAATGTTCCGTTCCAGTCGGGTGGGCGGCAATGCCGCGGCGGAGCGGCGACGACCACAAATTGAGTCCTTCGCCGTTGCTGCTCTCCGGGCGGGGGCGGGAACGGGATCGGGATCGGGTACTGCGCAGGCGGCGGGGGGCGGTGGCTCGACTCGGGGGGCTCGGCGGCCACCCCCTGAGAGAGGAAGCCGTTCTTCATAATGCCGTCCACTTTCTGCATGGCAACCGTTGTGCAATTTGCCTCGATGATTCGATAAGCAGCGCCGCCACGCGCCCTCTCCTCCCATCTCGGCCGCCGTCTTTCCCTTCACCTTGGGCTTCCAGTGGCGCGTGCGAAAGGAGAGCTTATCGGCGGATATCGCCACATCGCCTAATAATTACATCCGGCATCAGCAGCGACCAATTAGCCGCACTGCTGGCGAACTTTGATCCGCACTGCTCGGCCGGGGCTTGGGCCGCCACTCTGGCCGCCTTCTTTAAGCGCCACTCACTCGCCAAATCCTGTGTACACTTTGATTGGCCCAAATCTTGCGCCAAATCGGAAGAAATCTCGTGAAATCCCTTCGAAATTTGGTGAAATCTCGCAAAATCACATCAAAATCTCGCGAAGTCTGGCCTATTTTTGAGGCGAAATCCTTAAGTACCTTTGAATAATCCTGTGCACAAAAAATTTCAAGTTGATTCCCCCTTGGCTCTCTGCACTGCCCTGGCCCGAATTACGACGGCACCGATGAATCCTCCTTCGATCAGGGAACCCACCGGCGAGTTCGGCTCCAATGCTCTACGGGGGCTCTTTTCAAACGGTGTCTGTTTTGTTTCTGGCGTGTTCGCGCTACATTAATGCCACTGTCCGCCGCGCCTCGGCTGCGCCGCTCCCCTCGGCTTCACCCGACTTGCATCAGCGTATTAGCATCTTTCTCCGAACGGCGGCTGCGTGTATTGACTTGCGAGAACCGCACAGTACCATGCAATTTAAACAAAAAAAAAAAAAACACGAAAAAAACAAACGAAACTCCCGTGGCAGCGGAGCTGTTCAAAACGGCGCGCATACATTAGAGACGACCTGCTTCTTCTTTGTCGCCAGTCCCCTTTGAATCATCGCGACGCACGGCGGGGCGGCCTGGGGGCGGCCTGGGGGCGGCGGCTCAGCTCTGCTGGAGGGAGGGGCGGTTTCGATGGTTCAAACTTATGCTGGTTACGCACAGTGGGCCAGAAGACCGACGAAGGCGGCCAAAACTCTAGACGCGTTTTGAACTCCAGTCGCTAAATGGGACTCGAACCGAACGTGTGACCCCACCAACGGATTGCTCTCCGAACGGGTAATCCATTTGAGGGGTCACACATTCGGTTAGAGTCCTTTTTAGCGACTCTGGAGCTCAAAAGGCGTCCAGAGTGTGGGCCGCCGGCGCCAGTCTTCTGGCCCACTGTGAGACGCCGCGCCGCGCGCGTGGGGCGGCCAAGCGGGCGAGAACTGCTAACGAGCATCGCCCTCGGTGGCACCCTTAGCCGCCCTCAGCGAGTCAGGCGCAGGTCTCCTCGAACAGACAGACGAAGGAGGGACAGAGAGAGAGCCACCGTGTGCTTCGACGGAAAATCGTCCACCAAGAACCGAAAACCTTGGAAAAGAGCGTAGGGGAATCGTTCAGTGCCATAAAACTGTTTGCTGCTTTTAATTTTTGGACCGTGATGATCGCGGAGTCCTTGGGCCCCAAACAGCGGCCCAGCCAGGCGCAGCAGGTTTACGAGGACGAACAGGCCCCCAATTGTCTGCCTCGGCAGCCAGCAGAGTCCTTTTTGCGAGTTTTCACGCTTTTCTTGCTGATTACTCCGCTGAGCTTGACGGGGGCCTCTCAGCAAGGAGGAAAGGCGGCGGAGGAAAAGTGGGGCGGGCGCCCTGAACGCCAAGAGCCGAGGGGTCGTCAACTCGTATACGAGTATATATTACTCCGTACACGGCCTCATATTACCATAATACAAGGTAGGTTTACGCCAGACCGCGTCTTGTCGTAACAGGCTTCGCGATATCTCGCGCGCTGTTTACTTGGCGAGCTTGGCTCGCAGCAGCCAGGAGCCGGACCGGCTCCTGATATCGGAAGTTCACAATGCACACTTAGCGATGTCCAGCCGGCTGCAAACAGAATGAGATGGCGCTGCCTGAGAGCTTTGAGTGGCCGAAGCACCTGCCGGTACAGCCCGCCGGTACTGTCCCTACTTACGGCGTACAGCAGTCAGCCGCTTGTTGAGTCCGGCCGCGTAATCGGCGACCAAACAGAGCGCGCCGGGCAGCCTGGGCAGCGCGTCTCTTCAACCCACTCGTCTTTCCCACGCACACACAGGCACCAGCAAACACACCGACACGGGCACTACGCACGGGAGCCGCGCAAGCCAAGGCGCAAGCCAAGCCGTCCACAGCCCGCGACCGCGCGAGTGAGACTGACGCACCGAGTGGGGGGAGGGCGGCTGGCACGGGCGGCACGGCGACGTGTTCTATACATGACACGACACGACGTGGCCCCTGATACTCGCGACTCGCGCTGCCCCCTGCCCATCTCCTGCGAGGCCCGACCCGACGACGCTAGGACCGGGGCTGCAGCATTCTGCCTCTGTCGTTTCCCTACGAGTGCGAGAGAGACAGCGACGAAAGTAACTCTGAGTCCAGTCTGCAGCTGCCTGTGAAGCACTGTGAAGCTGGCGGCGGCTGGCGGTGACAGGGACGTGAGATGTCGAGGGGGTAAGCACTCCCGAGAAATCTTGTACAGAGTACTCGGTATTACGCTGTATTTCGGGGATATTACACGTGTATTACGGCATGAAAATGCCAAAATTTGGCACATTTGGCCCAAAAATGGTATTACAATCACGTGTATTACGCGTAATACACGGTTCTTGTGTACAGGGTATTACACGAGTGTTTACCCCCTCGTGAGATGTCCCCCGGCTTCTGGCCGCCTCTGGCGAGGGGCGATCCGAGGGGCATTCCCCTGGGGGAAGGCAAGACGGGCAAGGCGCACGTCACACGTCACGGTGCGTCGTTTCCTCTTCCTATTCGCGGTCCGCCGGGACTGAGGGACGGGCCGAGGGTCTGGGCAGCACGGGCAGCAGGAGGATGCTGCCGTTTGCAGAGCAGCCCAGCGGCCAAGGCCCATGCATCCTGCCTGTAGCACCTAACAGGCCGTAACAACCCCATTAAGGCCGGGGAATGTAGGGCGCGGCGTCTTCAACGGCAAAACAACAACAAAAAAAAAGCACGGCGTGCGGTTCAAACGTTTTTATTCTTAAAATGGAAATGTTTTGTCAGTGGAAGTACAGTAGTGAGGACTCGTCCTCGTTACAGAGGTGAAACATTGTGCACATTTCTTTGATCAGCCATTTGAACACAATCCAATTTTCTACAGGGAAAAATTATTACATTTCCCAATGGCACATGAGAAATCTGAGTTGAAGCTTTTTAATGTCTGTTTCAATAAGCAATGAAAAAAACCCACAATAATATAATTAATACCAGTACATGAATAGGAACACAGTTTTGGCACCTCAACTCCTACAGTTCAAGGAGATATGATTGACCTGAAAAAAACAAAAACAAATACACACTAAGCCTACATAATTAATGTTACAGAAAAATAAAACTTGTTTTAAAAAATACAATCTCAACAAAAATAAATAAAAATTGTGACCGTTTCACCCTGGGGCATATGTGCAGTTAGGTTTACACGTATATCGTATCACAAAAAAAAGAAACTTAGGAATTTATAAGAAATGGCATGCATTAAAAGAGCAAGCTCTTATGAAGGTTGCATAAAACAACCTGAAAAATATTACAACAATCGCTCTGTAAATATATATACATAGGACATATATCACAGGTGCTAATAATGCTTTATCACAGGGAAACAAAAAAGTATGATAAGAATTGTATTGAATAAAGAATAAAACATACAAGAAATGACATGGGGTAGGACAGAAGTTGGACAGAAAATACTACCACATTTAAAGCTTAAAAACATCATCCAGGGATGTGATTTTTTTGTACATAATCTCTAAGATATTATTTTCATTGTGCGGTGATTTGAAGTTACAAACATTGCAGAATGATAGCTCGTCCACACAGACCAGCTTGGACACCTCCTTCAGGTAAAAGGTATTTACTGCTATCTTCGCCCCTTTCCGGACTAAACTCAACCAAGTTGTTGTTTGATGCTGCCAACTGGACATAGTCCCACATCATCAAACGTCTGGACTTTCCCTGTCTCGCAGCAAGTAGACATTTGTCTGAACATACTAATGCCCCACAAACAGCTGCCCAGTGTGCTTTGTGTCCCTTACGACAACAGGGTTGATGATTCCGATCTGCATCATACCTGAAAAGCTGTTAAGAAAACTACTCCCAGAAAAGAACAAATCACAAAGTGACGACGAGTTAGTCTTGTTGCATTGCATAATAAGGATACGGTACAAGAAGGATACCCCCTCTTGCAAGACTGTGTACAACAGTGTCTCTCTTCTCCAACAGTCCGTTTATGACTTGAATTGAAATGTTAGGAATTGATGCAAGGGCAAGACTTGCCATGTCGTCAACACTAAACATTTCTCCTCGGTAGGAATATCCTCTCATCTGAGCTTCATGTAAAAGTTTCTGAACAGGTATAAGAGTCTGATAGGCTGCTGCTGCCATTGCCAACGCAACTAAACCGCATCTGGAGGTCAGAAGGGATAAAAGAAATAAGGTTAGTACTTCTCAGACAAAATGAATAATCAGAAATTTTGAGTCTTACTCACTGAGGTCCATTTTGAAGAATGGGTGGGATGTACTGATAGACAGTTAAAAGCGGAGTGTCTTTCCATCCTTCTAGCTCCCATAATCGGTTTCGAGTGTCTACCAATTCTTGTTCAGCGTTCGGCTCATATAATACTTCATTTTTAGGATCTGATAACTGATGTGTCGGCAGAGGGGACACTCTTTCCTTGCCACTTTGGAAGGTACTTGGAGGTGCAAGGGGAGGCGGAGGCACTGGCACAGTAGAGGACATTGTCAACAGGGAAGATGTTGCTATTAACCTGAGCAGAAGAAAAAGGCACATTATGTTACACACAAAAGTACGAACCACAGTTCATTAAAAATAACAAACATGTAGGTCAAAGGTGACATTTGACATAATCGTTTTTAGACCGACTGAACTGGGTTAAACAAAAATAGCTTTGTGATGTCACAGGGAACTCTAACCTCTAATAATACGCTGCTGAGCTTTATGGTCAGTTGGATGCATCCATCTAAATTTTTCTCTAATGGAGAAGGAAAATCTTTGTTTCGGAAACGTTGGGCACACGTGGGCACTCCAAAACATATAAATAACTCACTTACGGTGACAATGCCGTCTGCTAGCTGCTCTGCTCGTTTATGTTGACATTGGTGTGTGGACGGTGGGCTCCTGTCTCTACAGCCAGGGTTTAGATGGGTCAAGGTCAAGTGAGCCACATCACAATAATTGCATGATCGCAAAGAAATCTCTCTCATAACACCTTTCAAAAATTAAAACCAGCATATTCCATCAACGAGGAAACACAATGCGGGCTAAAACGGTCAAATGTTAATTAAATGCGTGAGCCTGATTGAGCCGCAAGAGCGCTGCACTCGTCTCCTTCGGAACGCGGCGCCAATGAGCAACGGACTCAAAATCTTCGTCCTTTGTTGTTGGCTGTGAGCTGTGCTGAGAAATTGCTGATTGGATGAAGATTTGATTAATTTTGTTATTACAACATTTTGTTGGGCAGGCTCGATTCAAACCTAGAACTGAAAGTCTCAACCCAAATATTGTGAGTAGTTGTTGCAGAGGACTCAGAAAACAGTCGTGTTTTTTTTTAAAATAATAACAGCAGAAGAGCGCGTGTGTTGTTTTGAAGTTGATGGGATTTCCTTTGCTTCGTGGTTACACATGAGCCAATAAATAAGGAACTAATGAATTCCAGCCTGAGCTTGGAAATAGGCGGTCGAAGAAATAAAAAAAACATATCCTAAGTATTTCTGGGATTCATTGTGCGTTCTGCAAACAAAGCCTAACCTCACCAGGCGGTTCATAACACAATGTCACACTGACGATCTAGTTTCGATGGCTGGCAGAACGAATCGAGTGACTTAATGGTTGAATTTTGTTTCAGAAGAGACCGTGTTGAGTCAGAGGCGGACGTACCCGAGCTCGGTGCCTCACCCTGGTGGTCGTGCTGCCGCAGGCACACGGGCCGCGATGGCGTTCCTGGACAAGCGCAGCGAGCGGCCGCGCGTGGTGGCGCCCAAGCGCGGCTTCTACTCGGAGGCCGTGGCCAACGCCCCGCTCTTCAAGGACGACAAGATCCAGGGCGCCGGTGCGCAGGGCGGCGCGTGCAAGCGCCCCATGCTGGCGCTGCAGGTCCGCACCGAGCTGTACGCCCCCGTCATCGCCCGGATCGCCCCGCCGCCGACGCCGTCCTCCTCGCCTCGGGACGCCGACGCCGACGCGCCCCGGAAGGACTTCTGGGCCTTCGCGGAGGCCGAAAAGGCCTACGTAGGTGGTAGGAATGTCACAAGAGAATGTGGGCAGCAGACAAAGAACACACGTTTATTGTTCAGGAGGTGTCCCTGGACCGATGGGGCCCCAATCTGCCCCCCGCGGTGGAGGCCGTGGGCGGCCGGCTGCCCAGACGCGTGTCCGTGGAGCGCTACATGCGCCAGTTCGCGCACCTCAGCGTGGCGCCTCTTTTGTCGGACGTGCCCGCCCACCTCTTGGAGCCGCCCCCTCCCCCCGGCCGCCCCGGCCCTCAGGACGGCGCGCGCGGGCTGGGCGACGCCCACACTTTCTTGCCGCTGCACGTGTTCGACGACGAGGAGTACGACTGCAGGTACAGTACGCGTGGGGCAGAGGTGTGCATCTATCCATCCGTCGAGCATCCGTTCCATCCGCAGCGTCCAGGGGTGGGGGGCTGGTCTGTCCGGGTAACGATGCAAACACGTTGTTTCGCCGTTTCGCCTTGCGAACTCAGCCCGGGCGACACAGGTGAGGCAGCTACGCCACGCCACGCCGCCGCTGGCCGGGGGAGCGAGACGGAGCGAGCGGCGCCGCTGGGAGTGCGAGAGAGACGAACGGCCGCCCAGCAGGCTGCGGATGGAACGGGTGGAGCCGGTCGGATGCGGGCGGGTCCAGTGGTAGGCGACCCGCCCACGGCCGGGCCAGGCTGCGGATTGAACGGATGCTCGGCGGATGGATATGCACACCTCTGCCGTGGGGTGCCAGGGCGGGGCGAAGTGCGTAATGGGTAACCGGAGTCACACCGCGGAGTGGATCTCGGCGCACCTCCGTGGGCGTGGGCGTCTCGGCACACAGTGGGCCAGAAGACCGGTGGAGGCGGACAAAACCCTAGACGCGTTTTGAGCTCCAGAGTCGCTAAACAGGCCTCGAACCGAACGAGTGACCCCACCAATAGATTCCTCGTTCAGAGAGCAATCTATTGGTGGGGTCACACGTTTGGTTCGAGTCCCATTCAGCGACTCTGGGGCTCAAAACGCGTCTAGACTTTTGTCCGCCTCCACCGGTCTTCTGGCCCACTGTGCGGCAGGAGTGGCGGGCGTGGCGTGGCCTACAGCGAGCCGCAAAAAAGCACGATATTACGGGGGCGGTGGACAAATTGCAACAACTAACACATGCCACGGATAACAGAGAGTTGCTCTAGCCTTTAATGGCAATGGCAAGGACGTCCGTAGGCAAGCCCGCCGAGCACTGCCGTCACGACGTTGCCTACCCGCTACTCGTCAGGCGCTTTGGCGATGACTTGACTTGACTTGAAAGGCTAGACCACAACTGATCTTATGCCGGTTCGGGCCCGGTAACTGCCATGCTTGCACTGCACAACATGACATACCGTCCGTACAAAGAGCAGGAACCTTTACCTCGGCGGCCGGGGTCACATGCCACACCGCACCAAGTTCCCAGTGAGAGCAGTCTTTTGGACTGTTCATCACTGCGAGCTTATACCGAGTCCGGCCCTCCTCTGCTTCACCCCGTCCTCACAGGGCCATGTTCCGTATGTCTTGGATTCAAATTGCTTCACCCACTTCACTCCTACCCTCCTCTTGATGCGACCTTGTAGCTGTGGTTGTACCCAACGTCGTGAGGCCTAAAACACATTGCTGCGCCGGCATCTGCGACACATCGCCGTTAGACCGGGAACGATGCGAGGCCTACGGCCTACCCCCGCGATGCAAGCCTGTGCGCGGCTTGTGCCGCGCCCCCGCGAGCAACTGTGCCAGGTACTGCAAGGCTGATCCTCTTCGGTCGCAAGGGTATGGGGGCTGGACGGGCGTTGCGGTGTGTCCGCTGGCGCCGCATCTCAGGATGACCGCGACACCGAAAAATTTGAGCTCCTGCCGCAACCGGTGACTCCGGTACCGCATCGATGGTGTCAGATCTTGCGCGCCGAAAGTAAAAGTGCCGGGTCCACTGGACCAGCAATAGAAAACGACATGCGGCATGCAAATGAGGCTGTGCCCCGCCCACGCAAGGGACTGGGACAAGGGGAGGGGGAGGGGGGGACGCCTTCTGCATGCTGGCTGCGACGCCCTCGCCCTACGGCGGGGCGGGAGGAGGGGGGGGGGACTAGCCGGGGCGGCGGGCGGCCAGACGAAAAAGGAGCAAAAACAAAACCAGAGCAGGCACTTATCCATAGGCGGCGTAGGTATCCTTCCTCGGCTGCTGCTGAGTCCAGGCTGGGGTGCGGGCGCGGGGTGGTCCTGGTGTAGCTACGCCACACGCCGAGTTGTGGAGGGGAGCGACAGGGGGCTGGCGTGCCCACGCCGGGCGCTGGCTTGCTGCGACGCACAAGGAAAACCAAAGCGCAGTGGGCGCTTTCCTGAACGATTCGTTGAACATGGGTGAACGGGACAGTTGGCGGGTGGCGACACCCCCCGGCCACCGTCGAACACTTTGTAGATCCGATTGCGCAAGGAACAAAACCACTGATCTTCACAACACGGGGCACTGGACACTACACTGACGCCGACTGGACACTGGTCACTGTTGCTTGAGGGTACCGCTATGCCCCTCAGCAGGCCTGCCGGGGCGCGTGAGCGCTGGGGTACGCCGGCCGACCGGGGCCGGCTGGAGGCTGGAGGCTGGGGCTGGGACGCTGCGACGCACACACGCTGCCACATGTGCGGGCGGAGGGACGCTGCAGGCCGGGTAAACAAAGGGCCGAACACTAATTTGCACAAAACTCGACCACCGATGCACCGATCGTCGCGGAACTTCAACCCTCGACGCACTGGGTGAACACGGACCGACCGATACCACACTCGACACGGAAAACCGACTTTGTACCACCAAAAACCAAGGACGAACACGGAGACGACGCAAAGCCTGGCCACCCGCCACAGGGGCTCCCCCCCTCCTCCGCTTTGGCGATGACGCTGGGCTGGAGTGGTGCTTGTGCTGCTTGCAGGACGTGGCAGGAGTGGCTCGAGCTGGGCGAAGTCAACGGCGAGCGACAGCCGGTGCCGGTTGAAGCTTTCTTGCCGCGACCCTCTCAGGTACCACAGGGCACTGCGCGGGCCTGAAGGAAACAGGAAAATTAAGTCGATGATTTTTCTTGTTTAAGTCCTATTTATTTGCATTCTGCGACCTCAATTTTGTGAAATTGGCTGCAGTAAATGCGAGTTAATGCATTGTAAAAGTGTTGGGATGGAAAGTGAATGTATACGAAAAGTTTTGACCGACCGCAGGGCTACCGTTGGGTGGACGCCGGTGCCGTCGACTTCGACCCAGAGCTTCTGGAGTGGACTGTGCTGGACGGCGCGAAGCAGAGTCACCGCCTGCCCAGGCTGTACGTCCGATTCAGGTGCGGTATCGGCCAGTGAAGCGTAAGCGGAGTCTCCGATGCCATGCCGCCGCGCGAAGTGCGACCCAGTCTTGCAATGTTGGCAGGGCGGAGGACCCGGCCCTGTTCTGCCAGCGCGTCAGGGAGGCCGTTGAGGCGCGGGAAGAGGCGGAGGCGGCCATAAGGTGAGCTCTTATTAGCACCGCCGCCCCGGGGGACGGCGGGGGGCCGCCGGGGGACCGGACGGCGCTGGATAGACCGCCCAGCCGCCTTCTCCTTCCTCAGGTTCAATCTGTTCGTGGACTGCATGCCCGTGGACGACCTGGACGATATGGACCAGGGAATGCTTGGGGCCCTGCCTGGAGGCGCTCTCGCGGCCAACAAGCACTCCGTCGCGAAGGTTGGTGGGCGTGCGTGGGGCCCGGGGGGCCAGTGGGGCCCTTGCCACGTGCCGCAGCCCGCCGCAACCGCGGCACTGACTCGGCCCTGCTTGCAGATCGAGCAGGAGGTGCGCTTCTCCTACAAGCGCACAATGTGCCAGCTCTTATTACTCGCGGAGATGGAGCGCCACCCCGACGTCTTCGATTTTCTAGTGGCGCCGACGCGGCCGCCAGAAAAGGTGTGAGATAGGGGGAAGCAAGCGCGCACGAATTCAGACGTCTTACGTGCGTCATTCATCGCTAAGCGGATCAACGCCTTGCTCTGTCGCAGGTGCCCGCCTTGGCCTCGGTGCCCGTGGACGTGTCCGACTTCCCGCAGCGCCGGTCGCACGCCTACTGGGAGAACCTGTTCGCCATCAAGGAGGCCAGCGAGGGCATGGCGAAGGTGGTGGAGGAGTGCGAGAAGGTGGCCGAGCAACTTCTGTTCACCAGCTCCTTCGGCCGGAACGTCTCCCTGGACGAGTTCGTGGTGCAGCAGACGCACACCACCACTAAAGCAAGTCGGATTCTTTTTTCCCTTTTTTCATTTTAGAGCTGTGTGTTCCGCTCGCAGATTTCCTTTCTGTGCGTTCTTCCGCCCCGTTGGCTCTGTTTGACCGGGGCACTCAAAGCTAGAAACGTCGATCCCTCGGGACATGGATCGCTCGGATCCGCTGCGTGCCTTCGTCATATTCATCGAATTCGTCACGTTCGTTTCAATACATCCGTTTGAACGGGACACGACCTCCTTATTCTAGTGTCACATTCGTAACGTGGATCAACATTCAGACGATTGTGACGTCACATTCCAACGAGCGTGGCAAAATTCACATTTCTAGCAAGTATGACGTCACATTCTTTGAACAACAGTATCGGTACTTCGGTGGTGGTATTAACGGGACGAAATTGTGGGCCCCGAGAGGGCAAAGCATGCATGCTGTTTTTCCAGTGCCCCTTCTCCGATTGCACGCTTACTCCCGCGGCGGGCGCACCACTGAAATATCCACTTTCCTCGGTTCCCCAATTTAATGAACTACTCCAGCTGCTCGCGCCGGTCCTCGCTCCTTTCATGCCCGATAATATCACTGTTAAAAAAAAAGTCTGAAAATTCAGACCAAATTGGTAAGAAGTTATTAACAGACTTGAGGTCTGAAAATTCAGACCATTTAGATGGTCTGAAAATTCAGAACTCGAGAGTCTTACATTTAAGAGTTTGGTGGTCTGAAAATTCAGTCCTGTACGAAGATTGTGAACTTTAAGGTTCGTGACATGTTCAACATGACATAGAAAGAATCTCAGGTGTGTGTGGACCTCCAGAGAGGACAACATTGAGTAAAAATTGTGATGAGGGAGAAGGTCCTCTGTCCTTTTCCCCGACTCTCGAGAGGCCGGCCTGTGGCACCTAAGAAAATGGCGACACGGAGCCACCCGCGAGAGGTAAATTAGAATGTGGATTGTTCAACTTCCACCCATATTACGGACATAAATCTTGCAGCAGAGAATGGTTCTCATATGACCTATTAAGTCCTGTCAATTTGGAACTTATCAACTAATATATTTTCACATAAGAAGCCTTTTAAACAGAAGTAGGTATGTTCCACAACATGCGCGCCATCTAGCGGACAAACGAAATCTTGGGTTGGTCTGAATTTTCAGACTTAACCATCTAAATTTTCAGACTGCGCTGGTCTGAATTCAGGTTCTGAGACGATCAGGTCGCAATTTTCATACCGGAAGGCAAAATTTTCAGACAAGCAGTCTGAAACAAGTCTGAAAAATAGATTCAGACCACCAAGTCTGACAAAAGTGGTCTGAATTTTCAGATTTTTTAAACAGTGTAGGCAATTCATCGCTGCGCCTTGAGTGACGCTTTGAGATGAAAGTCAGATCTCCGCCTCGCCGCGGTCGGGGTCGTCGGGGCGGCGCGCGTCTGTTGGCGACACTGCTTTGATTGAAGCACTGATTGACGTTGCGGGCTGCACTGTTAACTAGGTGATCCAGAGCCTGCGCACGCAGTGGCTGCAGCGCGTCGCAGACAACATCCGCCTCAAGCTGTGCGACGTGGGCAAGGGGTGGTACAGCCTCAAGGAAAAGTCGTGGGACTTGCACCTCATGTCCAAGATGCACCGCCTGCTGAGCGTCACCCGGCTGCGCATGGAGGTGAGGCCGCTGTCCCAGCGTGCGCCGTGCGGTCCCACCAAGGCAGGCCAAGGCGCCTCGCCGCTGTGCCCAAGGCTGTGTCCAAGACTGTGCCCCCGACCGCCACGCCATCAAGACCCTCCTTGTCCAGGCCGCGCTGCACCGCCTGGTGAAGCACTCCCTGGAGCTGCTGGTGCCCATGGTGCAGGCGCCGTGCCAGTGCTGCCTGGGGGTGGACGACGCCATGGTGTGGGGGCTGAACCTGGTGGAGTCGCCCTTCTGCCCCGCCACCGCGCCCATCTTCCACCTCAGCCTCAAGCTGGACGTGTCGGGGCCGCAGCTCACCACCGACCCCGCCCAGTACAAGGAAGCCCTCAAGAAGGTGGGTTTTGTTGGAGCCGTGTTTTTGTGCGCCGAGCCTCGAGCAAGGAAGAAACGCTCTGGTGCCGTCTGTCTTTGTCTCACTCTCAAGCGCCTCTTGCCTACGTGGGCAGCGGTGGGCAGGCTGCCCGAGCATGCGGCCTCAGCCCCAGAGAGGACGGGCTCTCTGCTCAGCCCCTCCGGGAATCATTTGTGGAATTCATGTGCTTCTACGTTAGTCAGCGTTGTTTTTTTCTCTTATTTTCCTTTTTGAAAAAATGAAATGCTTTTACCAGGGGCTTACCTCCACAAATGCCTGTCCATATGCGATGGTACGCAGGCAGGCAGGCATCCCGAGCATGCAGCCACAGCCCTTCCGGGAATTATTTGTGGAATTGACGCCGCCAGAGCCAAATTGGCTGGTATTTGCACAGCCAGGCGAGGCGCCATGGCGCGCCAGGTTGCGTCAAGTGGCAAGGGACGCTGGCGGTGGTAGAGGGAAGCCTTCGGGGAAGCCAAGTGCTCGGGCCGGCCTGAGCGAGAAAGGGTTGACGTCTGGCAGAGTCAAATGTTGGTAAACAACGATTCACGCACGACATCGCGCTCGGCGCAGTTTGGCAAACGGGGCGACACACGTGCTGGGCGTGCTCGGCGTGCTCTACTAGTTTCCCAGAGCAATTCACCCCGGAATAGGCGCAACTCGATTGCAGACGCGCCGAGCATACACGCATGCGTGCACAGATTCAGTTTTAGATAAGACAAACAAAATAGCAGATTGTTCCTTTTAAAATTTAAATTCCTTTTAAAATTTAAGGACAAGACACTTTAAGGTGTCAGCTAGCTCGAGTCCAGAAACCAACCACGTCGTCTTACCAATATTATGCCGCTGCGAGCCGCTGGGTGAAAAAAATAAATTGAAAAGTCAAATAATGAATCATTCCATGGGTGTGGCTGTGACTAGATTCTGTTAAATCTGTGCTTTAAATATACTGAAAAGATCAAAATGGTCGACCTTTTCGTAGAGACTGAATAAGATACTGGAAACAATAATAAAGTACTCATATCTTCTATGTATTTTTATATTCAATTTTAAATGCAATCATCAAAATAAGCCTATACTTGGAGAAAACTAACAGAGTATTATCCGCTTTCATGTACGTTCCTTTCATGGGATTTTCAGCTGTACTGCTTATGCTTCGTTCACTGCTGCGTGTAAAGTGGAGAGGGCGTAACTACCTATCTGGAAATGAGTGGAAGCATGGCATCACGGCACCCACTAATGAGACTCTCGTAACTCTGCCACGTAATTAATTACAACCGTTTCCAGGTCACAGGGCTGGGTGCGATGAATTACCCCTTGCTCTCGCTTGCTCTGCTGCAGATATTCGACGACGCAGTGCTGGGCGCGCACACCATCCCGCCCGTGGACCCCATGCTCATGACTAACCTGGTGTACCCCGACAACCTGGCACTGTCCTCGGTGGGCCTGATGGACCCTTGGGTGGACAAGCAGCGCGACTTGCTGCTGACGGGGCTGCAGTGCGCCGCCATCCCCCTGCAGGCCTACCGCGAGGAGTACCACCGCTTCCTGGACTTCTACAACCTCAACGTGGCCGACTACGTCAGGTGTGAGCATCTCGGGGGCCAAGCCCTTTCTAAGGGCAGCCAAACACTGGGACTTGGTCGATCCACTCGAGTAACAATCTTGGCGCAGCCGCTACAAGGAAGAAGAGCACACTGCAGCCGAGTTCAAAGAGGAGGTGAAGGAGCGCGTCAAGATGAGGGACAATGTGCTGCTGACGGTGCCCGAGAGCATCGTCATCGGCCCCTTTCTCGTGAACGTGGCGCCCGCCCGGAACGCGCTGCTCGCCAAGAGCCAGGCCCTCATCGACCAGATGCTGCAGATGTACAGCCAAGTGTTGCGCACGCAGCTAGACGCGGTGAGCTCACGCTAGCGTACTACCACTTGCAAAAGAAAGCGACCTCCCGGGCGGGCCCGGCGCTACCCCGCACTCAGGTAGCTGCTGGAGATCCCATAAGCCGCCTGGACGCGGGGTAGTGCCGGGCCCGGCCGGGAGGTCGCTTTCTTTTGCAAGTGGTAGTACCTGACACCGCGCAGCACCGCGCAGCGTCGCAGTGCAACCCTAGCTTCAGCCCTCCGAGAGGACTCGAATAGTACACCACATGGTGGCGGCTACAGATTAGAGCAGTCTATGGGACTGCCACGCGTTTGTTCGATTCGAGTTCCATGTGAGGACTGTGGATTCGCTACTCAGAGTCTAGCGTCGCGTGAGCCGGTGGTCGCTTTGCTGTGACAGCGGCAGGCAAACCTTGGCCAGCAAACCTTGGCCAGCGGCCATTAAAAGTTGTCTGAAAAGTGCCATAACACCCCCGGGATAAAAGCGTTGTTGTGACCGTGCGGTGGTACCGCGGAAGTTGGGGAGACGACAGAGAGAGAGAATTCACCTCCTCTGATGTTCCTTCTTGGAACCCTCCCCTCTGCGCCCTAAAATGCCAAACTTTGCGAGGATTGGATTCGTAGAATTTGTCTTTCCGCTCGCTTCGGTCAGTCGCGTTTCGTCTCCTATTTCCCAGATTTATATACGTGGCTTTCGTTTCGCTCGCGGTTCACCGCGCATAATTTGTCAGCCAAATTTTTCAAGATAAGATATTGAGTGCGTCGTCATCTTGTTGGTTCCAGGTACTCGAGGAGTACGCGGACATCCTGACGAGCATAGTGCAGAAGCCAAACTCCATCGAGCACGTCATGGAGATCAGGGAGAGCATGGAGAGCGCCGTGCATCTGATCCGCACTCTGGAAGACACTGCGCGGAGACTGCTGTTTGTGAGTGGTCCGGTACTCTCGGCCTTAACGGCACTTCTGCGCACTTTTGCCTAAGCTTTTCTCTGCCCCCCCCCCCCCCCCCCGGTATTTTACGCCGCTTTTCCCTCCAGGAGTACGAGGTGCTGGACTACTTCTGGTTCTCTCTGTCGGACGACGACTTCAACGCCAAATGGGAGGCTGTGGCCTGGCCCCACAAGTTATCCAAGGTCATAGCCAACACGACCGAGAACTTGATCGAGGAGACGCAGAAGTTCCTCACGCTACACATAGGTGACGAAATGGTGCACCAGGAGGACATCGAGTACTTGACGGAGCGCGTGGTGCACCTGCAAGGCGAGTCCAACTTCGACAAGGTGATGTTCACACCCCACATTTTTACATATGTAAAAAGCATCCTCCAAAAAGTGTCTGTCTTAAACGGTTAGCGACAGAAATGTCAGGCAAAGAGCAACGTTGATGATTCCAATCTATTTCCTGTCCAGGTGCACGAACTGGCCATCGAGATCAGCCGCATCTGGAAGATGATGAAGGAGAAGCAGGAGGAGGGGCTGGTGCTGAACCGCCGGCAGAAGCTGTTCGACCTCCCCGTGACCCCGTACGACGACCTGAACCGCCTGGTCAAGGAGTTCCAGCCCTACCGCGACCTCTGGACCACCGCGTCGGAGTGGGTGCAGGTAGGTGGGCCGGGGCCGTGCGGTTCGAATACGAATTGAATCGGTTGATTCGATTCGTTTTTTAATCTATAGTCGATTCAAAGGCGAACAGTTCCTATAAACGAATCAGCTCTCCTTCGTCGCTCCATTTGCGATCACACAACACTACAGTGTATGACATACACTGTATGTTCTATTTTGTTAAACAACTGGGAATTTCGATTCGCACCCACTCTCGCCCCGGGGATTATTCCGGGGTCTGTGTTTACCGTAGCCCTTGGTTGCCCTGCCTAGCTTAGTGGAGGCTCTCCCCATCCGGAATCCATAAGTGGGCTCTTGATTCCTTCGGGGAATATCATCGCCCTCCTCTTGAGCCACCACGGCCGCCTCGGGCCAGGCAGGGGGCGGCAACGGCCTAGGAAGCGCGTGAAGCCATGCGCGAGGGAGGTGCAGGGGTTACTTATTTTGCTTCGATTGGAAGATCTAGCCCGTTGATTGCAAAACGCTGTGCGCAGATCAAAAGAGCACAAAATTTAAGGTGCATTAGGCCTAGTAGACTGCCCGACACTTCCAATTCAACCGAAAACAAAGGCGGAATCATTTACATCAACATGGCGCATTCGAGTTTTTCCTGAATTTTACGATTTCTCGTGTTTTTCGGTGTTTTCACTGTACCTTAACATAAAGCCAGGGGGGAGTTTCGAGAAGAGCAATTAGCCTAATGAACCCTAAATTTCAAGCCCTTTCCGTCGGTGCAAAGCGTTTTGAAAAACACTGTCTAGTTTTCATGATCTCGAACAAGTGCGCAACCTCTGGACTGACGGCGCGAGCATCGCTTCACGCTCTCTCTAGGCTGTTGCCTGCCACCCCCTGGGCCAGGCGGGCCTGGCGGGTCGATCGCTCATCGCGCCACGGGCGACTCCTCGTTTTGTGATCCACTCGGATCCATTTCTGCTGTGATTGTCCACGCGGTTCGCCCGCGTCCAGGACACCACTCAGCTCAGGAGTACACAGAATTACCTTCAAAAATACTAAAATAACTCAACAATTTTGGCCAGCTTAGAGCATTTTCGGCTCAAAATCCGATAAAAACAGCGAAAATAGGCAGTTTTGGCGTGTGGTTACCATTGATAACTGGACGAAGTGTACACGATTACCAGAGTGGTGGGCCCCTCGCGCCGGAATGTAAAGTTTGTTTCCATTTTGAACAACGCCTGACCCCGTGTCTTATGCCGCAGGCGAGGGAGATCTGGATGGACAACCCGCTGTCCAACGTGGACGGCGACTCGGTGGAGCGCATCATCGCCGACTCGTACAAGACCATGACCAAGCTGACGCGCACCTTCGCCGAGATCCCGCTCGTGCAGAAGGTGGCCGTGGACGTCAAGGAAGCCATCGACGACTTCCGGCCCATGGTGCCGCTGCTGGTCGCGCTCAGGAACCCCGGCCTTCGGCAGCGGCACTTCGACGAGCTGCGCCAGGAGACGGGTGAGTCCTTGGTGAGCCACGGCTGTCCAGCCTGATCGAGAGCCTGACACACCTCTTCACGTGGCCCGTTTCGCAGGCGTCAACATCAAGGTGGCGCCAAACCTGACGTTCAAGATGTGCCTGGAGGCCGGCGTGCAGGCGCACAAGGACGTCGTGGTGCTGATCGCGGAGACGGCGGGCAAGGAGTACTCGATCGAGAGCGCGCTGGAGAAGATCGAGAAGGAGTGGGAGGCCGTCATGATGGACGTGCAGCCGTACAAGAGCACGGGCACGTACATCATGAAGGTGACGGACGAGGAGCTGCAGATGCTGGACGACCACATCCTGGCCGTGCAGCAGATGTCGTTCAGCCCCTTCGTCGGCGTGTTCGGCAAGCCGGTGGCCGACTGGGAGGGCAAGCTGCGTCTCATGGCCGAAGTCCTGGAGGAGTGGATCCAGCTGCAAATGTAGATCCAGTCTGTCAGTCTTTCGTGTTACATTTGGAACTTCAAATTGACGTGTGTGTTGTTCTCCGCAGCCAGTGGATGTACCTGGAGCCCATCTTCTGCAGCGAGGACATCGCGCGCCAGCTCCCGGCCGAGATGAAGAAGTACGGCTCCATGGAGCGCTTCTGGCGACGCATCATGAAGATGGCATCCGAATATCCTAAGGTGGTCTAGAAGTTAACGTTTTATGCTATTTTTATTTTGTACTACTGATTTTGTACGAGGAGTTCGTCACCTATTTTTCCGTGCCGCATCTTTTTTCACTCACAGAAGTGACCCGGAAACATTTAAACATTTATATTTTTTTCCACTTCAGAGGGACGCCCCTCCTCAGGCTACGTGCACACTCGCCGCTCGCCTCTCCTTTCAGGCTAAAAGTTCAAGCCAGAATTTCCATAAATTAATACAAAATGAGTTTCGGCATTCCCTCCTCTGTGTTCAGGTGTTGGCCATCTGTCCGGACAAGCGTTTGCTGGAGCAGATCAAGGAGAACCGTGCCCTGCTGGAGCAGGTGCTGAAGGGCCTGTCCGAGTACCTGGAAGACAAGCGCATGGCGTTCCCCCGCTTCTACTTCCTGTCCGACGACGAGCTGCTGGAGATCCTGGCCCAAAACCGGAACCCCCTGGCTGTGCAGCCTCACTTGCGGAAGTGCTTCGAGAACATCTACAAGGTCTCGCAAATGACCGGAAACCCCTCGTTTTAAGTGTTCGTTGTTCACTCTTCCGGGCTAATTTTGGACAAACCGTTGCAGCTTCACTTCGACGAGGCAGACCTAAAGATAACCACCATGTTCTCCGCCGAGGGCGAGAGTGTCGAGCTCATTCCCCACATGTACCCCAAGGGCAATGTGGAGGCCTGGCTCAGCAAGGTGCGTACAAAGCCACATTCCAGCAAGGTGACCCAACCCCCGCCCCGTTTTTTGACATGGCGCCGCCTTTGCAGGTGGAGGAGACGATGCAGACCACGGTGCAGGAGACGCTGGGGCAGGCGCTGTCGGACATGGAGGGCCGCAGCCGGGCCGAGTGGGTGCTGCGCTGGCCGGGGCAGGTGGTGATCGCGGGCTGCCAGACGGCGTGGACCACGCACGTGGAGGAGGCCATCCAGGAGGGCACGCTCGCCGCTTTCCAGACGCGGATGCACGAATACGTGGGTGCCGCGAGTGCCGCGCCACACCGCGGAGTTTCTTATTACTTTCTCGTGCCCAAGCCGGAAATGTGGCGCCCGCTCCGGTCCGCAGATTGACACGTACCGCGCCCTGGTGCGGGGGCAGCTGTCGCGCATGGAGCGGCAGGTGATGTCGGCGCTCATCGTGGTGGAGCTGCACGCCCGGGACGTGCTGGACGGGCTGGTGGAGCAGCGCGTCGCCACCACCAACGACTTCGACTGGATGAGCCAACTGAGGTACGCGGTGCGGCGGCCCCCGCCGGCAGGCTGTCTGACGGGTTGCCTGACTGGTCCTGGCGCAGGTACTACTGGGTGGAGGGTGAGGAGGCGACGCTCAAGGTGCGCGCCGTGAACGCCGAGTTCCAGTACGGCTACGAGTACCTGGGCAACTCGGGCCGCCTGGTCATCACGCCGCTGACGGACCGCTGCTACCTCACTCTGACCGGCGCGCTGCACCTCTACTTCGGCGGCGCGCCCGCCGGCCCCGCCGGCACGGGAAAGACGGAGACCACCAAGGACCTGGCCAAGGCCATGGCCATCCAGTGCGTCGTGTTCAACTGCTCGGACCAGCTGGACGTCCAGGCCATGGGCAAGTTCTTCAAAGGCATTGCGAGGTTAGCTGGGGGGTCGCTTACGGTACGGTGGCGGCTAAGTCAGTGCAAAGGAAAGCAAGTCTGGAAACTTGTTGTCACTCTGTCAGTGCTGGCGCGTGGGCGTGCTTCGATGAGTTCAATCGGATCGACATCGAGGTGCTCTCCGTGGTCGCCCAGCAAGTCGTGTCCATTCAGAAAGCACTGGCCGCCAGAATGCAACGGTATTTAAATTTTCTAAATTGATCGTCGCTCCGCTGTGGCGGAGTCTGATGCCGCGCCGCCCCGCCCGGCCACCAGGTTCCAGTTCGAGGGCGTGGAGATCGCGCTCAAGCCGGCCGCTGCCGTGTTCATCACGATGAACCCCGGGTACGCGGGCCGCACGGAGCTGCCGGACAACCTCAAGGCTCTGTTCCGCCCCGTGGCCATGATGGTCCCCAACTACACCCTCATCGCCGAGATTTCCCTGTTCTCGTTTGGCTTCAACGACGCGCGCGAGCTCGCCAACAAGATCACCACCACGTTCAAACTCAGCTCTGAGCAGCTCAGCTCGCAGGTACAACTGCTCAAAAACTACTGTACTCCACCCAAAATCGAAAGGCGGTACACATGGTGTTACGAAGGCGGTATTCGTTTTACCGCCTTCCAAGTGTGGTAAAAAAATTACCGCCCATTGAAGGTGGTAAAATTACCACCTTTCACCGCTGTACCGCCTTAAATTTCCCTCCAAACGGAACATTCAAGGCGATAAAACTGTGGAAGGTGGTAATTAACCGCCTTCAATGGGCGGTAAAACGAATACCTCACTTGGAAAGGCGGTAAAACGAATACCGCCCTCGATTGTGGAGATTTTACCATCCTTGGGATTTGTGTGTCACCGAGCTACGCGACGCGGCGCAAAAACGAATAAGGGACCGGCCCCCGACGCAAATGGCCATTTTCCACCCCGGATCTGCATACTCGGGTGGGTAGACGCGGCGCAAAACGAATTCTCCCCTCGTGAATGCATAATGTGAACTGCCTTAGGACCACTACGACTTCGGCATGCGCGCGGTGAAGACCGTGATCGCGGTGGCCGGCAACCTGAAGCGGGAGAAGCCGGACATGGGCGAGCCGCAGATCGTGCTCCGGGCCATCAGGGACGTGAACGTGCCCAAGTTCCTGCGCGACGACCTTAAGCTGTTTAACGGTATCCATACTCGCATCTTCCTTTTCGACGCGATTTTCCCCTGAGTGTTTCGTCGGGCCTCCATTTCCTCTGTTTTTGTTTTTTCCTACTTGTCACTAAATAAGACTACGTGTTGCAGGGATCGTTTCTGACCTGTTCCCACGGCTCAAGGAGGAGCAGGTGGACTACGGCGTGCTGCTCGAAGCCATCGGCAGGGTGTGCACTCAGAGGGGTCTGCGGGACGTGGAGGGTGAGTCGGGTACACTGCCCTAAACGCTCTAACCAACAAAACAAGTTTTAGTCGCCTTTACCAATAACTCCCTTGTTCACCGAAAACCCAAGGGCGGTAAAATTACCACTTTTGAGAGCGGTAATATTGCTACGGGCGGGATCCATTTTTTACCGCCTTTCCAAGGGCGGTAGAAAATTACCGCCCTTTGAAGGCAGTAAATTTAACACCTTTCACAGTTGTTTGGCCTTGAATGTTCCGTTTTGATGGCACATTTTAAGGCGGTACAGCTGTGAAAGGTGGTAAAAATACCGCCTTTAAGGGGGGACCCTGGTGAAAAAGTGACCAAAATTGCCAAAAATAGTATTTTCAAAGTTCATAGATAAAAATGTGCATAGAAGGTTTCAGATTCAACAGGTTGAACACCTTTAAACTATGTGGGTAGTTCCTTCATCATTTAGAAAGAAATAACATTGAGATCAGTTGTCGTTGGCTTATACACTCAACTTCACAGCTTTGCTCAGTCAACAAAAAATTTTGTCGTAGAAAGACTTCCTGCGTTCCTGGTTGACACCTACATGAGTCGTCTTGCATGGACTCTATTCATTGATGACTTATCGACAAATTTTAGTGACGGAATCTTGATATCAGCCCCACTTTTTTTAACTCACACCTAAAAGTTTCATAAAAGGGCAAAAACTTCACTTTTTTTAAATGTTAAAATTTGAAAATTGATATCTCAGGACAGAAGATGAAATTGAAAATTCCGTCACTAAAATCTCTTCTATACATATTAAGGATAACCCAAAATAATTTTCAAGACTTTCCGTTCCAATGAAAGACGCAGGAAGATTTTTCCCCAACGCTCTAAAAAACACTAAAAAGCCACTTTTCTCAGAGACCGTTCAACATTTTGGATTGAATTTTGTTTTATGAACTCACCATAATGATCTTAATAATCAAGCAAAGTTTCAACTTTCTGGGATTATTTTAAAGCCTACTTGAAAGTTTCACCAGAGTCCCCCCTTAAAAAGGATGGTAATTTTTTACCTCCCTTGGGGAGCCGGCAAAAATTGGATTCCGCCCGTAGAGGGCGGCAATTCTTTTACCGCCTTTTTAACACCATGTGTACCGCCTTTAAATTTTGGGAGTGGTCGATTCTTTTTCCCACATGGCGACTCTAGTCTTTAGCGGCCGTCCAGTACATTCCTCGCCGAAACAAACTGAAAGCAATTCAATTTTTTGTGTGTGCCAGGCTTCGTGGAGAAGGTGCTGCAGCTGTACGACACGACGGTGGTGCGCCACGGCCTGATGCTGGTGGGGCCGACGGGCAGCGGCAAGACCAAGGTGAGTCCGGGCCGGGCTGGGCCGGGCTGGGCCGGGGCCACCAACCCGTCAGCCGCCGTGACGGCCCCGCGGCCCGCTGGGCGAGGAAAGCGCAGCGAGTCGTGAAAACGGCAGAAAAGTTTATGCCACCCGAAAACTCTGCAGGTAGTTTGATGCGCCTGCGTAGTTTTAGCCAGTGGGGCGCACAGCTAGTGTCCTCGGACGGGAGGAGCGGTGGGCCGTATTTTTTATCGACTCTGCCGGACTTTGCCTAACTTCCTCTTTCGGGAGTCGAGGGGAGGGGGAAGCAGGCGCGGATCCAGGGGGGGGGGCGTCGCTCCCCCTGAAGGCGGCGGAGCCGCCTGGTAGGCAGGCAAAAAGTCGCATATTACCCCTGTAGGTAGGCAACTTTCGCGACATCGCCCCCCCCCCTTTCCAGAACCCGCCCCTGGATCCGCCCTTGTCCGCCCTTGGGGGGAAGGGGTGTCCCACCTTTGTGCACGCCAGTGATTTCAACGGATTTCAATTTCCGTGCAACAAGTTCCTGGTATCATCAACAACATTTTATCTCTATGCGCTACCATCAACAACGACCTATCTGTATGCGCTAAGGATAGGAGATAGGTTGTTATTTATGGTAACACATAGTGATAGGTTGTTGTTGTTGACGTTACCTAGTTAAGATGGGAGCTTGTTGCCCAGATGCGACAGGCAGACGTCAGGACGCCGTCCTGAAGCCCACGGGCGCCTGCCTTTGCGTCGGTACCTGGAGTGACGGCTCCGAGGGCATAAAGGAGGCGTGAAGGCTGCGCATGTCTCGGAGCAACCTTCCCTGCGGTGGCTCCAAAACACGGTCCTACACCGTGCTCCAAAAAAAACCTCGGGCGCTTTGATGTTCCCACGCAAACTTCGTTTGTAGCGCTCTGACGTTCTCTTATGTGCATGGGGGGGTTTTTTCCCGTGTGCCGGGGATGGAGGCGCTGTCGAATCACGCACTCGGCTTCGCTGTTATTTCTGAACACGCTTTATTTGTTTCTACAATGACATGTATAAATATAATGTCTTACACAGGGAACTCACACACTCCTTAAAATCGGAACACTAACACAGAGAGCAGAGAGGCGCGCGCGTTGCGGGGCTCTCAGGGAGCAAGTCACTCAGTCTTTGATTTGAATGGCGGGCATAGCCGAGTCACAGGCCGTCCGTGTGCGAACTGGCGCGGCTGAGCGTGTCAGCGTCGGCCAGGGCGGGGTCCTGCAGCAGGATGTCCATGTCCATGCTCTGGAGCCTCCTGGCCTGCTCGGCCTGCGCGGCCAGCGCGGCCTGGGCCACGTTGCAGGGGTGGTCGCCGCACAGGCTGCAGCCCGGGGGGGCCGCGGCCTCGCCGGCCAGGTTGAGGCTGAGGGTGACCTCCTCGGACAGCGCCTCAGACCGCGTCGCGGAGCGCGTGCATGGCGACCTCCTCCCCTCGCGCGGATGTCGGGGCGTCACCGCCGCGGCGTCGCCACCGGCGCCACGAGCCCCGACCCGCGCGAGCGCACCACTACCTGGAACAAGGGGTCTGTGAGGCCCACGGCGTCGACGCGTCGCGGCACCACGCGGCTCGCAGCCACGTACCTGAACTGGCACTCGGACCAGCGCGAGCCGCAGCCGCAGGAGCGGCCGCAGCCGCGCACGAGCTGCCACAGGCAGCGTCGGAAGGTGATGCCGCACATGGAGTAGAGCAGGAAGTTGATGGAGAAGTTGGTGTAGTACAGCAGCATGGAGATCTGCTGGCCGAACCACAGCGAGGAGGTCGTCTTCATGTCCAGGTTGGTGCCCGTGAACACGGCCACGGACGCGTACACGCGCAGGACGTGACTGGAGGAAGAAGCGGACATTAATTAACGATGAAAGCATCAAGACCACTCGAGGCTGCTCATCTCCGCCGCCGTTGTGAAGGACGGTCTCATTCGTTGGCGACCGCCTTCTGCCTCACCAGCCCCCCTCAATCTTGAAAGCCTTCCCGGGGGGGCTTAGGCCACCAAATTGGAAGCAAGCGAAATAAGGCTTACAAGCGCGGCTCCGCTCCATCACCTGGGCATGTTGAGCGTGATGAAGACTTACAAGCGAAGCAAGTGACTGCGAACGCGCGGCTCCTCACCTGGGCATGTTGAGCGTGATGAAGACGGAGCTGATGAGGAGCAGCATCTTCGTGATGCTCTGCTGCGTGCGCGTGGACACCAGCGTCCTGCCCGCGGAGATGGCTGCAACAGTGATTTCCTTCGCGGAGTGACGAGGAATATTCCAGTGGGAAAAGGAACACTTTGAGGCCGTGTTTTTTTCCGACAGCGGTCGGAGTTAGCAGCGGCTGAACACTGTTAAAAAAAATCTGAAAATTCAGACCACTTTTGTCAGACTAGGTGGTCTGAATCTATTTTTCAGACTTGTTTCAGACTGCTTGTCTGAAAATTTTGCCTTCCGGTATGAAAATTGCGACCTGATCGTCTCAGAACCTGAATTCAGACCAGCGCAGTCTGAAAATTTAGATGGTTAAGTCTGAAAATTCAGACCAACCCAAGATTTCGTTTGTCCGCTAGATGGCGCGCATGTTGTGGAACATACCTACTTCTGTTTAAAAGGCTTCTAATGTGAAAATATATTGGTTCAAAAGTTCCGAATTGATAGGACTTAATCGGCCATATGAGAACCATTCTCTGCAGCAAGATTTATCTCCCTAATATGGGTGGAAGTTGAACAATTCACATTCTAATTTACCTCTCGCGGGTGGCTCCGTGTCGCCATTTCCTTGGGTGCCACAGGCCGGCCTCTCGAGAGTCAGGGAAAAGGACAGAGGTCCTTCTCCCTCATCACAATTTTTACTCAATGTTGTCCTCTCTGGAGGTTCACACACACCTGAGATTCTTTCTATGTCATATTGAATATGTCACGAACCTAAAAGTTCACAATCTTCGTACAGGACTGAATTTTCAGACCACCAAACTCTTAAATGTAAGACTCTCGAGTTCTGAATTTTCAGACCATCTAAATGGTCTGAATTTTCAGACCTCAAGTCTGTTAATAACTTCTTACCAATTTGGTCTGAATTTTCAGACTTTTTTTTTAACAGTGAAAGAGCCGCCGTGCGCAGTATGAATGGGGTGTCGCTTCACCATGAGGGCGGTGAGGCTAGGCGAAGCTGCCTACAGTGTAGGCGGAAAATCGCACCTTTCCGCACTTGAAGTAAGCAATCAACTCTTGCGCAACATACCCCATCCTCTGAACCCGTCTCTGAATCCACGCCTTATCAAAGGGAGCAATCAACGAACGATTGGCGTTCCCGTTTTTTCCCGTGCAAAATATGTTCCTCGAAAAGTATGTTACGCGTGCCAATGATTCGATTTTTTTTGACTGGCCCGTCTCGGTCTCAATGGTGGGCCTTTCAATTGGGCCCCGACGCCGACTGAAAAGGAACTCACGAATGGCGTGCGGGGCCCTTGGCAAGGTGGCGAAGTGGGGGTGGACGGAGGGCGCGGCGCCGGTGCCGGCCTTGTGGCCCAGGCCGGGTCCGAGGCCGGGTCCGAGGCCGGGTCCGAGGCAGAGGGTGACGTCTGGCGGGTCGGCCGCCTGCAGCGTGTTGCTGTCCTGCGTCAAGGAGGCGCCGCCTTTGGGGCCGGGGCCTAGCCGGTGCGCGCCGCGCGGCCTGGACGGCGTCCTGGACGCCGACACCTTGATGGCGAACGGCGCGCTCTGCTGGCGCCGGCCGCCAGTCGGTGCGTTGCTGCTCCGGCTGTCGCAGCTCTGGAACACAGGGAGATGAAAGCCGGGCCGGCACACTGTTATTCAACGACGTCACATTCTTTGAATAACATAACAGTGATGCTCAAAGGACCCGGACCGCGGTCAGAACCGCGTATCCGGGTATGCGGGTAAACCCGTTGAAACTGGGTCCGCGGGTTTGCCCGAGTGTTGCCTATTGCCAGGGCAAACCCGCGGACCCAGTTTCAACGGGTACCCGGGTCCACGGGTTTACCCGCATACCCGGGTACACGGTTCTGACCGCGGTCCGGGTCCTTAAGAGCTCTTCAAAGAACGCAGGGGAAAGCGGAGAAAAGAGCAGAAGAAAGGAAGAAGTCCCTTTGCGTACAGGGGACCACTTCACAGTTAAAAACCGTGCAAAGAAGTGTTCTTATTGTAAAACAAAGAATTGCAATGTGAAGAATTTCTTTGCAGCCTACAAAAGATTCTTTCTTAGTTAAACAAACAAAACAGTTTCTGTTACAATCAATTTCCTGAGCATTTTCCGTAACCACCGTTTTCTTTTGTGCCAACAGGACCACTTATTTGCAGGAATTTTTGACTGTGTTAAAGAGCCTTCCTCCTCTTCCGCATGTCGCCCTTTCCTCGGACTGAATTTCCTGTTTCTCCCATTCCAGCTGCCGTATTTTGTTGTTCCTCGCTGCCAGGCACTGCCAGGCGCTGCCAGGCGTGGTTCCGGCTCGCTGAGTGGCGGTGCTCGGGCCGGGTAGGGTGCCGGCTTGAGACAGGGGGTGGCAACGGCCGAGGGAGAGAGTGAAGCGATGCTCGCGCCGTCAGTGCAGAGGTTGCGCACCTGTTCGAGATTATGAAAACTAGACTGTGTTTTTCAAAACGCTTTGCACCGATGGAAAGGGCTTGAAATTTAGGGTGCATTAGGCTAATTGCTCTCCTTGAAAATCCCCGCTTACCTAATATCAAGGTGCAGTAAAAACACCGAAAAACACGAAAAATCATAAAATTTGGGAAAAACTCGAATGCGCCATGTTGATGCAAATGATTCCGCCCTTGTGTTCGGTTGAATTGGAAGTATCGGGCAGTCTTTTAGGCCTAATGCACCCCAAATTTTGTGCTCTTTTCATCTGTGCAAAGCGTTTTGCAATCAACGGGCTAGATCTTACAATCGAAGCAAAACAAGTAACCCCTGCACCTCGCTCGCGCATGGCTTCACGTGCTTCCTAGGCCGTTGCCGCCCCCTGCTTGAGAGGAGCCCTCCTCTCAAGGTGCACTGGAAAACCAAACGTGGTCTAGACCGCAACAAACGTGGCCAAACGTGGTCTAGACCACACCAACTGATGTGGTCAAAATGGCACCCATCTGACCACACCAGTGGTGCGGTCTGGACCACGTTTGGTTTTTCAGTGTGCCGGGCAGTGGGGCGGGGCGGCTGGGGGCGGTTGGTGGCGGCTGGTGGTGGCCCGGGCCGGCCCTGCTTACCTCGGCGCCGAGGTGGCCGTCGGCCCAGCTGTTGGGTGCAGTGTCGCCGCCCTCCGCCACGCCGGCCTGCTTGAAGCGGCGCCCGAACAGCACGAGGTTGCGCGTGATCATGGTGTTCATGACGATGATGAGGACGACGGGCATGACCAGGGTCACGATGGCGTCCACCAGGGTGATGACGCGCATCACGCTGCGGTGCTGGTCCAGCATCTCGCAGGACTCGTAGCCCTCCTGGGGAGAGGGCAGGGCGGATGTTATTTCAAGCAAGCTCGTCTTCGAATGGCGCAGAATCCCGTGGAATCCCCGCCCCGTCGGCTTCCGCGGTGGGTTGAATCGACACCGCTAGCGTGTTTAGGGCTTTCGGCAGCCGCGCTGAGGCCTCTGCGTGTGAACTCGGCGGCCTGCGAACGTTGATAAGTATTGTACACCATGGAGCCCTACTCCATGGCTATGTCGGAATGGAAGCAAGGGGGAGGGGGGGATAAATAAAGCACAATGCGCGCTGCGCGAAACAGCTGATTTTGTCGGGCCGAATCGTGTTCCATTTCTCCCGAGATTTGAGGCTTCAGAATATCGTCCCGCAGCCACACAAAAACGGTCCCCCACCCCACCCTGTCCGCCAGCCGCGGGAAGTCGTGGTGGGGTGGGGCGGGCGCTCCTGACCAGGTGTGGCGGGCGCCGCGCCTTTCAGAGGCAATTGCGGATGGGCGCAGGTTGTGCAGTGGTCCGGCAGACGGAATTCGAAATGCTGACCGCCCCGCCATAATGGGGCTGGGCCGTGATGGCTATTCATGGCAATTGCACAGGACCAGCTTGAAGGAATATCCCCTTGGGCATGTGCGCGGCAGTGAGCCCCACCGGCCCCCGCCTACACGATTGGCACGCCGCGTTCCAGTGTGCGTTCCACGGAACATCGGCCAATAAATTTAATGCGGGCGGTAGTGAGCGCCACCGGCCCCAGCCAACGCGATTTGCAGTGTTCGTTCCACGGAACATCGGCCAAGGGATTGAATATTCGCGTGAGCTCCTCGCTCGGAATTTCATGTATGCCTCCGCGCGGGGAAGGTTCCTGGAAGAGCACACCGAAAAGAAGATTGGTCACAGTGATCGGAATGGGTTGATGGATGAAATCTGTCCGAGGTGACCATTTTTCTGATAATGGTGATCGAAGACCGATCCGGACAACCTAGGGTGTTTCGTCATATCGAATTTTGGGTCCGTCAGAGGTTTTACTGAAAGGCCTTGGTCTGAAAAGAACCTGTGCCAAGTTTGAGCCCGATCCGATAACGGGAAGTGGAGGCGCATCGAGCCTAAAGTTTTTGGGGTCCGCGGCGGATTCGCGCGCACTGTCACACTAAAGCACGCCCCGTGCACGCCGGACGCGATGCAAACCCACGGGAACCATGCAGGTACGTTCACAAGGGTCCATGGTAAGGGTTTATCTACTCGGCAGATCGACCGCGACCACCCCGCCGAAGGGTAGGTGAAGCAAAGTCGAATTTTCAGTCGCGCTACCGTACGTCCGAACGGCATGAGGCAGCGGCTTCTAATTTCACGTGCGTCGACTAGACTGGACCAGGAACCGATCTGATAAATAGCGGTCACGTTAGCGCACCGCGTTCCTCGCGAAAACGCGACGCGAATGTCGCGACGCGCCAGCGCGCGCCGGCCGAGCGTTTGAATTCTGCCCGGCAGTGACCGTGCCGTGCCGTGCCGCTCGGCTGGCCGAACCAGCGCGCTGCCTGGGAGCGGCCCGGAGCGGCACGGCACGGCACGGTCACTGCCGGGCAGAATTCAAACGCTCGGCCGGCGCGCGCTGGCGCGTCGCGACATTCGCGTCGCGTTTTCGCGAGGAACGCGGTGCGCTAACGTGACCGCTATTTATCAGATCGGTTCCTGGTCCAGTCTAGTCGACGCACGTGAAATTAGAAGCCGCTGCCTCATGCCGTTCGGACGTACGGTAGCGCGACTGAAAATTCGACTTTGCTTCACCTACCCTTCGGCGGGGTGGTCGCGGTCGATCTGCCGAGTAGATAAACCCTTACCATGGACCCTTGTGAACGTACCTGCATGGTTCCCGTGGGTTTGCATCGCGTCCGGCGTGCACGGGGCGTGCTTTAGTGTGACAGTGCGCGCGAACACGCCGCGGACCCCCAAAACTTTAGGCTCGATGCGCCTCCACTTCCCGTTATCGGATCGGGCTCAAACTTGGCACAGGTTCGTTTTAGACCAAGGCCTTTCAGAAAAACCACTGACGGACCCAAAATTCGATATGACGAAACACCCTAGGACAACCGAAAGTTCGTCATCGACAAAAGGTTGAGTGACGACCGACCATTCTTCCCCACTGACTGGCCTTTTTTTCCCCGTGCACTCCGCCAGGGAGTGGGTTGGGAGCTTCATCCGTGGAGAGCCTACGATCATGTGTGGTCTAGCCCTTAATGGTAATGGCTATGCCGAGGCCGGTGTAAGCGGCGAAGTGTACCCCCCGGCCCAGGGAGCCCTCGGGTACAACTCGCCTAGGACTAAGGTACCCGGGGGTACACAACGCCTAGGCTCAATGTACCCCGGGTACCTCAGGCCTGGGGGGTACACTGAGCCTAGGCGAGTTGTACCCCAGGGTACAAAAAGCCTAGGCGAGTTGTACCCGGGGTACAAAAAGCCTAGGTGAATTGTATCCTCCCTCATCCGAGGGGAGGATACAACTAGCCAAGGCGAATTGTACCCCGGGGTACAAAAAGCCTAGGCGAATTGTATCCTCTCTCGCCGAGGGAGGATGCAACAAGACGAGGGGATTTATATTCTTCCCCGGCAGGATTGCGATGCGTCAATGGTTGGTTTTTAATTGAACCGACGGAAGGCTTCTAAAACTGAATTGTCCAACCAATCCTAACCAAACCTAACGGGCTCGTGACAGATCTTACTCTACTCGCGACAGATCTAATTCTCAAAAGAAATCGTACAACCTTTCCTAACCAAACCTAACGGGCTCCCCTCGGATGAGGGAGGATACAATTCACCTAGGCTTTTTGTACCCCGGGTACAACTCGCCTAGGCTTTTTGTACCCTGGGGTACAACTCGCCTAGGCTCAGTGTACCCCCCAGGCCTGAGGTACCCGGGGTACATTGAGCCTAGGCGTTGTGTACCCCCGGGTACCTTGGTCCTAGGCGAGATGTACCTGAGGGCTCCCTGGGCCGGGGGGTACACTTGCCCGCCGACACCGGCCATCCGACCAGCCCGCGTGTTGGCCGGGCTTGCCTACCCTGCGATCCGCGGGCGCTTTGCGTTGCGTGCTCTTGCCGCGCGGGTTCTTTCAGGATGGGCTGCACTCACCTTGTCCCGGACGATGCCCCTCGTCTTGAGGGTGTAGATGTGCGAGATGATCCCGAAGGCCGCGATGCAGACGACGATGGCCTTGGCGCGCGCCACGGTGCACATGTGCGGCCGGTGCAGCGGGTACTGCACCGCGATGAAGCGCTCCACCGTGAAGGCCACGATGAGCCACACGGACACGAAGGCGCACACGGACGACACGTAGGTCACGACCTGGCACCAGCCCTCCTTGACGAACACCTGCCGACAACGCGCAAACTTGAGTCTTCAGTGTGCGTACAGCAGTGAAGCGCGAATCGAGGAACCGACCTGCACGCCGTGCACGCCGTCCAGCCAGACCAGCACGAGCACGGCCAGGTAGCCGAAGTCGGCCGTGGCGAGCGCGGCCAGGTAGTAGGACGAGGAGCGCAGGCGCAGGTGCGTGTTGAGGAACACGATGCAGGACAGGAGGTTGCCGACCAGCCCCATGGCGATCATGGCGGGCACGTAGTACTGGTGCAGGAACTCCACCACCTCGAAGCCCAGATCAGCGCCGCTGGACGCGCCACCGCCGCTGCCGGGGGTCTGGGCGCCGCCCTGGGCGCGCTGGGCCGCGTCGTGGTGGTGCTCCTGCATGGCGGCGTAGGCCGAGAGCAGCGACCACGGCAGGTGCGGCACCGGCCCCAGCACGTGCGGCCGCAAGGTGGCGTTGGGCACCGCCGCGTCCTCCCCCACGTCGAGGGGGCCGCTGGGGCCGCCGTCGTGGGGCACCAGGGTGCGGAGCAGGGCGTCGGGCAAGTCCTGCGGCAGGGCACGCAGGGCAAGCGTCACGAGGTCTGCTTGAGAGTCACCGAAAAGGCAAGTGTGGCCAAAGCGCAACGGCTTCTGGTATGGCTCGACTCGCTCGACTCGCACGAGACTCGTGCCGACGCAGTGGTGCTGAGTGGGAGGGAGTGCGAGGGCGAAGGAGTTCATTCTCAATGCAAGCGGACAGGTTTAACAGAGTTGAAGTGGATTTTGGATGCACGAGTGGGAGAATGAGTCACTATTGGCGAGGCGATCCAAGAGTGCTATCAGTGTAATAACCGGGCGGAAGAAACCGTCTGAAGAGGGCTTTAAAGCAGATGGTATCTTGCAGTGTACAGTTGCCGTTTCCTATGGGCTCCCAGGGAATACCAGGATCAGCTTTTGCCGTGTGGCTGAAGAAACTGAAACGAACTGAACGGGAACTGTAGCAATATCATCTGCTTTCTTACGTCGATGACCAAGGCCCAAGAGTCTTGGGCCAAGACTCACCATTCTGTGTGTGCCGTTGCCCCCACCGCCACCTTCCTCTGCGAGGGAGGACATCTCCAGCGATTCACATCGCCCCGAGCGCTGCGAGCATCAACCGCCTGCACTGCAAAATATCCATCATTATTTCACAACAAAACTAGGGGTGATATTTTCTTTCTGAACTCAGGACGAACTAATTCCCCCGTTCACTAATAGACCATTCTAGTCGTGGCTGAGTGAAGAACAAGAAGAATCACAAAAGACTCAATTTAGGGCATTTGAAGTGCAAATGTTCGCTAAAAATATGTTGCATTTACTTGAAAATATTTTTATTAACTTCTACCAAGCAAGGGGACTTAAATGTTTGAAGTAAAAGTGCAATAAAGTACACTTTTGTGATTCTTCTTGTTCTTCACTCGGCCACGACTAGAATGGTCTACTGAATCCGACGGTTGGTAATCAGTGAAATGATCAATATAACCACAATATTAAAAATAATATTTAAAACAATTACAAATATTTTCCTGGATTAAAATATTTTAGAGACATTGTTACACGATTGCCATAATCACCAGACGCTGAAAAAATTTCAAGACATGTCCGGAAAAAGTGTTCAAAACGTCCAGACCGTCGTCTGGGACTCTTTGCGGCAGTTAACTTTTTCATTTCGATTTGAAATCCATGACGTTTTGACGTTCTCGTCGAGAGGAATCCATTCACAACAAATCCAAAGGTCAGACTTCTCGCTACTCCAGAGGCGAGACTTAAAGTTTCACCAAGTATTGGTCAGACCTGAAAATGTCGCCAATATGTGCACTGTAAATTTCTTATGGTGAAAAGCTGCACCAACATATTGTGGTGATTTTCTCCATAATACTAACGAAATTCGTCAAAATATCTATAAGGTACAGGGAATTCTCAATGGTATGTTATGAAGTCAGCTGCACCACCAACATTTTCACCATAGTATGCAAAATCTTCACTGTACTACATTTAGAGTGTGATCAGACAAAAATGTCTCACCACAAAATGGCAAGGCTTTTCTTGTGTGACCACCGAAAGGCCGCTATTTACGGTGCGGCGCTTGGGCGCTGATTAGCAGCTTTACAGTGGTCAGACGAGAAAGTCTCGCCATTTTGTGGCGAGACATTTTTGTCTGACCACATTTTGGCGAGACTTTTAGTTCTGACTGGTCAAAATATGGTGAGACTTAATGTCTTGCCATATTTTGGCGCGAAGTCTTTCCATTCAATTTGCAGTGTTTCTATAATAAGATCTCCATTTGGTGAACTGTCGTCTTTTGTGTACGGAGCGGACTGTCAAAAAGTACTGTTAATCCTGTACCTCAACTACAGTAAAGGCTGTCATTAGAAGTAACGGGGTTCGCTTCTGTAGTTTTTTTGTCAAAATGCATGGCAAATAAAATGGCAAGAACCACGAGTTTAGTGCACGCTCAGAAAAATTTTGAAGCCACTGTTCACTGTATCCTGAAGAAAACAAAAGGTTTTTACTGTAGCCAGGTACCAGGGGGCGGCAACGGCCTAGGAAGCACGTGAAGCCATGCGCGAGCGAGGTGCAGGGGTTACTTGTTTTGCTTCGATTGTAAGATCTAGCCCGTTGATTGCAAAACGCTTTGCACAGATGAAAAGAGCACAAAATTTGGGGTGCATTAGGCCTAAAAGACTGCCCGATACTTCCAATTCAACCGAACACAAGGGCGGAATCATTTGCATCAACATGGCGCATTCGAGTTTTTCCCAAATTTTATGATTTTTCGTGTTTTTTGGTGTTTTCACTGCACCTTGATATTAGGTAAGCGGGGATTTTCAAGGAGAGCAATTAGCCTAATGCACCCTAAATTTCAAGCCCTTTCCATCGGTGCAAAGCGTTTTGAAAAACACAGTCTAGTTTTCATAATCTCGAACAGGTGCGCAACCTCTGCACTGACGGCGCGAGCATCGCTTCACTCTCTCCCTCGGCCGTTGCCACCCCCTGCAGGTACTCAGAGAAAACTGGATGGTCCTGAATCGGTAAAGGATCATTCCTGGTCCAGCCTATAAAGGGCAACAACAGCGGGCAGACCAAAAAAATTATTTTCTGACATTCTGAGAATCTTGCGAGGCCGGCGCTCTCTAACTGTGGCCTAGGCGTTCGCATGGAAGGAAATGAAAGAGTTGGGTCGAGGGAGTACAGGGACGTTGAGGGAAGGCTTTGAACCGCTTTGAACACAACTAGATTGGACGCAGTGGATGCCCTAAGGCAGCTTGGATTCTGCGACATTTTGATTACTGTGACACGGCGGCGCCCCCGAAGTTGTTAAGCCTGTCCAGAGGCGAGGCATGGATGAGTAGGGTCCAAAGTGTGTTGGGACGTTGATGAAAGGCTTTTAATACAGGTAGATTGCACGCAGCGGCCGCCCAAGGGCAAAAATATTGGATTTTTTTCACACTTTGATAACTTTACGGGGGTGAGCGGTGGTGCTGCTCTCAAAGAGGCCGGGCATGAAAGAGATGGGTCCGTGTAGGGCTAGTATGTTGAGGGAGGGTTTTGATCTCAGCTAGATTGTACTCAGTGGCTGCTTAGAGGCAGCAAATATTGGATTTCTCGGCATTTTGAGAGCTTTGTGAGGGCGGCGCTCTCAAACTTGCTTGGGCGTTCTTGAGGCGAGGTGCTGAAGAGTTAAGTCCAAAGAGTATTGGAACGTTGAGGGAAGGCTTTGGCCACTAGTAGATTGGACGCAGTGGCCGCCGAATAATTTCTAATAATCGTCATAATCCCCCATAATCAATTAATTATATCCATCATAACAGTAATGATCGGAGGTAATAAAATGCAGTAATGTGTTTTATAGAACCCTATAAATCCATTCTCTCTTCCGTAAAATTTTACCAAAATTTTGCAATTGCAATAACTATGGCGAAAACCTACTTTGGTATTTAAAAATGCGCTTGCCTAGAATTTCGATTTTAAAATGCAAATATAATGCGATTTTGCGCTCATGAGCGCAAGCAAATTAGGCATGTGAGGCATACATTTGCGGTGTCATAAAGGACGAGTGACACAGAAATCTAATTGAGGATCAGGGATGCCTTGGAACTCGTGCGGGACTCGAGACGTGACTTCTGCACTCCGGAAAGTTGGAAAGTGAGGGAACCAGTGTATGTTAATGTGGCTCTGTTTGTGCCGAGACCCCCTTGTCTGGCTCCCTGATCCTTGTCTTGTGTGACATGACACACTTGCCTGTCAAAGCAAGCCTGCCGCATTGCTAAGCAAGCAGAGGAGCCGCTGCAGATGTCTTCATGCGAAGCGCTAAAACTGCGAATGTACGAATCTAGAGGCATGGCGCTTCCAATCACAATAATATCCAAGAGGCACTTTTGAGAGAGCACGCTAGGGAAAAAAGTTGGTCCAACTAAGTTACAGACTGGAAGGCAAAACCAGAAAAGCAGCAACGAACTTGAAGTTGCCGCATGAAATATTGTCACACACAGAAAGTTTTGCTTTCAAACCTCAAATTTATTTGAACCGATGGCTTTTCTTCTGATCAATACACAAATTTGGGCGAGGTATACTGTATCACCCAAATTTGGGCGAGAAAGGTTTCCTCGAAATTTGGGTGAGGAAGGGTGTATCAGCTACCTATATGGCTCTATAGAGTTATGACACAAATTTGGGTGAGGAAACCTTCATCACCCAAATTGGGCGAGGAAACCTTCCTCACCCAAATTTGGATAATAAAGAATTCCTCACCCAAAATTTTAGTAACGATCATGACTGTTTCTCATTCTCAGTGATATCAGCATTGCAACGGCATAGTGATCCGAGAACTAGCCGAGTTGTCCAAGTAGTGTCGGTTCTGTGTAAGAAAAACTGTGTATCTTAGGGGACTTTTCCTGCAAGGTAGACGTCCTTTGTACATTTTTCACCGTGCATTAATGAGCAACGCACACTGGCCCGGGCCGCGGGGGCGCGATCGCGCCCGGGGCCTCGCGCGAAGCGCAGGGCCTTTCGGCCGCGGGCCACGGGGCCTTTCCACCGCGGGGCCTTCTTGGCCGCGGCAAAGTCGCGTTCTTTAACTATTTACGTACTTAAATCAAAGGGGTACCCATTTGAAAATTTCTCAAAATTTCGCAGAATTTTGCGTCAAAATTATGCCGGATTCCGCGAGATTTTGTTGGTATTCCACGAAATTTCTGCCGATTTTACGCATGGTTTCGGCAAATCAAGCTCATTTTTTGGCCAACTTTGGTCCCAAAATCGTTGAGGTCAAAGGCAAAATCGTTGTGGTCAACGTCTTCCCGAAACAGGGCATGGAAGAGTGGGGTCTTAAGAATACTAGAACGTCGAGGGAGGCCTTTTACGTCAACTAGATGGGACACAGTGGCCGCCCAAAGTCAGCAAAATCAGCAAATTTCCGAGACTCGACCACTTTTTGACCAACTTTGGTCCCAAAATCGTTGCGGTCAAAGGCAAAATTGTTGTGGTCAACGTCTTCACGATACAGGGCATGAAAGAGTGGGGTCTTAAGAATACTAGAACGTCGAGGGAGGCCTTTTACGTCAACTAGATTGGACACAGTAGCCGCCTAAAGTCAGCAAAATCAGCAAATTTCCGAGATTCGACCACTTTTTGACCAACTTTGGTCCCAAAATCGTTGCAGTCAAAGGCAAAATCGTTGTGGTCAACGTCTTCCCGATACAGGGCATGAAAGAGTGGGGTCTTAAGAATACTAGAACGTCAAGGGAAGCCTTTTGCGGCAACTAGATTGGACACAGTGGACGCATAAAGTCAGCAAATCAGCAAATTTCCGAGACTCGACCACTTTTTGACCAACTTTGGTCACAAAATCGTTGCGGTCAAAGGCAAAATCGTTGTGGTCAACGTCTTCCCGATACAGGGCATGAAAGAGTAGGGTCATAAGAATACTAGGGCGTCGAGGGAGGCCTTTTACGTCAACTAGATTGGACACAGTGGCCGCCCAAAGTCACCAAACACGGCCTCCCCTTCCCTGGCTAGTAAATTTAAAACAATGGACGCATATCGGAAAAGGGGGCCCTTGACGTCACACTGCGACCGGGGCCCTGACTTAGCCAGTCCGGCCCTGAACGCACAGCGCGCTCGCGGGTCCCACCTAGCGTAAGCTGCCTAAGCTCAAACCACAGTGTACAATGGTAGCCAAGGGGTGACGTCACGTTTGTTTTCACGTGAAAACGGCGATGTTAGTTTGAGCGTGACAAACGGTGAAAATTTACAGTCAAACGAATGTGACATACCGCACCGCTTTGTCACATTACTTCGGGTGTGACGCGCAATCAGCTGTCGAACTGTCACATTAAATCGAATGTGACACATGGTAACCAAGTACACATGTCGTGTCACATCCAAACGAACGTGACACCCCTTATTCTGACAATCATGGCGTGTCACATTCAAACGAACGTGACAAAGTGGGCATGTCACATTCAAACGAATGTGACAGTACATGGATGTCACATTTGTTTGGATGTGACACGACATGTGTACCGGGTGTTTCAGTGAAAACACGGCAGTCTGGCGGGTTGCCTGCCGCTCAGGCGGAGCCGCTCCGCCGCCAGGCGGCCGCAGCGCTCGGCGAAGCCGGCGGCCGGACGGGTGGGGGAACGGTGGTGGTGGGGGAGATCCCAACGGATCCTCTCTGCTGCACCCTTGGTGTCCTTCGCGACTTCCCCCGCGAGTCCCGCGGCCACCCTCGCGGGTCCGCGGCTACTTGGGTACCATGTGTCACATTCGTTTTTATGTGACAGTTCGACAGCTGATTGCGTGTGTTGCACTGTGAAGATTTTGGTAGTCACTTGATGACAATAAGGGAGGGTGGGGCACCTAGTGACTGTTTTTGGATCTTGGCACCCACTCCGATACTGTGCGAGAAATGAATCTGCTTTCACCTCAGAAGGTTGCTTTGATCCTTCCTTGATCGCAAAAACATGTTGTGGCGTTTCGACAACACCTATTTCTATTCTAGGGGCTAAAATATTTTGTTCAAAGTCTCACTTTCACTTGAACATGATTCCACAGCACAAGACCTTTAGATAAGCCACCTCAAGGTGTCTGAAAGTGCCATAGGGTGGCCAGGGCACCCCTGTGTCACTAGGTGCCCCTGTCACTAGGTGCCCCACCCTCCCTTACCAAGGCTAATTTTCCTCACGAGGACGTCATCAAAATATGATGACATAGGTGTCACGCCTATGCAAAGTATAGGAGCTTTGATGAAAATGTCGTCCACGATTTTGTCATGGAGTGTCAACAAATTTTAACAGTTTGTAGGCCTCACCTCTGAAAGAGTATATCCAAAAGGCAGCACAGGAGCACCCGACGAACTCAAACACAAAATGAGACTGCCAACTAAACTCTGAGCCGGAACAACGACCGTGTCGGTCAGGCCATTTCCGGAGGGAGCCGACCGACACAGGATGGAAAAGCTTCGATCGAGTTTCCGCGTGTCGAGCGAGTTCACGGCGCGCGGGGCTCGGCGTTGCGGACTGATGCGGCGCGGACTCGGCGTGATGTACACCGGCGGAAGCACCCCGACGGACTGTGTTGCTTCCCCCCGCGGCGCTGCGCCTCGCCGCCAGCCCCCCGCGTTGCCCGTCCCGCGTCGCCCGCCCCGCGTCGCTCACCCCGCGTCGCCCGCCCCGCGCCGCCCACCCCGCGTCGCCCCACCCCTCGCCGCCCGCCCCGCGTCGCCCCACCCTGCGCCGCCCGCCCCGCGCCGCTCACCACGCGTCGTGACCAGACCGCGCGCTACCCCGTGACTAACAGTTGCGACGCGCTTCCCCTCCCCAATAGGCTGGCGGAGTGGGCCGAATCTGTGTTCATCCGCGAGGACCAGAGGGACTATGTTACAATGCTAATCTTATGGGACCGAATTTTGCAATGGTAATTATGAAAAAACTACTCAGAAGTTAGCAGTTTAACCATACAATTCGTAAAAGCTGATTTTTTTTCGGAACCCACTGACGTAAGATTCTTTTTTACTGCTGAATTTCGTCAAAACCGATGTATTATAATTACGATAAACTTCCGATGTTTCGCGGACATGTCACAGTACCTCAATTATAGTGCTCCACTTCATTCTAGAAACGGTTAAGATGCATCATTTTAGAAAAACAATGCGTCATTTCTTTTAAAATCAGTGAAAACCGGGACATTTATAGGTTATGTTGACCGCGCGGAGGGATACGACTCCGACAGCCTATAAGGTCCTCAAGCCGCCCTTCTTTTAGATGATTAGCAGGGTTGTTAACGTTAATTTTCAACAAATTGTGCACAATATTTTCAATAGTTTTGGTTAAAATTAATTTTAATTATTACTTTGAGTCTCTTTGTTGGAATAGACTCAGAAAGGTTCCAATATTCTAAGAAAAATTTTAGTTCACTGAATATTGTCATGCTATTGGCCATAGGAGGACGAGAAAGTCAAAATTAACGGCGTTATTTAACGCCGTTAACTTTGACTTCTCTTCCTTCTGTAAGCAAAAGCATCACAAATTCCATCGAACTAGAAATTTTCGTAGAATATTTGAACCCAAAGGGTGACACTCTAAATGTCTTACGTACGAAGGAATTTCCCACAATACGAAGGAAATGGCGCAAGCATAATACGAAGGTGGTTTTTCGTCGTATTACGAAGGTTTTTCTTTGTATCTTACAATGAAAAAGCTGAAAAGATTCGTATTACGAAGGAATATTGCTTCGTATTATGCTTGCGCCGAATTCACTGTAACATACGAATAACATAGGTCAAATTTCATTGTAAGACATTTAGAGTGGAGACATCTCACCAATTTTCAGCGATACAAAACGTATCACCGAAAAAAAGGTCGTGCACGAATGTATCATCGAAAAAATGGTCGTACACGCATGTATCACCGAAAAAAGGTGAGACTTCAGCGAGATTGGCCCTTGTTTTCCTAGGGAAGTATCGCCCTTTTTTTCGGTGATACATTTGTGTACGACCTTTTTTTTTCGGTGATACATGCGTGTACGACCATTTTTTTCGGTGATACATATTAGTATCACCCTTTTTCGGTGAGACGGTCATGTCTCACCCCTCAGTGAGTGAGATGTATCACTATTTGATTTTCAGTGAAGAGACTCAAAGTAATGTTTGCAATTAGTTTTGACCAAAAAAGTTGAAAAAATATCATTCAACGAACGTTAATGAAAGCAGATGATACTCGTTTGGTTTTCTTCTAGGTAGTATTTCGGGATTATTTATAATTGTGTATGAAATGAACTAGATAGCCCAATAAAATACATAGACCTAAGCGAGCTGGACAGTGTTGGTGCGAGCTGAGCTGTGGTTTGCACCGCCGCGCCGTGCCTCGAGCGCGCTGAGCCGTGCCGAGCCGTGAGGCATTGTTGCTGTTCCGTGCGCTGTACCCAGGGAGGGACTGTGCGAGAGGGGGGAGGGCATTGTTGGCCGGTGCCGCTCGCGCTGTACCCGGAGGAGGAGTTGTCGATGCGTCGCGCAGGCTGTGCCTCACTCATTCACCAGCCCGCCCGGGCAGCCAGCCCCCATTATTGTTAGGATACAGCCTTGGTTTCTGGACTCTCGAGTAAAAGCTAGCTGACACCTTTAAGTGTTTTATATTGTTCTAGGTACGTTTTAAAGTACTAAAGGTATCATCTGCTAAAAATTTGTGCGATCTTGATATACCTATGATACAGCAGCATAAATTATCCTCTTTCATTGACTATTTTGTCGATTTGCTACATTTCCGGTCCACTTTTCAATTTGTCACGTTTATCTACTCCTCCCGCTAAAAGTGCTCTGTTGTCCACATTGTCCCGTGGAAACACGGACCATGTTCCCGGTTTCTCAGGGGCTCTTGTTCTGGCTCCACCATTTAATTCAATTTCCTTTAATTTCGTTGGGCGGAGCCAATTAGTTTCGTTGGGCGAAGCCAATAAAAGATGAAAAGAAGCGGATCGGACTGGACGACTATGGAGTTGGAGTTAGCTTGAAAGAGGACGCTGCGCGGCGTCCGTTCCGCAGTTGGCCCCTGCTGCGAGTCGCGGTCTCGCGTCACGTGGCCTCACGCGTGGCACATCTCGCGTATCCATAGAGCCTGCGCTTTTTCTTTTTTTTTACAGGTGCGGTGCACTTTAAATGTTACGTATTATTTTGTCGAGACGTTAAAGTTTCTTGTGATGAACTTTTCTTACGATTTTCGTGTGGAAAACAGCACATACTATTTCTATATTTCCGTGCTACATCGCGTACAAATTTTATCAAGAACTTGATCTGCGCAAAAACTGAAACGTCTCGTACGAAATTTGAACATGAACAATTTATTGTGTCTTTGGCCACCATTTCGCGCAGAGTTTCGTTGGTACGTGCGGGATTTGTCGTCCCCGCTACAGCTCGTACTCCTGCCAGCTAAACGAGTGCTAAACAATGTAAGGGAAATGAGTTTTCTAACGCGCGCGCTGTGCTTGTGACGGTGACACTGGCCTGCTGCGCTGTGCCTGGCCGTTCCGCTTTTCCTCTTTGCCCGTGACTGGACAGAGGGGTCTTTTTAAGCGGTCTTGCTACCGCTTCTAGCTCTGCATACGATCCCACTCATCCCATCCCATCCATCCACCCATCCATCCATTCAGCGCGCTCGGAGGGGACTGCATGGTCGTGGTTCTTCGTTCGTCGTCGCCTGCGCCGCCACGCCGCTTCGCCGCGCCAGTCCCCACTCCTCACAGCCACCCCCTCCCTCCTTGCCCCCTCTCTGCCCGGCTTCCCCGGCCGGTCCACGGCAAGACCGCTTTGCTAAGCTTGCCTTGGCGGAACTTTTTTCCTCCAAGAGCGCGGTGTTTTATGGAACCGAGCCCAGTCCTGAAAGGCGAGACCTCTGTAAATGAGAGCCCTTCATTCAAGAGACATCCTAATCAGCCTCTCTTTTCCTCGTCCTGCTGCAGTGCTACGAGGTGCTGAAGGACGCCATGACGCTGCTCTCCGGTAAGCAGTCGCCTAGCGGGACACCCTTCACGCCGGTCCACGCCGCCGTCCTGAACCCCAAGGCCATCACCATGGGGCAGCTCTACGGCGAGTTCGACGCCGTCACCCACGAGTGGTGGGTACCCAAGTCCGCCCCCGCCGCGCGCTGCAGTCGCCCAAGTTTCGAAGGCCATGAGTGACGTGCTAATTAACGGCCGCAGGACGGACGGCATCCTGCCGTCGCTGGTGCGGGTCGGCGCCGCCGCCGTGGACGCGGACAAGCGCTGGTTCGTGTTCGACGGCCCGGTGGACGCCGTGTGGATCGAGAACATGAACACGGTGCTGGACGACAACAAGAAACTTTGCCTCACGAGCGGCGAGATCATCAAGATGACGGAGCACATGACGATGATGTTCGAAGTGGCGGACCTGGCCGTGGCGAGCCCGGCCACCGTGTCGCGCTGCGGCATGGTGTACCTCGAGCCCGGCGTGCTGGGGCTGCGGCCTTTTCTGGAATGCTGGCTGCGCACGCTGCCACAGGTACGGCGAGCCAAGTTTGCGACCGCGGGGAGGCGTGGCGCCGCGTACCGCGTGGTACCGAGTCCCTGCTAACCCCCATGCTTGGCCGTGCCTCACAGTGGGACGAAACGCGTAAAAAGCGGCGAGAAGTGGCATTTTGAAAATTGAACGGCAGGGTCCAACAAACTAGTCGGTGTTAATTGGAAAGGCCTCGGCCATGCGTGACACTTAACAGTTTTAAAATATATGACCCGAGCGAGCCACAGCGGAGCGCCAAAGATGACGCATTTTCAGCTTTTCGTTCACTTATTCCAATAGGAGTACAGTGTTCGCTCTGGTGGCCGCCATATTCAGGATAAAGGTCTCATATTATATGTTTTTGGAAAGCTAACATCCTCACCAATGTTATTCAGCAGTCAGGTTTACTCTTGGGTCACCCGGATAAAAATACATTGCCGTTAAAAGTGCTATAAAATTGGCGTCTGAACGATTTTTACAGTGCGATAAGTTGAGTTGCGAACATTTGCGCACGGTTCTGTGACTTGTCGGTGATAGGGCAGCCAGTCCACTTTGGACTCCATGCCACTGAATGTTTCGGAATGTTTCGCGTTTTGGGAAAATAGCCTCCAAAAGAGCGTTCTGGACGAAACCCGAAAAAAGTGGCGATGCTCCGATCGTCTCCAAAATCGCTACCCGGGGGTTTTGGGGGATGAGAAACTCGTTGCCGTCAACGTCGACAGCCGGAAATGAACGCCAGGGGCAGATCCAGCATTCAGGGAGGGGGCTTACCGTTCGGAGCCCACTGAACGATGCCAAAATCACTACACGGGGGTTTTTGGAGATGAGAAATTCGTTCCTGTAAACGTCGAAAGCCGGAAAAGAACGTTTGGTGTGGATCCAGTTTAACCCTTTCCTTGATTGCTAGATCCGCCCCTGGCGTTCGTTTCCGGCTTTCGAGGTTGACGGTAACGAGTTCCTCATCCCCAAAAACCCCCGAGAAGTGATTTTGGCATCGTTCCGTGTACTCCAAAGGGTTCACCCCCTCCTGGAATGCTGGATCCGCCCCTGGCGTCCGTTTTCGGCTTAGAATTTTGACGGCTTCAAGTTTCTCGGACCCCAAAAACCCCGGGTAGTGTTTGTGGAGACGATCGGAGCATCCCAAAATTATCGCCACTTTTTTCGAGTTTCGTCCCACTGTGTGCCTCCACCGCAGCACGGCCTCGACGCGCTGCCCAGCCTGGCCGAGGACTTGCTGGCGCTGCTCGACACGTACCTGCTGGGCGGCGTGGCGGCGCTGCGCAACTCGCTGGGCGTCGTGGAGGTGCTGGCCTCTGCCGACATCTGCCTGGTGCAGGGCTGCCTGCACCTGTTGGACGCGCGCCTCGGCCGCCTCGCGCCGCCCCGGCCGCCCCCCGCCGCGCCCTTCCTGGCCCTGCTGCGTGAGTGGACGATGGACAGGCGGACGGGCGGGACATGACGGGACGGGATGCAATCTGCGCCTGCCACAGGCCTTTGAGAGGCTCCAAGTCGCTTTGTAAAGGCATCCAGTCCGCCGCGCGCTGCTGCTGTGTACAGTCTGAATGACGGCCCAAGCCCGCAGCTCCGTCCCCGAGGCCGGGTTACACGCTACAGGCCGGCCTTCACCGTCTCGCCTTATCCCTCCAGCGTCGCTGCTGGCGCCGTGGGTGGCGCTGGCCGTGGTCTGGTCCGTGGGCGCGACCTGCGACAACGCCTCGCGCCACAAGTTCTCCGCGTGGCTGCGGCGCACCATGGCGACCCAAGGTCACGGGCCCGCCTTCCCCAGCGAGGGGCTCGTCTACGATTACAGGTGCGCTCGGCACGACGGTCGCACGACGGCCATAGCCACGAAGAACGCGCTGCACTCGTGTAAATCTTGTCAGAATGTCAGAAACATGTCTGAAATCCTGATCAAAACTCGAGCACATCTGAAAGCTGAAATACCGAAAACTTATGCTGATATTGATGGCCTGGGTTCTGCAGAATGTCAGAATATGTTTTTGGCTTTCAGAGGTGCGCGAATTTCGATCATGTTTTCAGACATGATTCTGACATTTTGACAAGATTTACACGAGTGTGGGACACGCTTAAAACTGAGATGATTGTGTTTGCTCCATAGCACTTGAAAAACCGCAGAGTTGCGCCGCCACTGTGCCGGTTAATAATGCTCTTGATGTTCTCTAGGCTCCACGACGGCGGCTTCCAGGACCCCACCGACGACGGCGAGCCGGCGGCTCCGCGGTGGCTGCACTGGATGCACGACCAGGAGCCCTACGCCATCCCCGAGGACGCGCTGTACTCCGGTAGGTGTTCCGGTGGCCCAGGGGGACCGGCCCAGGGGACTGGACCACTGACCGCAGCGACTGACTTTGTCGCAGACATCGAGGTGCCCACACTGGACACGCGGCGCTGCGGCGCCATGCTGGAGCTGCTGGTGACGCAGGGCCGCAACGTGGCGTGCGTGGGCCCCACGGGCACGGGCAAGACCCTCACCGTCGTGGCCAAGCTGACCCGCGGCCTGCCTGACAAGTACATCGCCGACTGCCTGTGCTTCTCGGCGCGCACCTCGGCCAACCAGACCCAGGCACGAAGCAGAGAAACGGCGTACTTGGTAGTTTCCTCTTTCCGGCTCTTCCGATTAATTACTTCGACTTAGGAGGAAAGCGGACAAGCTCGCCGTCTGGGGCGTCGGATGGGATGAATTCCGGCTTCTTTTCTCAAGGCGGTTTCCGGCTTTGCCTCGGAGATGTTTTTTTTATCGGGCGCGAGGGGGCAACCACTCGAGAAATCGTGTGTCCCCTTACTAGATCGCTCGAAATCTCAGGAAATCCGAAACCTTCTTTCCAATGGGCAAAAAATAAGCAGATTTTAGGCCTAAAATGGAACAAAATTTTGTGAAATCCGAAGAAATCTTGTCTCTTAAAAAATCTTGGGTCCCCTAACGTCAAAAGTGGTTGACCCCTCGATCGGGCGTCAAGGTGGCAAAGTTCAGAAACTATCTCTTTCTCTCTCTACGATTCGCCGGACACCTAGTGCCACGCACAGAAACGCCCTGAACTCCGCAACGGTATGGGTTAGCTCCAATCTGTTTGCATCCCGTAAATCCTCACTCGTTTTGTGACAAGATGAGCTATTGGAAAAGTCTCTTATTTGAAAATCAAGCCTTCAGGGCGTTGGCAAACAGAAAGGTGCAGCTCTAGTTAGGACTCCCTAAAAGTATTACTCCAAGGTCAAGACGCACCCTGTTATAATCTCCAGCCTTCGTTGGCAGGACGTGATCGACTCCAAGCTGGACCGGCGGCGGAAGGGCGTGTTCGGGCCCCCGCAGAACAAGCGTCAGCTGCTCTTCATCGACGACTTCAACATGCCCGCGCTGGAGGTGTACGGCGCGCAGCCCCCCATCGAGCTGATACGCCAGTGGCTGGACTTCCAAGGTGCGCAAACAACCCGTTGCTTGCGAAGGGGTTCCCACGTGCTCGTCTGATATTGGATTTGGCGGCAGGCTGGTACGACCGCAAGGCCGTGGGCGAGTTCCGGCAGATCGTGGACGTAAACCTGGTGGTGGCCATGGGCCCTCCCGGGGGTGGCAGGAACGCCGTCACGCCCCGGGTCATGAGGCACTTCCACTACCTGGCGTTCCCGGAACTGGAGGACCACAGCAAGGTCAGTTTGGTGTCGTTGGCAGGGCCGAGGTCTGGCCGAGGGCAGCAATTCAATGAAAATGACGAATTAACAAACTGTTCTACTTGCGCCAAATGTAAAACTTTAAGAAATGAGGGAATATTTACGTTGCTGAGTGTTGATTGAAGGCCACCATCTTCGGCACCATCTCTCGCTGGTGGCTGGAGCGCACGGACGGCCTCCTGGGCGAGCTCGACCGCCTCGTGCTCGCCACCCTGGACGTGTACGACGTGGTGCTCAAGGAGCTGCTGCCCACGCCCACCAAGACCCACTACACCTTCAACGTGCGCGACCTCAGCAAGGTCTTCCAGGGCGTGCTCATGGCGTCCCCCAAGAACGTCACCACGCTGGACCAGCTCCTCGTGCTTTGGTACCACGAGAACCTGCGCGTGTACCAGGTACTGTCCGGTGTCACGCAATGGTGCCTTTACTGGAACGTGACTTTGACGGCGCCGCTCCGTTTCCAGGATCGTCTGGTGAACGACAGGGACCGCTCTTGGTTCGCCGAGCGGCTCAGGTCGGTCCTGCGCACGCGTTTCAGCCAGGACCCCGTCGGCCAGGAGACGCTGTACTTCGGCGACGTGGCCAACGTGGAGCGGGAGTACGTTCGCATCACGGACGTGGACAAGGTGGGGGTCTCTCCCAGAACGACGTGAAGCGCCTGGGAGGTTTTGGTGACGCCGCGGTGTTCGGCTCGCAGTTGTCGGACGTCCTGCAAGAGCTGCTGGACGACCTCAACTCGCAGAGCACGGCGCCGATGCAGCTGGTGCTGTTCACGGACGCCATGCAGCACGTGTGCCGCATCGCGCGCGTCCTGCGGCAGCCCCAGGGCAACGCGCTGCTGCTGGGCATGGGCGGCTCGGGTGCGTTGCTCGCCTCCCTCGGGTGGGGCGTGTTGGCGACAGCTTTGTGAACCAGCCCTGGGGTTGCAGGCCGCCGGAGCCTCACCAAGCTGGCGGCCTTCGCCATGGAGCTGACGTGCTACAGCATTGAGCTGAGCCGAGCCTACGGCCTGGCGGAGTGGCGGGACGACATCAAGACCCTGTTGCTCAAGGCCGGCCTGCACATGCGCGAGTCCGTCTTCCTCTTCTCTGACACGCAGGTGGGCCAGCTCTAGGGCCAGTATGGACGCCGAGGTTTTGTTGGCTGCAAGAGTGCATCCCCCAATCTGTTCGCTGTGTCCATCAGATCAAGTCCGAGTCCTTCCTTGAGGACCTGAACAGCATCCTGAACGCCGGCGACGTGCCCAACATCTACGACGCCGAGGAGCTGGACAAGATCTACCAGCAGATGCGCGGCGTCGTGACGGAGCGGGGGCTGCAGGCGACGCGCTCCAACATGGTGGCGGCCTACCAGCGCTGCGTCAAGTCCAACCTGCACTGCATCATCGCCATGAGGTGGGTGGGTCGCCGCGCCTACTCACCTGTGCACCGGCGAAGGCGAACAAAACGTAGACGCGTTTGGAGCTCCAGAGTCGCCATACAGGACTCGAACCGAACGTGTGACCCCACCAATGGATTCCTCGTCCGGAGGGCAATCCGTTGGTGGGGTCACACGTTCGTTTCGAGTTCCATTTAGCGACTCTGGGGCTCAAAACGCGCCTATAGTTTTGGCCGCCTCCCCCGCTCCTCTGGCCCACTGTGCTGCGATGGCCTTTCACCTTTCCCCGTTGCAGCCCCATCGGCGACCTGTTCCGCGCGCGCCTCCGGATGTTCCCCGCCCTCGTCAACTGCTGCACCATCGACTGGTTCAGCGCGTGGCCGGACACCGCTCTGCAGGTCCTTTTGTCTCTGCGGCCAGCCTTCTCGTTGCGCGCTATCGCCCGCAGATATTTTGCTGTTAGGAACAGCCCGTGTGTTGATCCATCCCAGCCTTTGTCCTGTTCTCTCAACCGCAATTCTGGCCTCGTTTTTTTTTTTTTTTTTTTGTCGATTTCCATTTCGAGGGGTCCTATTCAAAAGATCTTATCTGGGCGTTCCCCCCAAGACAATCTTATCTTAAACGCAGGCAAATTTCGCTCACTTTGACCCTTTGGGACGGGTTCGAGAGTAAGCGGAATATATTTCTGCATGTACCATTGGTTTCTTTGATCTTTCATCTTCACATTTCAGTCAATTTAATCACAAATTATATTCATTTGTAGCTGTATCAAATGATCAAACTGAGTGCAATTTGCCTGCGTTTAAGATAAGATTGTCTTGGGGGGAACGCCCAGATAAGATCTTTTGAATAGGACCCCTCGATTTGTGCTTTCTCTGCGTGGACCAGTCGGTGGCGCTGCGGTTCCTGTCCAACATCCCCGACCTGAGCGTGCCCCCGGCGGTGCTGGACGGCATGGTGGCGGTGTGCCGAGGCATGCACACCAGCGTCGAGGCGGCCAGCGAGCTGTTTGTCCAGGTGGGCGTCGCCTCCCATTTCACTCTTCGTTCGTTGCCGTAGCGCTTCGCCGGCCTGCCGACTTAACAAAACTCTGCTGAGTTCCACACGTGGTCGGGGCTCGTGCCCCTTTCGGGCCTTGCGGCCTGTCCGGCCTGCCTGTTGGCCTGCCTATTGGCCTGCCTATTGGCCTGCCTATTGGCCTGCCTATTGGCCCGGCGAGCGCGTCCCCAACTTTCGGCCTTAAATGCCCGCAGGAGCTGTCCCGCCACTGCTACGTGACCCCAACGTCGTTCCTGGAGCTGCTGACTAGTTACTCGGACTTGCTGATGCGGAAGCGCGCCGAGCTGGACCAGGGCGTAGTGCGCCTGCGCAAGGGTGAGCGTGCCAGTCAGCCAGGCCGCCCCGCCCCGCAAGCCCCGCCTAGGGGCCCAGCCCAAGTACGCAGCAGGTCCCAGCCCACCCCAACCCGACACGAAATGTGCGGGTCGGGCCGGGGCGGGCACGTACTGTCCAAACCAGTGGTTCTCAACCTTAGGGTCGCGACCCCAAGTGGGGTCGCGAAAAAATTTTAAGGGGTCGCGGCGAGGTAGCTGGGGTCGTGTTTTGGGCCGATTTTAAGCAGCCACTGCGTCTGATCCGAGGCCGGCATTTTGCTCCCTCAACCGGCAATTGGTCTTTGAACCTTCCTTTAGCATTCATTTGTTACGGAGTGTGATTATCAGTCTTAGTTTGGGAGCAGTCTCAAAGTTTACCAAAACGGTCAGAAATGTCTTTGAAAAATCGTGTTTTGGGCCGATTTTAAGCAGCCACTGCGTCTGATCCGAGGCGGTATTTCGTCCTCCTTCAACAGGCAATTGGTCTTTGGACCTTCTTTTAGCATGCCTTTGTTACGGAGTGTGATTATCGGTCTTAGTTTGGGAGCAGTATTGTCTCAAAGTTGGCCGAAACGCTCAGAAATGTCTTTGAAAAATCGTTGTGCCTGTTTTGGTCAACTTTGAGACAATACTGCTCCCAAACTAAGACTGATAATCGCATTCCGTAACAGAGGCATGCTAAAGGAAGGTCCAAGGAACAATTGCCCGTTGAGGGAGCAAAATGCCCGCCTTGGATCAGACGCAGTGGCTGCTTAAAATCGACCCAAAACATGATTTTTTAAAGACATTTCTGAGCGTTTTGGCCAACTTTGAGACAATTCTGCTCCCAAACTAAGACTGATAATCGCACTCCGTAACAAAGGCATGCTAAAGGAAGGTCCAAAGACCAATTGCCCGTTGAGGGAGCAAAATGCCCGCCTCGGATCAGACGCAGTGGCTGCTTAAAATCGACCCAAAACATGATTTTTTAAAGACATTTCTGAGCGTTTTGGCCAACTTTGAGACAATACTGCTCCCAAACTAAGACTGATAATCGCACTCCGTAACAGAGGCATGCTAAAGGAAGGTCCAAAGACCAATTGCCCGCTGAGGGAGCAAAATGCCCGCCTCGGATCAGACGCAGTGGCTGCTTAAAATCGACCCAAAACATGATTTTTTAAAGACATTTCTGAGCGTTTTGGCCAACTTTGAGACAATACTGCTCCCAAACTAAGACTGATAATCGCACTCCGTAACAGAGGCATGCTAAAGGAAGGTCCAAAGACCAATTGCCCGTTGAGGGAGCAAAATGCCCGCCTCGGATCAGACGCAGTGGCTGCTTAAAATCGACCCAAAACATGATTTTTTAAAGACATTTCTGAGCGTTTTGGCCAACTTTGAGACAATACTGCTCCCAAACTAAGACTGATAATCGCACTCCGTAACAGAGGCATGCTAAAGGAAGGTCCAAAGACCAATTGCCCGCTGAGGGAGCAAAATGCCCGCCTCGGATCAGACGCAGTGGCTGCTTAAAATCGACCCAAAACATGATTTTTTAAAGACATTTCTGAGCGTTTTGGCCAACTTTGAGACAATACTGCTCCCAAACTAAGACTGATAATCGCACTCCGTAACAGAGGCATGCTAAAGGAAGGTCCAAAGACCAATTGCCCGTTGAGGGAGCAAAATGCCCGCCTCGGATCAGACGCAGTGGCATGCTAAAGGAGGGGTCCCGTGGGGTCGCGAAATTTTTCCTGGGGGTCGCGGAAATTTTTGGCTACAAATTTGGGGTCGCGAGCCGAGAAAGGTTGAGAACCGCTGGTCCAAACTGTCCTGTCCGCACCTGTCCAAATCGCCAAATTTTGCATTTATTACGGCCAAAGCGTGCCCACAGACGGTCCGCAAGATTCCTCGGATGTCTGTAGCTAGCCGCTGAATCAGTGGGCACCTGGCACCTTACTACGAAGAATGCCGTGTTTTAGAAGTGGGACTTTGTCCAGCTCGAGCCAACGCGAGTTTGATACAGGTGGTGCCTGCAGCGGCTCCAGGATGAACTAGAAGCACCGTCTGAAATTGTTCACCCGTCTGAGACCTCTAGCCGAGATGCGCACGCTGGCTGCGAATCCGGCCTTCTGATTGATTGGTCGAGGGTAAACTGGGGAAAAATCGGCCGATGCGAGGCCAGAATGGACATGGAGAGGGGACGCCGCCCGGCCGGGAGCCTCGCTCGCAGTGCCAGTCTCGCACGGGGCGAAAATCGCCCGGTTTACTACTCCAGCAGTCGAGCGTGCGCACAAGGGGGGCTGACTCTCCCGAACCGTGTACGAAGTATTATATATTATAGGTATTATAGAGTATTATAGGTATTATTCCGAACATTTTATTTAGATAATTGTGTCGTTTTAAGTGGTTTTCCGTGTACCAAAGGTTTCCGAAATACGCAAGTTAGTTGAAAACAAGGATTCCGGCTTGCGCTCCTGAGCCTCAAAATACTACCGCGCATCTTTAAGAGCCTCAGCACCTTGTCATCAGCCTTAGCGCCATTTTCTTACTCTAACGATCCGTCTAAAAATCGCTGAACGCCTGTTCACCACAATTTTACAAAACTTTCTCATTTTGAACCCGAAACTGCACTAAATGTGCGGCATTTTTTGGTATTATGGATTATAGTATTATAGGTATTATACAAGTATTATAGGTCTGTGTACGAAGTATTATAGGAGTCAGCCCCCCTTGCGTGCGCATCTCTCACAGAGGGGGTCCCTACTCTAGCCCCCATGTGGCGAGTTGGGCCTGGACACGATTTCGCCATCAGGGCGGAGCGAATAGCGCCTTAGCGCTTCATCCCCGGGCCCGGGCGCTTTACCGCTTTCGAGGGACTTCCTTTTTTCTGGACCACCCTCCTCGTTTTTCTAATCATCCGGGCGTCCTTTCCTCGACTTTTGTTTTCTCCTAGCTTGCAAGCGACTCCACACCCGTCTCGCCTCGTTCTGCGAAATTCGCGCTGTCTGATCTTTATCCCGGCCGGTCGGGCTGGACGAAAGGCTCGTGTGTACGAAGCGCCGTATGCCTTCCTTTCAGAGCTTAACGCTACACTGGTAAAACTAAAGCGTAACTCTGTGCTTGAGTCAAGCGTAAAGTTACGCTTGAAGACGTTACGCTTGAAATCAAGCCTAGACTAGAAATTCCCCTATGCATTTAGATAGGGGGAACCTTGGCAGATGAGCCTGTAACGCTTGATTTCAAGCGTAACCAGATTACGCTTGAAAACAGAGGGTAATACTACGCTTTAGTTTTACCAGTGTAATGCTGGGCGCCTACGTTCTGAAAAGCACTGGAGCCCATTTACACTTTCCGGGAACGTGACGTATTCGTTGAAACGCGCTTTGTGTCGTGTTCGTCCGAATACGGCATTCGTTTTTATGCAAATGAGCCACACACCCAAGGAGAACGGAATCGTCACGACACCGTGAGCTGCAGGTGACGGATTTTCGCCCCGATTTGAGCACATATGAGGTCCCATGTGACCCGAAATAAGCTCACGATGAACTTTTCGTGACAATTTTGTTCTCCTTGGGCAAAGGCACGGGACCAATCAGCCCTCGATTTACATTTATGCGAACGGGACATTGTACTACGAAACTTTTGCAATTAGTGAGCCTAGTGTTCTAAATTTCCCGGGAACGATCATTTTGGGGAACGTTCCCAGTAAATTCCCGGGAACATTTCCGAAGATTCCCAAAAGCTGGGAATATTCAGCTTTTTTAAGAAAATAACTTAATTTACCTACTGGAGAGTACAAACAGGTAAATTTTGGCTATTCTCGCAATGTCCTATCTATATCCATTACTATTTCAGACTATAAAGACTTGCGTTTTAAGTCGTTGAGACTCTAGCTTCTTTGAAAACTTTTAGGTCGATTCTCAACATATTAGTCGGTCCCCGTGAAGCCAGTCGGTTCAGCAGATATTTAACTACCATACTATAAACGATCAGTTCTGAGTGGCATCGGTTGGGGAGGATGAGCCAAGAGCCTAACACTGCCCATAGTACCGAAAATTCACGTCAAATAGTAGAACAAGCGTGTTTAGCGCTGTTACGTTTGCGATTTCTTACAACCTCTATTTTTATCCCACCTTATTAATCAAAAACAATAACATTATTCAACTTTCGTGTGCAGAAACCATAGTTCATGTAAATTTGCAGTAAATTCTTGCATTTATCGATATTTATACTTAATTTTTACTTTAAATCGGGAACGTTCCCGTTTTGGAGCCTTGAACGTTCCCGGTAACGTTCCCCAAGATTCCCAACTTTCCCGGGAATATTCCCACCCTTTAGAACACTGCCGTGCAGCCTCCCTTTTTCGGCCACTCCCTGGGCGCGCGGCGCCGCGCGGGGCTCGCTGTGCTTGGGGTTGGGCCCCGTTGGGGTTTCCGCCGCAGAGTGCCAAGTCGGAGGAAAGTTTTTCGGTGTGCGCAGGCCTGCACAAGCTGCACAAGACTGCCGAGGAGGTGGCCGAGCTGCAGAAGGACCTGGCCGCCATGCGGCCCTCGCTGCTCAAGGCGCAGCAGGAGACCGTCTTGATGCTGGACAGGATCGCCGCCGACACGGCAAGTCCAGGCAACCCCCTCGACACGAGGGCCGGGTGTGTTTATTTTTAGAAAGCACAGCGGCAACGTGTTTGAAACGGGCGCTTAGATTGCTTGTTGACGCGACCTCTGGGGGCGGTGGGGTTGGCAAGGGTGGCAGGCCACTGGCAGAGCTCAGACGGATGGCGCCGTCTGTCACTCTTAGCGCCTCTCGGGGCGGGAAGGGGAGGGGGTGGGCGTCTATACCCGACTCGTCCTTTGTGGAGGCTGGCCTCGAAGGGACGGGCAGAGCGCCACTTTGCTAAACGACCGGGTGGGTGTTTGACGTCACAGGTACAAGTGGAGAAGGCGGGCGAGGAGGTGCAGAAGGAGGAGAAGGTGGCCAGCGAGAAGAGCGCCGAGTGCGCCGCCATCGCGGAGGACGCGGAGGCCGACCTGGGTGAGCTCGGCCGTGGGTCGGCCGTGGCTCGGTCGGACGGGCGTAAGCCGGCCAGGCCCTGCCTCGCGTCCCGCGGCCTCACACTGAGTTCTTGGTTGCAGCCGAGGCCATGCCCGCCCTGCGCGAGGCCGAGAAGAGCCTCCAGGCGCTCAACAAGAACGACATCAGCGAGGTGCGCGCCCTCAAGAAGCCCCCCGCCGGCGTGGTGCTGGTGATCGAGGCCATCTGCATCGCCATGGGGGTGCCGCCCAACAAGGTGAGCCCGCCGCTGCCGCCCCTCGTGCCGCCCGGTGCGCTTGGCGTCGCCTGGCCACGCCTGGCGAGGCCTTGCGAGCGAACAGTGTCGGTTCGGTCGATAATCCACTCGCTGCGCAGCGGCGTCAATGAGACGCAGTGCAAGTCCTTGCTGCTTCAGCCTTAATTCACCCAGCCACCACGTGCAACTCGCAACCGGCTCCCATGGGGATACCTGCCATGGAAACTGTTGGATCAATGCTGCCTTTTAGAGGCTGGTGCTGTTAGCAATCTCGCGGTGGCGTTTTTTTCTACGAGCCTGGAGCTGTTTGCAGGCCCCCGGTACAGAAGGTTCCTTTTCACTCGCCTCAAAGGGGTTTCCGCGGCTGCATACTCCGACTGCCTGTCTGGAGCCGAGAGAATTGGGCTCACAGCCCCACTGCTGCTCTTGCAGGTGCCTGGGGCCAAGCTCGGCGAGAAAGTGAACGACTTTTGGACGCCCGGCACGGCGCTGTTGGCCAGCCCGGACCAGTTCCTCAGCTCGCTCGTCAACTACGACAAGGAGAACATGACGGAGGAGGCTGTCAAGAAGCTCAAGCCGTACATTGAAAACCCACAGTTCCAGCCCAGTTTCGTGGTCAAGGTGAGAGCGGTGGTCGGAAACTTGGCTCCTGTTTCAAATGACCGGTTTCAAACCTTCAGTTTTGTGCAGGTGTCGAAGGCCTGCGGGTCGCTGTGCGTGTGGACGCACGCCATCTACAAGTTCTACTTCGTGAACCTGAACGTCAAGCCCAAGAAGCAGAAGCTGGCCGAGGCCAACAGGGAGCTGCAGGCCACTCAGAAGCAACTACAAGCCACTCAGGAGCGAATGGCCAAGGCAAGGGCGGAGGGCTGGGGTCCTCAACCAGTCCCTTGACCGTGTCCTTGACAAAGTCCTTGACGGCCCCGTAGATTGTGGCGGGGCTGGAGGCGCTGCAGGCCGAGCTGCGCGCCACAGAGAGCAAGAAGGCCGAGCTGGAGGCCCGCGCCCAGCAGTGCGAGGACCGCATGGACCGGGCGCGGCGGCTGCTGGGCGGCGTGGCCTCGGAGCAGGGGCGCTGGGCCGACACCGTCAAGGAGCTCGAGGCCGGCAAGGACGTGCTCATCGGGGACGTCCTCATCAGCGCCGGTCAGTGGAACGGCAGGCCAAGGGTGCTTCAGGCTAGCGTGGGGTTCGTCCGCGTCACAGGCCGCCTCGGCATCAAGTTCCCGCCTGGGTTCTCGCCTTCTCGGCCACGTAGCTCCAGGCTGAGCTGAGTTTTCCTTCCGACGATTTATTGCGTCTCGGCATCAGCCCGCTTTGTCAAGGCTTCACGTGCATGACGCAGAAGCCTGGTGGCGTGGCGTGGTGGTGTGGCGTGGTGGCGTGGCGTGGCGTGGTGTGGCGTGGTGGTGTGGTGGCGTGGCGTGGTGGCGTGGCGTGGCGTGGGTGGTGGCGTGGCGTGGTGGCGTGGCGTGGTGGCGTGGCGTGGTGGCGTGGCGTGGCGGCGTGGCGTGGCGTGGTGGCGTGGGTGGTGGCGTGGCGTAGTGGCGTGGCGTAGTGGCGTGGCGTGGTGGCGTGGCGTGGTGGCGTGGAGCATTGTGGCGTGGGCTGTTCCCCCTCTCCCCATCCCGAGAGCTGTCGGGCGAGGCAGCCCTGCCCTGCACTCTCAGCACGTTTCTGACTTTTTGCTCATTTTGTCAGCACTGATTCAAGTAATTCGTGCAACCATTGTACGTACTTTTCCTTTTTTAAAGAACTACTTAGGAAATATTAAATAATGCACTGACAATTTGGTTTTGTACATAATTTTACAAAGGAACTTTGTCATACTTACCTAGAAATTACTAGGTATTTTTGTTGCTTACACGAATACATAGTTAATGAGGCAAAAGTCAGTAACGTGCTGAGAGTGTGCGGGCGCGGGCTTCAAAAAGTTTTTGAGAAAAGTCGCTGCACTTGTGCCTAGCGCGCACTGACCCCATGCTCCCCAGTAGGGCAGCGGCCACTTCGACTATGCTGAAATCCTCCCGCATCTGAGGTTGCGGCGAGGTCGCGCAAGGTCGGAGTATCTTCCTGACCCGAACCGCCAAAGGTCTGCATAGGCCTAGCAGCGCTGATGATGATGATGATGCAGCCCACTGGTTCCAAATGTTTACTCCGTCGCTCTTTCTCTCTCGCAACCCCCAAATGATTTCCTGAGAGAGGGGTAGCGAGGTGACTCATTCACCCCTTTGTCGTGTGACTGAGAGAGCGACATCTCACTCGTGGAGCTTGTTAGGGAGACAAAGGGACGGCGCATTGTACGAGTCGCTCTGATGAGAGTTTCATAGAAACCGTTTTCTATGGTCAGGAAGTGATTGCCAGCAAGAGGCGCTCGCCCGGGCTCGCCCGTCACGTCACAGTCGTGCAGTGGAAATGAGGGAACTCTGAAAACGAGGACTCCGGAGTCCTGAAAGAGGACGAGAATTGCATTCCACGCGAGAAATTCCTCAGGCGCCGCACACCGAAATGGAATGACTTGAGCCAGCAGGGTAACTTGAACATAACCTTGTTGACAGAACCATAACATGAATTTTTTTTTTCGCAAGCTCGAAATCAAAGCGTTTGTAAGCTCCAAATCGTGACCACAGCATCTGGTGTCGTGATCCTCTGTGCGCCATGCTGCACAGATGTTCGCTCCGTCGCTCAGTAAGTGGAAGGCTGTGTCGCGCCCCACCGCCGCGTCGCGCGCCGCGTCTCGTCGCCCCGATGATGGATCACCGGCCGGCTCGTCCATCTCGGCACTCTCTGTCTCTCTCGCACTCCGTCCCGTGGCGCCCCGGGGGTGCGAGAGGGACAGGATCCACCGCCGCCCAGGGCGCCCCGCCTGGCCCCGCCGCGCCCAGGCGTCATTACTCTCCGGAATAAATTAGAAGCGCGGCGCCGCGCGAGGATCGCCGAGGATCCGCCGCCAAATCGACTATGCGCCAGAAAGCTTTATCCGCTTCCGGCTGCGATTCCTGGCAGGCGTCGATGGCGGCGTGACGCCGGCGTCAGCGTCCCACGCGCGCCTCTCGACAATCTCTCGCGCTCCCCTGGCAGACAGAGCGATCTTTCTTTCCGTTGGTTCTGTCATTGTGCGAGAAATCGAACGCCCCGGGTGGCGCCCGGAGAAGTGTTCTCCCGCCCTGCACCGGGGGAGAGGGATCGAGAATGGAGGCCCTGTGTGCTTGGGCTTCAAAGATGCGGCCGCTCTTCGCCTTTCAAGCGAATGTCACTGTAGAAAAAATCCACGGTAAAAGGTACAGGCACAGTCTGGTAGACAATTTGCCACCGTACCGGCTTTTGGGGTACGGAGTACGGGTACGGGTACCGAGTACGGTTTTTCACAACATGGGCTCTTATGGGAAGCACGGTTTTCGGGTACAGTAGTTCTGTACGCCGTAAGGTACGGTCTAGCCGTACCCTTTTCCTTGATATGTACGGCTTTTTTTAACAGTGGTGGGGACTGCTTGACTTAGGACGTGGGACCCAGTACGCCCGCCTTTTTTTCTGTATTGCATCCATCCCTTTTTTTAAGCAGATAGGATAGCTTAAACAAGCGTTAAGAAGGATAATACACATTGCCAGCACACTGCCTGACTGTCGCCTGGCAGGTGCCGTGGCCTACCTCACGGTCTTCACGGACCGGTACCGGCGCGAGCTGCTGCAGCGCTGGAAGGCGGCGCTGCAGGCCGCGGCCGTGCCGCACAACCCCGGCTGCGGCCCCGTCGCCACCCTGGGCGACCCCGTGGCCGTGCGGCTGTGGCAGGTGGGTGGCGCGGCGTCGCCTTGGCTGTCGCCTTGGCTGTCGCCTTGGCTGTCACCGCGACGATGGAGCGGCAGTCCTAGTCCCCAGTGGTCCCCATCTCGTACACGCAGCGTCAAAATGATCGTAGCACAGTCTTATTTAAACTCAAACTAAACTTTTTCGACGCTTTCAAACAATATCAAAAAGTAAGGACCTGTTTTAAAATTTAGAGGCTTTTATCCGTTTGAGTTTGAAGAGACGCGATGCCTTGGCTCCGAGGGGGTAACGACTTCGGGAATCCCAAAATTTTGAGGTAACCTGTAATCCGTAATCCGGCTGAAACGAAATTTACCAGTCGTTACCCCCTCGCTTGGCTCAGTGCTCTCAAGAGTATTTGTTGGCCCCAACCCGCCCGTGGGGAATGTCTGCGATCCCCCGCAGCAGCAACGTCGGGGAATCCGGTCCCCAATTCGCCCCGCGTTGCGCCGCGTTGTGTTGGCAGGTGGACGGGCTGCCTCGGGACGCGCTGTCCATCGAGAGTGCCGTGTTGGTGGCGCACTCCCGACGCTGGCCGCTGTTCATCGACCCGCAGGGCCAGGCCAACCGCTGGATCAGGAGCACGGTGCGTACCGCGTGCGACCGCGTGCCTCGCACCGCAAGCCTTTGTGGCGCTGTCCGGCGCAGGCAGCGCAACTTTATCCCGCCACTTTGGCGCCCCGGCCGCCGCGGGATACATTGATGGAACTAGTAGCTTCGTTAAGTAACTAAGCTCCCAAACTTTGCTGCTCCAGTTTAAGGACAAAGAGCTCGTGGTGCTGAAGCTGTCTGATCGCGCCCTGATGCGGTCGCTCGAGACCGCCATTCGCTACGGCTTCCCGGCGCTGCTGGAGAACGTGGGCGAGGAGCTGGACCCCGCGCTGGAGCCCGTGCTGTCCAGGGCCACGTTCCAGCAGGGCGCGTCCGTCGTCATGAAGCTAGGCGACACCATGGTGCCGTACAACCCGAGCTTCAAGCTCTTCATCACCACCAAGCTGGCCAACCCGCACTACCTGCCCGAGGTAGCCATCAAGGTCCTGCTCGTCAACTTCGCCCTGGTGCCGAGGTGGGTGTGCTTGTCTTGGCCTGCCGCGGCCTCCTCGACGGCTCGCTCTGCAGCGCTTGCCCCGCTTGCCCGCAGCGGCCTCACGGACCAGCTGCTGGCCCTGGTGGTGTCGGAGGAGCGGCCCGACCTGGAGGAGGCGCGCTCGGCCATCGTCACCTCGTGCGCGCAGATGAAGCTGGAGCTCAAGGAGATCGAGGACCACACGCTGGAGCTGTTGTCCGCCTCCGAGGGCTCGCCCGTGGACGACATCGACCTCATCCTGTCGCTCGAGGCGTCCAAGCTCAAGTCGGACGAGATCCTGGCCAAGGCGAGCGACACACTGCGCGCGCTGCGTTCTCGGTGCCGTTTGGCCTCTGATGCGAACCGCACCGCCTGCCGCAGGTGGAGGCCAGCGAGGAGACTCAGAAGGAGATCGACCGCACGCGGGCCGGCTACCTCCCCGTGGCCAACCGCGCCCAGATCCTCTACTTCTGCCTCAACGACCTGGCGCGCCTGGACCCCATGTACCAGTACTCGCTCGAGTGGTTCACGGCCATCTTCGTGGCGGCCATGCGCGCCAGCGCCAAGGGCGAGGCCGAGCAGGAGGAGCTGCAGGCGCGCATCCGCGCCATCAACGACGCCTTCACCTTCTCGCTGTACGGCAACGTGTGCCGGTCGCTGTTCGAGCGCCACAAGCTGTGGTTCGCCGTGCTGGTGTGCGCGCGCATCCACCTGTACCACGGCGCCATCCAGCCCGCCGAGTGGCAGTTCTTCCTCTCCGCCGGCATCCCCGACGCGGTGAGGGAGGCCCCGGGCCGCGTGCCGCTCTGAGCCCACTTAGCCGCAGCTCCACCTGCGCCCCTGAGGCCCTGGATTAGCAGTGTATTACGACCTGGGCAGCACAGATGGGTCCGAGAGACCATGGAGAGACTGTACCTTCTCGGTGTCTTGACAGATGGAGCCGAACCCGGCGCCGGCGTGGCTCTCCCCGCGGGCCTGGAGCGAGCTACTGGCCATGAGGAAGCTGGACCGGCTCAGGGAGTTTGCCCAGAGCTTCCCTCAAGGCATCGCTCAATACAAGACCATCTTCGACTCGGAGCGCCCCCATGGGTGAGCGCGACCGCGGTGGACGCGGTGCTGGCGTGCACGTTCAGTGTCCCGCGGATCGGCACCACGGCCTCGCCCTCTTTGCCCTCCCCAGCGAGCCGCTGCCCGAACCCTGGCAGTCCCGCCTCGACGGCTTCCAGCGGCTGCTGCTGCTGCGCGCGCTGCGCCCCGACAAGCTCACCGAGGGGCTGCAGGGCTGGCTGACTCGCCAGCTGGGCGCGCGCTTCGTGGAGCCGCAGGCCGCCGACGTGGCCACCATGTTCAAGGACGCCTCCCCCACCATCCCGCTGGTGTTCGTGCTGTCGGCGGGGACGGACCCGGCGCAGGAGCTGTTCGTCTTTGCGGACAAGGTCAGTGCCGCGCGCCCGCTCGCCGGCCCGGGGCATGGCCTGGCCCCATGGCCTGGCCACCCCCATATCTCAGCCGCCCCCGCGGCCGCCCCGCCGCGGTCCGGGAGCTGGCGGCAGCCCAACTAGCCGGACGGAGCAGGGACGCTGCCCCCCGCCCCACCCCTTGCTCGCGTCGGCTGACACCACTTAGTCCGCCAAAAAACACGCGAGTCCGCCGCCCGGCCGGCGAGGGTGAATGTTTGTGGGCGGCGGGGCGGCGCCACCCGCGGGGAAAGGGAGTGGGAGGGGTGCGCCCTGGCCCACCCTGGCCCACCCTGGCCCACCCTGGCCCACCCTGGCCCACCCTGGCCCACCCTGGCCCACCCTGGACCACCCCGGTGCCTGCCGTTGCCAAGTGGGACGGCCATTTGGACGGCATGTGTGTGCCGGCCCTCCCGCCCCGAAATGCGAGCCAAGCCGGTGGTTTCCTTGGTGCGCCCCGTGGCTTTCCCATTAGGAGGCGCGCTGCGGGGGCGCGGGGGCCCTTTGTAAAGCATGTCGTGGGTGGGCTCCGCGCCGCTCTGCGCGCCGCCTCCCTCTCCCCCTCCTGCCCTTGCGGCCGGGCTAAGAAGCCACATCGCTCCAATGTAATTTGTGCCGGATGTCGTGGAGGTAAGCATGTCGAGGCGTGACGGTAACATAATATGCACAGAGCCGGGGATTGTGTTAGGCACAAAATTCTGGACTCTGACCGCTGGGACCTGTGTCCGGACGAGGACTGGTGGGACGGCCGGCAACGTTTCACCTGACTCGATTCGAAGCGCAAGCCCTTGACCGACGTCCCCTTCTAACAGTGATGGCGGGCCGTCACGGCCGTGTTGCAGATGCGCATGGCCAAGCGGCTGGGCGTCATCTCGCTGGGCCAGGGCCAGGGCCCGCGGGCCGAGGCGATGCTGCTGCAGGCCATGGAGGACGGCTCCTGGGTCTTCTTCCAGGTTTGCGATGGAAGCTCAACCCAATTTTTGACCCCGAGGCGGGAAACAAGTTTCGACGACTCAAGCGTAGCCTTTCTACCTTCTTCTTTTTCTCCTTCTGTCCGTGGGTCCATGGTGGGTCCGACGCCTGCCCCGGCGCCCCGGCCGTTTATCCCGAAATAATGATGCCCCGTCGGGCCGTCGCACTTGGCGGCGCACGCTAAAGTATTGCGCGGCGGCCGGCCTTCTTTACTGGCCGGGGGCTGGCCGTCCGTTCTGGCCGACCGTTCTGGCCGTGCGGTCCGTCCGGCGGCCCCGCTGCCCCCAGGAAGGCCCGCGCCACCCGCCCCTTCCGCCCCGTCCGCGCTGTCGCCGGACCGGTTTTCCACCTCATAAATTCGCCAGCCCGCGTCCGCCCGCGTCGCGGAACGTGGATAGCAGAACAAGAAGCGCCCCACGCCGCGGGGTTATGCCAAACGGCGCAACCCCAGCAGGTGTTCCAGGTGCGGGCGGACGAAGGGTGGGCCCAGGACCCCCCCAGGAGGCAGCGCTCTGCCGCTCCCCGGCGCCGATTCTATCGCAGGCACGGCAGGGCTGCGAGCAGGGCCCGGTGGGCAGAGTTGCTTGGGAACCCGGGGGTTCCATTTCCTTTCCGGGGTCCGGAAAAAGAAGGGGTTTTTTTTTCCGGGAAAGGGTTTCCCGACTGGGGGAAAGGTTTCCAAGGTCCGGGGTGGAGGGGTTCCCTTTTTCCAATCGGGGCCGTCGCTCGGGAAAGGCCACTGAGTTTCCAAATCGGATCCGTTCCGTACGGACCTGGAAATAGGTCCATCGTCACAAACAGACACGTACGTCCGACCCTTCGTGTTCGTCTGAGGGAATGAAATATTTTAGTTCTAAATTGCTGGGTTTGGAAAGGGCTGGCAGAAGGGTTTTGCCCCTGGGTCACGCACCCCCGCTCACCTGAATGTTCGAGTCTCCCGTATTTTCCCTCCTAGGGGTCACTTCGAAGCGCCCGGCGGAGGGGGCGGGAAAAGCCGGCCATTGGGCAAAAACCGCCCCGGGACTAATCAAAAAAGTCAAAAAACCCTAACCCGAGGGAACGCAGGGGAAACGCCCTTTAGCGCCATCTAGCGTGCTGGGAAGGGGGAAAATTCCTTTAAAAGATTTTTCCCGACCACAGCCGGCCTTTCCGAAAACCTTCGAAGCTGTGCAGCTTCCATTTTTCCCCTGGGAGCGGAAAAATTTGGGTTCAAGAGGCCCCCCCCCTTTTTGCGCACTTTCCCTTTCCCGCAGCTGGCCCCGGCCGTTTCCCCGGAACATGTTCGGCCCCCCGGAACGGAACAAAACTTGAAGCACTCATCCGGTCCGGGGACCGTCATGGGAAAAAAATTTGGGCGGAAGGGAACGCGTGGCCAAAAATGGTAAAAATCCGGACCCCGGCTGCGAGCGGCCCCCCGGGGGGGCTGGGGGGGCTGGCCCTGGGGAAGATGCAAAGTAGGAGAGAGGCGCTTCCATTCAATTTTCTTTTCGGTATTCTTTTGCGTGACTTTCAATTGCATTTTTTTTTTCGTCGACGGTGTTAAAGGTATAGAGAAGCAATAGAGCGTGAAACCATTATGATCTTAGAATTGTGAAGGAGGAAAGAAGTCCAAGAAAGATGAATTGACTGACGGGAATCACGTGTTTGCAGAACTGCCACCTGGCGCCGAGCTGGATGCCGCGGCTGGAGCAGCTCCTGGAGGGCGTCACGGAGGACGGCGTGCACCGGGACTTCCGCCTGTGGCTCACGTCCACGCCGAGTCCCTCCTTCCCCGTCGCCATCCTGCAGGCCTCCTCGAAGATGACTGTGGAGCCTCCGCGCGGCGTCAAGGTGGGTGTTCTCGGTGTTTGATTAGCCGCAAGCTTTGACGAGTTTCTAGCCCGGAACGGGGTCTTCTCGGAACCGCCTTTCCCGGCTTCCTTCGTGGAACTGCCGGCGCTGGCGGCGTCGGAGCATCATTGCACTAATCATACGTAGTTAGTATACACAGTAAATACTCTATGAAGAATCGCTTCGTAATACGAAAAAAATGAAGGCATTGACAATGCACTTTACAATGTCGCATTGTAAAATTTACGAAGAAATGCTTCGCATTATGAAGCAAAATCCTTCGTAATACGAAGCATTTCTTCATGATATAAAGCAATTCTACAACGCCTTCATTTTCTTCGTAGTCATGAAGCAAATGCTTCGTAGGCTTTTAAGAGTGCACATTAAGTGCGAGGGGAACAGAGCGATGGCGTCAGTTTGCGCGGTCAGTAGTCTGCTGACTACGACGTGTGTGCAGCTTGCTCTGCCTGCGGCAAACCCGGCCTCCTCCGAGGGGGAACAGCTTCCCACGTTCAGTGTACAAAATTTGACCACATTCCACATTGAGGTGGCAAACACGCCTGTAGGTAGGCAACATGTGTGGCAAAAACGCCAGAAATCTTGCACATTCTTGCACATTCGCCCAATAATTGTACACAAAATTTTACAGTGGCTCACCCCTTGGCCTGGGCCCTGGCATCAAAGGCAGCCGTGAAGGGCATGCATTAAAATTATGCCCTTTAAGGGCGTGAACGATTTACGCCCTTTAAGGGCATAAATCGTTAATGCCTTTGGGAAAGGGCATTAAAATTTTGCTTGAAATTCCTATACCATTTACGCCTTTCCCAAGGGCATAAAACGATTCATGCCCTCGGGAAGGGCGTAAAAGAGTATTTATGCCCTAAAGGGCGTAATTTTTATGCCTTTGTTTTACCAGTGATGTCGCTGCTGTTTGCGTTCCGAGCAGGAACAATGTCCCCATGCCGTGTGACAGGCAGGCGGCATAAGAAATCCTTCTACCCGGGCTCTCATTTCACGTTCCTCGCCTCGGGCTTAGCGCCTGCGAACGCGTGGTTGGGCCGGCCCGCCGAGCGCGCGCGTGTGGCGGGCCGGCCTACCCCCGGCTTTGCGGGCGCTCGGCCTCGGCTAGGCCGGCCGGCCGCGCTGGTGCGCGCTTGGTGCGTGGGGCGACGGCGAGCTTGCTGTTGCATGTTGCAGGCCAACCTGCTGCGGGCCTTCCTCAGCCAGATCCCCGCCTACGAGGACCTGTTCAACTCGCAGCACTCCAAGGCGCTGCCGTTCCGGCGCCTGGCGCTCTCGCTCACGCTGTTCCACGCCGTGGTCCTGGAGCGCCGCAAGTTCGGCGCGCTGGGCTTCAACATCCCCTACGAGTTCACCGAGGGCGACCTGCGCATCTGCCTGTCGCAGCTGCACATGTTCCTCATGGAGTACCACGACGTGCCCGTCAAGGTGGCGTTTCGGTCCTCGCCGAGGTTCTCGCCGAGGTTCTCGCCGAGGTCCTCGCCGAGGTCCTCGCCGAGGTTCTCGCCGAGGTTCTCGCCGAGGTCCTCGCCGAGGTTCTCGCCGAGGTTCTCGCCGAGGTTCTCGTCGAGGTCCTCGCTGGGGTTCTCGCCGAGGTTCTCTCCGAGGTTCTCGCCGAGGTCCTCGCCGAGGTTCTCGACGAGGTTCTCGACGAGGTTCTCGCCGAGGTTCTCGCCGAGGTTCTCGCCGAGGCCGCGGGGGCCGTGGGAACTAGTCGCGTGGCGAGGGAGGTGGCGACGTCCTTCGGCGACGTGACGGACTTGATGTTTGCCGAGTCTTGATGACATACAAACACGCGTTGATGCGCCAGCTGCGTCAGCGCCGACGGCGTTCGGCTTTCAGCTTTCGTTTGGTTTGCCAGTCAGGGGCGCCGCTGTCGACGTGGAGGAAAAAGCGCGGCGCGAGGACAGGGCAGGCTTTCGTTGGTTTTTTTAACTGTTGTCGTTTGCGGACAGGTGATGCGCTACACTGCCGGCCAGATCAACTACGGCGGCCGCGTGACGGATGACTGGGACCGGCGCACCATCGCCCACCTGCTCTCGCAGCACTACGACCACGCCGTGGTTCAGGCCGACCACAAGTTCGACGACGCAGGCATCTACAAGCAGGTCGGCCCCCTCTCTCGGGCTCGGCTTGGCCCGCCGCGCTGCGCTGCTCACCGAGCTGCTCACCGGCCTGACATGCACTGGGTTGCAGCTGCCCGACGCGACGCTCATGCCGGACTACCTGACGTACCTGCGGACGCTGCCCATCAACGACCGACCCCAGCTGTTCGGCCTGCACCCCAACGCGGACATCTCGTGCGCGCAGAACACGGCCTACTCGGGGCTGGCGGCGCTCGTGTCGCTGCAGCCGCGTGCCGGCGGCGGTGGCGGCGGGCCGTCGGCAGAGCAGGCCAGCATGGAGACGGCCACGGCGCTGCTGCGTCAGATCCCGCCGCCCCTCGACGTGAACGCCATCATGAATAAGTAGGCAACCTCTGCCCCACGCGCCCTTGGACACGATCTAAGCCCTTGGTCGCTCACGGTCGCAACTGTGCGCAGAAAGCCGAGGAAGCGCCATAGAAATGAGTGGAATGAGGCTGTGCTTCTCATTTTGAAAGGAATTCGCTTCAAGGCATTTGTTTTCAAATGTTGCGAATTGCGTCGTTTCCTGCCATGCTTACTTACAAGGACCTCCGAGATCCAATAACTCACCTCCCCGAGGAGGGAGCATGATGGAACGTTGGCGCTCGCGCAGCGCCTTCGGGTTGAAATTAAATTGACTTGCCGCTTCGCCACCCAACGGTCTCTGACGCCGACAGGTACCCCGTCTCCTACGAGGAGTCCTTCAACACGGTGCTGGTGCAGGAGGTTCTGCGCTACAACAAGCTGCTGGCCACGGTGACGCAGTCCCTGCAGGACCTGGTGCGCGCCGTGCAGGGCCTGGTCGTCATGTCGGCCGCGCTGGAGGCCGTGGCCGACTCGCTCGCCGCCAACGCCGTGCCGCAGCTGTGGGCCGCCAAGGCCTACCCGTCACTCAAGCCGCTGGGTGAGGCGGCCAGGCTGGCCCACTCCAAGTTGCTGTGCACGTTAAAACAGGATTTGTCGTGGCAACGAATATGTATGTTGATTTTGGGACAGCTAAAAAAAGTTGTTAGGCGTACTGTCAATTTGTTGAACAACATCGTCAGGAGGACAAATATAAATGAAAAAAGCGAGGGGTGAATGACCCTTTTAAACTTGTGAGTACACTGAGTACGGGCTTATTTGTACACATGAGTACACTTGTGATTCACCCCTCGGAAAAAAGTCAAATGGTCGTATTCCTCACGAATTGTTTCTCGTTCTGACAACCAATTAATAGTACGCCTAACAACTTTTTTTTTTGCTATCCCACAACCGACATACATTTTCGTTGCCACAACAATTTTTTTTTTCGTGTGATTGCTTTTTAAGCAGTCTGTTTGGAATTGGCTTTCAATGGAACCTCATCAATATTAATACGCTGTCAGTGCATGTGCGGTACGAGGCAGCGCTGCGTGGCCAGACCATCTGGTGTGCGTCTCCTCCGCACAGTGGATTTGCCAGAAGACCGGTGGAGGCGGACAAAACTCTAGACACGTTTTGAGCTCCAGAGTAGCTAAACAGGACTCGAACCGAACGTGTAACCCCACCAATGGATTCCTCGTTCGGAGAGCAATCCATTGGTATGGTGGGGTCACACGTTCGGTCTGAGTCCCATTTAGAGACTCTGGAGCTCAAAACGCGTCTAGAGTTTTGTCCGCCTCCACCGGTCTTCTGGCCCACTGTACTCCGCCCCACTCTCACGAACTCTCTCGCACACTCAGGCGCGTGGGTGTCCGACTTGCGGGCGAGGTTGGCTTTCCTGGCGACGTGGGCGGAGCGCGGCATCCCGGCCGCCTTCTGGATCTCGGGCTTCTACTTCCCGCAGGCCTTCCTCACCGGCACGCTGCAGAACTACGCCCGGAAGCACGTCGTCTCCATCGACACCATCGGCTTCGCCTTCCGAGTGAGTGCACCTCGTGTTTGCCGCGGCGGCGCTATGGCTTGCCCGTGGCCGGCCGCTGACCCCTGCACAGTGGGCCAGAAGCCGGTGGGGGCGGCCAAAACTCTAGACGCGTTTTGAGCTCCAGAGTCGCTAAATGGGACTCGAACCGAACATGTGACCCCACCAATGGATAGCTCTCCGAACGAGGAATCCATTGGTGGGGTCACACGTTCGGTTCGAGTCCCATTTAGCGACTCTGGAGCTCAAAACGCGTCTAGAGTTTTGGCCGCCTCCACCGGCTTCTGGCCCACTGTGCCCTGTGCCCTGCGCCCTGGCGGCCCTGGCATGCCTCGTCTCGGTGACGCAGGTGCTGGCTGACCGGCCCTCGGCACGCCCCCAGGAGGGCTGCGTGATATACGGGCTGTTCATGGAGGGGGCGCGCTGGCACCCCTCCGAGGCGGTCGTCGCCGAGTCCCTCCCCAAGGAGCTGTACACAGGTACGCCGAGGGTAACGGGGCCCCCTCTTCGCCTGCAGCGACGCCCCCAGAGGGCTTGACGGCACCCCTTTGTATACAAAGAGCAGGTCTCTCAAAAAACAAGAAGTGTGCCGTGACAATGTAGGTTTGTGACTGGAAGGCACTCTGCCGTGGCCTCCGCCAACGGCGGATCCAGAGACGGGTTCCGGGGGGGGGGGGGGGGGGGGGGATGTCGCGAAAGTTACCTACCTACAGGGGTAATGTACGACTTTTTGCCTACCTTCCAGGCGGCTCCCCCCTCCCCCTCCCCCCCTTGGATCCGCGCCTGGCCTCCGCTACTGATGAGACTTTAAGAGACTTTCGACTAATAACTTTCTTGTGTCGCGACGCCTCGGGCCGGGCAATTGAATTAATCTACGGCGCGCGCTCGTGACGCGGTCCGACCCCGACACGAGGGAGGCCTGCAGGCGCGAGCTGCCTCAGCCCCTCCGCCTCTGTTCCGGGAGGCGGACGCCAGGCTCCACTCAAGCGTGTTCCTTTATGCGAGCGGATTTAGTCACCAAGTCCCCCCCTCCCCTCCCCAGACATGCCGCCCATGCTGCTGCTGCCCGAGCCGCACCACAAGGAGGCTGCGGCGGGGCTGTACGTGTGCCCCGTGTACAAGACGCTGCAGCGCGCGGGCACGCTGTCCACCACGGGCCACTCCACCAACTACGTCCTGGCCGTGGAGCTGGCCAGCAAGCGGCCGCAGGGCCACTGGGTGGGCAGGGGCGTCGCCCTGTTCTGCGCGCTGGACTATTAAATACTTTTTCCCTGGCCCCTTTTTTTAAGCGGTCTTGCTACCGCTTCTAGCTCTGCATCCGATCCCACTTATCCCATCCCATCCCATCCCCATCCATCCATCCATCCATCCATCCATCCATCCATCCATCCATCCATTTAGCGCGCTCAGAGGGAACTGCATGGTCGTGCCCTATATCGCATTTGGCCTTAGTGGACAGTGGACGTTTCGTGACGATTGGTGCAGGGCGGTGCAGGGCGGCGCGTCGTCTGCTGGGTCGTCGTCTGCTTGTCTTCACCCAAGTTTTCCATTCGTCCAAAAAATTCTCCCATTTGGTCTTATTCTAAGACAGCGGTTCCCAACCTTGGGGTCTCGACCCCATTTTGGGTCGCGGAAATTTTTTTTTTGGGTCACGGCGTGGTGGCGGGGGCGGGGGTGGCCTTGGGTCGAGAAGCCTATATTCGTGGGTCTCCAGTGGCCCCCGGCAGCCTACGGTATTGCGGCGCTTCCGCGAAGGATAATCCCAGAGTTGTTTGCGTCTGCCGTGGCAGTGGGATGCGCCTCAGCATCTGTTTACGGCTAAAACGGGGAAGATAGATTTACACAATAAAATTACTTTTAAATAGATGCGAGACGGTCGCTGTTGCTCTCGTGTTGAAGGTTTCGAGGTAAACAGAACTTGTATCTGGCAACGTCGCCTGCAGCCAGCGCCTTGGAGCCCAGAACCAAGTGTCCACTGTCCACTACACCGAAGTGAATCCGAGGGTGGTTCGTCGGTCGTCGTCGCCCTGGCCCACCTCGCCCCCACTCCTCACAGCCTCCCCCTCCCTCCCTGCCCCCTCTGTGCCCGGCCTCCCCGGCCGGTCCATCGCAAGATCGCTTTTTTCCATTCACAACAAAGGAGAGAGAGGAAGCTTGCTTGTCGGAGGCTGGTTTAAGGGGGGACATCACTCCAAAAACAGTGCTTTTGTAAAATCGTCGTAAAAACCAAACGGAAAGAGAAAAATTGTTCACATTTTAACAGATAAAGTACAAAACAACACTAAGTCAATCCGCCAGGGCAGTACAGCGCTTTCGTTGAAAACACATTTTTGAGTGTTAGGTTAGACCATTTCGCACGGTTGCAGCGCTGGACGCCAAACGGTTTGACCTAGAACATCGAAATTTTGTGACAGCCTTCCTGAGATGTCTGGCTATGGTGGGTACCTCAATCACATTTAAAAAATCATTTAAAGTTGTATTTGTTACATACCAAAAAATATTGTTTAATTTTTTGGGTCAAAATTGTTTAATTTTGAACGTTAAAAAAATAATAAAAATTGACCAATGCAAATTATTTTGCTACCCACCATAGCGGCATGTCGTAGGAGCTTCCATGCTAAATCTCCCCGCTGTAGCTCAAAAACTGCGCCCTAGAGGCCTGCAACCGTTTGCAATTTCATGTTCCGAGAAAAACGCGATCAAGTTGGGGAAACTGGGCTTTTCCCCTTTGCATGTTTGCGGCCCATAACCTCCCAAAACTTCAATTTTTTGAATTTTGGAATGCGGTTTTTGCCATTCGACGCAGAAAAGAATGGTCTATAGCAGGGGTCTCAGACTGGCGGCAAACCCGGGGCCGGACTAGGAAAAAGAGAGAGACAGAAGATCGGAGCGCGTCGCGTCGGCTAGGGAGGTGTGAAGCTCGAGCCGGCCGGCCAGCGGCAGTCCGCAGCCGGCTGAGCGGACTCCCCGACACGGAACACTGTCTTTCCTTGTCCCTCACCCATATGACTGTGTGAGTGCGAGAGAGATAGACACACTGCCCGTCGGTTGACACGCTTGACAGCAGCGAGACGAGCGGCGACGAGCCAGCCACCGACGCCGGCCCAGGGCGTCGCTCGGCGAACGCCGAACATCGTTCGGCACCGGCCCACCCGGGGCCGGGCACCGAGCAGCCGGGGCCGGATCCGGCCCGCGGGCCGCCACTCTGAGACCCCTGGTCTATAGTATAAACTAATAAAAAAAAAGTTGCGATTTTTTATCATTTTGGAGTGGTGTCCCCCCTTAAGAGATCGGAAAATGCCGTCTCTAGAGGATGTCCTCGCCTGAGCCGAGGGACGCAAAGGCCAACCCCCCACCCCCTGACCTTCCTAGTCTTTAGCGCACAGCAACTGTATCGACTTTCTTCTTAATGAAACTCCAACAAAAGACGACCAAGTAACGAAATCCAGCAGGTGCCATCTCATTTCAAATCTATTTTATATTAAAAAATTGTCATAAATATGTACATCTAAAAAAAAAGTTTTAAAAAAGGTGTGAACACAAATAGTGTAAACTGTGGTCAATAAAATGGTTTGCTGGGAGTGGCGGTCATTCCAGCGCTCGGAGGTTGGAGGGTCCGGCTTGGCGGTGGCGTCTGTCGGACCCTACTCGTCGTCGGGGTCGTGGAGGTTCTCGGCGGACGGGACGGGCGTGCGCACGGGCTGCGGCCGGGACATCATTTTCTGCTGGCTGCGCAAGTTTGCGGGTTAGAGCCGACACTACAGAGACAAGGACACGGCACTGGTTGCTCGTGGTGCGCACCTGGGGGGAGAGTACTCGCCGCGCGCTCTCCGCTTCTTGTTGTTGTCGAACAGCTTGTAGGCGATGAAGGCCAGGATGCCCAGGATGGGGCCGATGATGCCCAGCACGATGCCGAAGGTGACGCCCACGTTTTTAGACGAGTACTCCTGGGAACCTGCGGTGGAAAAAATGTTTTGTGGTGGCTGCAGCGACCTGCCTGCTGTGGAATGGAAACTCTTCCAGGGGTTGGTGTTTCGTGTGTAGTAGAGGCAGTGGCGTTGGGTGGGAAGGGATAAGTCTGGAAAAATTTCCATTCCACCAATGATGGTATCAGAAAAAAACTGAAATGAGTTTGGTACATTGTCCCTTTTGAAACACCAAGTGCAACGAGCCCCTAGCCAGCCTAGTAGTCATCATTAGATTCGGAATAGAAATTTTTCCATCATTATGAAAAAGACAAAGGAAGACTTTTCCCTTTTTATTTAAAAATAAAGAAAACAAGAACATATTTACACGGTGGACGCTATGTCATGGTTGAGGTCCATCGCAAACGTCAGCAATGCTGGTTCGCTGACGTGAGCGTAAGCTGCGTCAAGATCCACTACGTATAGTACAACTCGATGAATGGTTTAACGTTTCTATTTTCTTAGACGAAGGATGAATGATGATGAAACCTCATAGAAAATGACACTTTCAATTCAGAATATCAAAATGGAAATGACACGGCACTAATGAATGAACTCAGTTCTGTTGGAATATAACGCCCTACACTCCCAATTTCCCACTGAGAAATGCCGTGCAGTCATAATACTGAGCTGATTCTCAGCACTTTACGACACAAATCTGTCATAATACAGAGAAATTTGTTCGTAATATGAAGAAATTGGCCATGAGTTACTGAGCACCTTTCACCGTAGGTGACTACCTTTGCTGCGCAGTCATGATAATTGTTCGTAAGAAGAGAAAGCTCAGTAGGTTACTGGGAGTGTAGCTAGTAAGTCTGCTAGAAGATGTCCGTCTGCACGCTGCCACTCTTGTCGCTGGGGTTGGTGGGCGAGGATGGCGGTGACTCCAGCACCGACTCGTCCAAGTCCCACGCCTTGTCCTCGAACTCTATGTTTGGCTTTCCGGGCAGGGGCTCGTTGGTGTGGTAAACGCCATCGTACTTGGTCGGCAGTTTCTGGGGGCGAACCGAGTCCGTGGGGGACGGGGTGGCCGACGGGGTGGCCGACGCCCCCAGCAGTGGGGGTGCGGCCGCGACGCCCAGGTCGCTGGGGGAACTGTCGACGCCGACGCCGCGTCGGTACTGGCCGGCGCCGAAGCCCGAGTCGGCGTCGAAGTCGGTCGGCGAGGCCTTGCCCTTGTCCAGCAGCGTGGCGGCGGCCGGCGTCTTGGCCGAGCGCGGCCTGAACGAGCGCCGGAACGAGCCGGCGTCGAACTTCCAGGACGACGCCGACCCCTCGCTGCGCCGCGTGCGCACGTAGCGCGTGTAGGCCACCAGGATTGGGATAAGGAGGGGGAGCATGACGATGAGGATGACGCCTATCGTGACCCAGGACTGCTGCGACTCGTACTCCACCATGCCTGTAGTGGGCAACAGGGTTAGCGCCGGTGAGCACACTGTTCGCCTCTCGCTCAGCCTTTTCAATAAATCACGACGGAGTTGCAACAACAATTTAAACTGTACTGAGGAAGTTTGTCCCACTCCCCTTCTTTACCTCCTCGTCTCTCGAGTAGAAGATACTTGAGCCTTAGTTTTCCAAGCAATGCGAGCAGGAGACCCCCGTTTGTTTTCCTGTTCCGTTCAAGAGCGCTTACGGCTTAAAAGAGATTACTCTTCTCCCACGCCGCTCCGTGACCCTAAGCAGGGCTCGGAACAAAACACACACAAGACCACAGCTTCCTGAGCTCTACAGTCCTCACAAAAAGAGACTCGATTCTGACACATGGCGTGCCAACGGAACTGGGAATCCATTGGAGCATGTGTTTGATGCAATTGGTGCGTGGGGACACCAGAGCTCAAAGCCTGCCCTAATGTGTGGCCTTGCAAACAGGCCTTCTGACCCACTGTGTGCCCACTGTGAGCCCACTGTGTGCCACCGACCGAACACTTCCTCTTCCCTCTTTTCTCTGTGGTTCCGTCCGGTCTGTTTGCACAGGCGGGCCACTCCCATCATAGCTGCATGAGAGGAGATGAATATTTGAGAAAAGAAAAGCTTACGCAAGCACTCGGTGTAGCCGTAGTCCGGAATGTCCCAGCGCCCCTCTGGCAGGCAGGTCCGCCTCTGGTCGCCGACGAGCACGAAGTTCTGGTTGCACTCGAAGACCACCTTGGTGCCGGGCACGAACAGGAACGTGCTCTTGCGCCCGAAGCGGGGCGTCTCCAAGATGCCGCAGGACACGACTGAAAAAGTGCGCCATGTTACCGCTTCTAGGAAAGGACTCTCTCTGCCTCGCAACACTTTGGACTATCGGCTTACTCCTTCTGTGGTGGATGGTCTTGAGGTTGACGACGGCGGCGTGGTAGTTGAGCGTGTAGAACGCGGCGTCCCGGTTGAGCGTCACGGAGTAGTCGTACATGCAAGGGTAAGAGTCACCGCAGAGCGCGTGCGCCATCTCGATGTCCTTTGATCTGGGAATACGAGACGCAAAGGAGGTTGCTTCTCCGCCCTCTTACCACTCGTTTCCAGGAAAGGGTGTAGGGGACTCACCTGTTGGCTGGGATGATCTCCTCTGGCGTGGCCCGAAACTCCGGCACGAAGGACCTGTTGGCGTAGTAGCTAGACAGCCGGCCGTTCTCACGCAAGAAAAGCGCCGCGCCCTTGTTGGGATCATCCTTGTCCTCCAGCATCCCTGTTGGCGGAGAGCGTCGCTTATAGTTTAGTTGGTACAAGTACCCGTCCGAGCGGCGTGGCCGGGCGTGGCGGCAGCTGGCTCACATTTTAAGGCGAAGTCCCTGTGGACCCGCTCGAAGCTGTTGAGGTTGTTGGTGACGGGGGCCAGCGTGTTGTCCGGCAGCACGAAGTCGTCCGTCATGTCGAAGCTCCAGTTCCCGAACAGGCCTTTCGTTTGGTTCTGCGATTCACGAGGAGTTGCTTAGCGAAGGAATGGCTAGAAACACCGCGCAGTCACTCTGGTTGGCGACTTACGATGTAGGTCCAGGGCAAGTACACCCGCCCCGACATGTACCCGTTGCTCTCCACCACCTCGACGCCGACGCCCGAGGCGAACATCATGAGCACCTCGGACTGGTTCAGGATGTACGGGGGCGTGTACACAGTCACACCTGCAACCAGTATTTCCCCATAAGTGTCATGGCGCTGAGACTTGGACCGTCAGCGGTCTGCATCCCGTGCTGCCTGAGCCTGACGGGCTGAGCCTGCGGACTGACGGGCCTTACCCTGGAAGTGCTGAACTCTGAGAGACTGGCGGTCGAAGAAGACCCTCTTCTTGTCGGCGAAGACGTCGAGGCGGTATCGCCACTGTGCCTGCGGGGGCCGCAGGCGGACCTCGATGATGGTGGAGGAGTTGTCCTGGGCTGCAAAAGTGGCAGTGTCATTGTGTTGCCGGAATGGCCTGCCCGCCCCGAAGCAGCGGCAGCGCATTCCCAATTTCGTTTCGCGTGTTTATTTATGCCACGGGTTCGACGAAGCCAATTATGTGCGCGGCTGCGCGGCTGCGAAACTGAATAATGGAAAATGCATAGCATGCTAACGAGCCGCGCGCGTGCGCGACGTGGCGTACGACGACGTGGCGCACGACGTACCGGCCAGCGAGGTGAGCTGCGTGGCGCGCACCGGGCCGTACAGGTTGCTGGGCATCTGCTCGAAGCGGCCCTGCACGTCCAGCTTCTGCTTCTGGTTGTCGACGTGCACCAGCACGAACTCGCCCTTGCCGTTGAACGTGTACTGCAGGTTGTCGAACGTCACCACGTGCGGGTCACCAAACACGGCGGCTGCAAACAATAATGGTGCAATCACAGAAAGTTGAATGGCGAGACTGATGGCCAAAATTTTATGAGACAAAAAATGTCTCGCCATTCTGTGGCGAGAAACAAAAGTCTCACCATTTTTTTGGTGAGAAACAAAAGTCTCACCATTTTTTGGCGAGAGACAAATGTTTCGCCAAAAGTTGGCAATACTAATTGACTGGAATATATTTCCCGGTATCCAATAGAGTGGGGTTAATTATTGCCATATTTTGGCGAGACACTTGTTTCTCGCCAAAAAATGGCGAGACTTTTGTTTCTCGCCATAAAATGGTGAGACTTTTGTTCCTGGCCAAAGAATGGCGAGACTTTGTTTCTTTCCCCTAGAATGGAATGATTCCCGTCCTTTGACTTTTCAGTGATCAGAACAATGGTGCAATCGGGGGCAGCGCGAGGCCTGGCGAGGCTTTCCACTAGTGATTGGATCTGAATCGGAATTGGCGCCACCCACCCACTTCCGGCGGCTGGTAGGACACGCAGTCCTGCGTGGGCCGTCGCTCGAAGCGAAAAGTCTCGCAGCCCACGGCCTGCTCGTCCTGCCACAGGCAGCAGTGGTAGAATGGGATCATGTCGTTGTACCACTGCGAGAGCGTGGGCACCTGCAAAGAGACAGCGGGATCAGAGGTATTAGTGGGAATTATTCAGCGGGCTCGGGCCGCTCACGCCCCGCCCGCCCCACACCCGCCCGACGTGTGGAAATAGAGGGGTGGGTCGACACGAAATGGCCAGGCGTTTTTTCCTTTCCTGTGATTGCTTTGGTTAGCTCGGTGAGTGCTCCACTAACCTTGTTGGCCTCGTTCCATGGCAGCACACCCAGGTTGTGCGACCGGTACGGCCTGGAACCCCACATCTGGTCGTACGACATCATGAGGTAGTTGTTCTTGTCGTAGCAGCACTGCTGGCCCGCGCCCTGCTGGCTGGCCGAGCCCGTGCGCACGCAGTGCACCGCGCCCTTGTGGTAGAAGCACTCGGGGTTGGCGATGCGGTCGCAGTCGAAGTCGGGCAGGAAGCGGCCCTTGTCGGCCAGGGCCTGGTCCAGCGTGCACGGGCACTGCGCCACCTCGGCGGCGAAGTTCTTCTTGTAGCGGTCGTCCATGAGCCAGTTGTTGCACAGCTCCTCGGGCCACGCCGTGCCGTAGAGCCGCTCCCACTGCGGCCCGAAGTACCAGCCCAGCGGGATGGGTTTGCTCCACAGTGTGCTGCCGACAGGGGCGAACTCCATTAGCGGATCTCATCAGAGCCAGCCTCCCACATGCCGGTTACTTTGCTCGAGGGAAAGTTTCGCGCGAGTCCGAAGCCACGCGCCGAATGCCCCGTGCACGCCCGCGCACCTTCTGCTCAACTTCATTCACTCTTAGGAGGATGCTTTCGCTTTCGCCCAGCTCGCTCCAAAACAACTAGTTGAAACATTTAATAGAATTTTTCTGCATTAGAGCTTCAAAGAATTGAGTTTATAATGCAAACCAAATTTGTTCGCATTACGACCTAAACTCTCCGCAAACTTACCATGCAGTCGAATCCTTCGCCATATTTGCACGAGTGCTTCAGTGGTTTAAGTGTCTCATTATAATTTATGTTTTTTTATCATCCTGGTTCGTCTCTTAGACCTCGCGGCCCGCGGGCACACAGCATGTCGTACTCACGGGGAAACGGAGAGGCCGGAGTACTGCGTGGGGTTGACGAGGCTGATTTGGATGAAGCCGAAGTGCATGTTGGTCATGTTGAGGTTGTTGCGCTGCCGGTACGCCGCTGGGGACAGGCTGTACGAGCCCGTGTTCTGCACCCCCTCCTGCAACGCGTCGCACAGCGTCGCAGTCAGTCGCGCTCTCACTCCACGCGTGGCGGGGGTGGGGCAAAATTATTCATCTCGCAAATAGCCTCCGCCTCCGCCTCGACAAAATCACCTCCAAGGTGTCGGAGTCATAGTTCCAGAACATGTCTCATCTTTTCTCATTCTTTGCGTCGTTTGTCTTTCGTCGTCTGTCGTTTGTTCGTAACCTGTTATGACTCGTCTTGGCGGTGTGTTGTCGTTGTCTCGGGCTCATTCAAATGCCTGCCACGTGGCCAGGCTAGCCAAACCATTTACTTTATTTTTTGCCAGAGCTGATGCGCCTCGCTGACATGTTCGTCCGCGCCCCTCGACGAGTGGCCTGTGCGTGACAGTACAACGCCTGCCGGCCTGTTCGTCTGCGCAGCCCCCCCCCCCTCCTGGTTGCGCCACTGTGGCGCGGCGCCTCGCATTGTGCAAGCGCCGTCAGCGTGATTGGCGTGGAAGCCCCGCACTGCCCCGCGCCCTGGACACCCACCTCGAGGACGTCGATGAGCTTGAGCTCGGGGTGGATGGTGGGCTCGCGGTAGCCGTACAGCGAGATGCGGATGGCGGCCGCCGTGTTGGCCGTCAAGTTGTACGCGTTCCAGCTGAACTTGATCTCGGCCGGGCTGCGCTCGTGCACCGCGCGCGTCTCGAAGGTGATGCGCTCGGTGGCCATGGCCGGCGTCTCTGCGGACGGAGGGAAGGGCAGTGCGATGAGGCGCGACCGCGCGAGGTCGACAGGGCTTCGAGCGAGCATCACTCGTGTAGCCAGAGTGTCAGAAACCTGTCTGAAAACGTGATCAAAATTCGCGCACCTCTGAAAGCTGAAAACGTCTTCTGACATACCCTAGAACTCAGGATATCAATATCAGAGCAAGTTATCAGAATTTCCGCTTTCAGAGGCGCGCGAATTTTTGATCAGGATTTCAGACATGTCTCTGACATTCTGACAAAATTTACTCGAGTGATGCATGCGGGTGGCGGTCGCGCGTGCTTACCGACGAAGAACTTGCCCTTCCAGTTGAAGCGCGCTTCCGGGATGGAGATCTCGAAGCGCACGTACCCGTCGGCGTACAGCCTGGGCTGCACGCAGATGGCGCGGTTGGTGTCCACCACGGTGCCCACCACGTCCTCGTCGTCGAAGCGGCACAGCACCTTCTGGCCGGGCACGAAGCACGGACCCGTGATGTTGACCACCGTGCCGCCCAGCATGTTGCCGCTCTCCGGGGCGAACGTGAGCGCCATGGTGGCGCCGGCTGGCGAGCAGAGAGAGAGAGAGGAGTGAGTGAGAGAGAGTTAGCAGCCCGCTGCTGGTGGCACCGTTGGCACGTGGAGCGCCCGCCAGCGGCGGGGTAGGCCAGCCCGCCGCACGTCCCTGCCGGCGTCGTGCCTGATGCTGGCTGAAATTTAATACTGTTGTAGTGCCAGCCAACGCACAGTGGCTGCACCAGGTTAAAAGGAGGTAATTCTTTGCGCGCTTTGGCACCCCCCCCCCTCAAGTGGGACTCGCGTCAGACACACATGATGACAAAGGCTATGACGCATTTTACTCGAGTCCTGTTTTAGGACCGCTGTAGCTCAAAACTCTGCGCCCAATCTTCCTCACTCTCGTGCGCTTTCGCACTGTGAGAAAAAAGTACGGAAAAAGTTCGGAACATGTCTGGTCAGTAATTTGCCTGGACCGTCCGTAGTTGCCAACTACGGAACGTTCCGTACTCTTTTTTCCGTACCCATTTACATGGGTTCATATGGAGCAAGTACGGAACGTTCTGTACCTTTCTCCGTACGTCCGTACTATGTTTTTCTGTACAAAAGTACGGAATTTTTTACAGTGCGGTCTCCACATACCCATGTCCTTGTTACAGTTGCCATTGAGGATGTTCTCGTCTATCCGGAAGATGTGTCGACCCGGGAAGCCGTTGACCCAGCCTCTGCTGGCCAAGTCCCGCACCGTCGTGAACTGCGAGTAGGGGTTGTACTCCCACGACCGCGTGCCGTTGCCCGCGTTGAAGCCCACCTGGCAAGGCGAGGACGTTCATTTTCGCTTCACCTTCTAATGCATAAAGCATCCCTTGAGACTGTACTCACGAAAGCAGGGGTGCCCCCCTCGCCGGAGGTGGTGTCGCCGCTGGCCTCGGTGTGTGTGGTCCACTGGATGTTGAGGTAGTTGAAGATGGCGTACGTGTACACCTCGTCCGTGGCCAGCACCATTTGGAACGTGTTGGTCTGCGAAACGAAATGGGGATGGTCACCTCAGCACTGAAATCGAAAGTGTGGTGAAGTTACCACATTTGGCTGTGGTGAGACCAAAAGTGTGGTTGCCGCATTCTACCACACGTACAAATGTGGTAAGAATTACACCCCTTCAAATAAGTGGTGTACAATCCTATAATTTAACCGTTACCTCATGTATTGCGTGGTCAAGACCACCCTTTTATGAGGTATGGAGGACTGACCACATATTTGCTGTGGTATTCACCGTGAATTTTATGTGGTACTTTGCTGACCACTGATTTTTAGGGGTATTGACCGCATTTCCACGTGTGGTAAATTTGGGTAACCACAGTTTTGCGCCTACCACACATTACCTGTAGGCTGTACCACACTTCGAAGGACAGTGAGATAGGGTCCTACATTCGATCCCCCTACCTCTGCGAGACGATTAAATGGCATGCGGGGCCAGGGGGCTGCGTTGTGGCGGTGGACGAAGACGCGGCGTGGCACGGCCAGGCTAGGCACGGCCAGGCACGGTCGAACGGGCTCCGCGCCGCTCCGCGCGCTGTTTTCCTCCGGCAAACATGCTTCCCCCGCCACCCACGCCGCGGCGACGCCCCGGCGACCCTTAACGTACCTTGTACAAAGAGTTGTCGATGCCGCCGGCGAAGGACATGTTCTTCCAAGTGGCGATGACGGCGTGCTTGGGCACGAACGTGTCGGCCCCCACGATGCCCTCGCGGACGTCCCACATGAGCCTCTCGCGCATCATGACGCCGAACTGGTCCGTGCGGAACTGGGGTAGACAAGCGTAACGTTGACCGTTTGTCTAGTGACTATTTGCTTTGCATGCATGAGCTGCTGGTTCGTTCCGCACCTGTAGGTCGCGCTCCAGGCGAAAGTACACGCCGGGGATGCGCTGGTCCAGCTCCTCCACGCGGATGGAGCCGATGCGGCACTTGCTGAAGAAGATGCCGATGAAGCTGGGGTCGTTGCGCGCCGGCCACTCCTTGATCGGGAACGACAGCGGGTACGTGTAGTGCTCCGGAGGGTCGGAGAACTCGAGGTATCCGTTCATGGACAGCTGTCGAATGGAAGGATCTTGTTAGACAAGGGTCGAACAGGGCCGCTGAAGGCCAGCTTCGGCGGACAAAACTCCGGCTTCCACTCTCATTCCAGGAACGTGACATCACGTTGAAACGAACGTGACAAAATGTCACGTTCGTTTGAGCGTTATGTCACGTTCGTTTGAGCGTTGTGTCACGTTCGTTTGAGCGTTGTGTCACGTTCGTTTCAACGTGATGTTACGTTCCTGGAATGAGAGTGCCGTTTTTGCCTGGAAGAAAAATCAATTAACAGTAAAGTAATGGGAAAACAGTGGCTGGACCATAAACAAGCACGCATGGTGGGGGTCAGGGGGCGCATTGCTTTTACTCTTTTATGATCGCACTGAAAACAAAAGATTGGTATGCCCAAACCGCGAAAAGGCCTTTTTGCGTCTTTTTGCATGTTTGGGTACGCGCCTGGGCTGAAACTAGCTCGCGCCGCAGCGCGGGTCGGAGCGAATAGAATGAGTTTAGTTTCGCGACACGCACCCTGGTGTAGTTGAAACGGAAGCCGTAGAAGGGCAGCTGGAAGTTGAGGTTCTTGTGCAGCTGCGGCATGGACGAGTGGATGTCCTTCTGGTAGTCGCCGCCGCCGTCGTCGCCACACTTGTCGAAGTACCAGTACATGAACTTGCTGCGGATCTGGCGCAGCTGGTCCGGTGTGAGGGTGAAGCCGGCCACGCCGCCCTGGGGGTTCTGCGACGTGCTGCGGTAGGAAGGCGGCCCGCACCGCCCGTTGGCCAGCTCGTCTGCAAGCACAAGTCCGGATTCAAGCACACTCTAAATGTCTTACAATGAAATTTGACCTATGTTATTCGTATGTTACAGTGAAATCGGCGCAAGCATAATACGAAGCAATATTCCTCCGTAATACGAATCTTTTTAGCTTTTTCATTGTAACATACAAAGAAAAAACCTTCGTAATACGAAGAAAAACCACCTTCGTATTATGCTTGCGCCATTTCCTTCGTACTATGGGAAATTTATTCGTAAGACATTTAGAGTGCAGGCTCGTTCTGTGCCGTGGCTCTCCATCCCGAGTTCGGGAGGCCGTAGCGGTGGTGCAGCTCAACCGGTTGTCGTAGTTGGGCCGGATGTTTAGATTGTACTTCATGACTAATAAACACAAATGGAAGTTTGTGTTTGTTTTGATGTGACAGTCCTCACCCCTCTGGCAGAAAACACGGTTCGTCAAACTGTTCTTGAATTATGAGAACTGAGCATTGCACACAGACTCCTATTACCGAGAAGAAAGGAACTCAACTTGAGCGTTAATTTCATCTCATGACGCAACGTGCAAGGATGCGCGGCGCGCCAGCTATTCCCGGGACGGAAGTCCTGTCACTGAAAAGTTTGATAACGGCGGCGCTGGGCGCGGCTGCGACGGGGCGGGGCAGCCGTGACGTCATCGCACGGTCCGCCGTGAGGCCCGACTCGGCTAGTACTTCCATCGCCGTTGTTCCCAGCTCTCGATGCTAGGAGCCAGCGCACTGAATGAAATGGCATTGTGCGACGCGGCTCATCGCCACTCCGCACTGAATGAAATGGCATTGTGCGACGCGGCTCCTCGCCACTCATACATTTTCCACCGCTCGCTTGTGCGTTCGAGAGAGCGCGGCCGGTCCCCAAGCGGGCCTCAGCCTGGCCTCAGCCACGGTACTCACCCAGGTCCACCTGCCCGTAGGACGGCCCCAAGTCGGCGCCGGGGTCGTAGCCCTCCACCCTGGCGCCCACGTTGCCCCAGTAGTAGCGGTAGTCCAGTTCTTCTCGGTCGCGCTGCTTGCCGCCGAGCCCCTGCCGCCCCTGGCCGCCCTGGCCCGGGCCGCCCCTCTGGCCGAAGCGCAGCTGCGCGAGGGGCGCCTTGGAGGTGGCCTGGGCCTTGGCCTGGGCCTGCACGCCGGCCGGCAGCACCACGCCCAGGAAGCGCTCGCGCTCGTCGTTCCTGGTGGCCGCCACCTTGGCCACCACCTTGGCCGGCTTCTTGTCCTGCGCGGGCTCGGCGGGCACCATCATGGCCGCCGCCTCCGAGTCCTTGTTCTCCAGGGCGCCGGCGGCCGCCAGCAGCAGCGCCAGCACCGCCAGCGTCCGCCACGCGGTCGCCGTCATGCTCTTGCTGTCCATCACTACACACGCATCACCGCGAGCAGCACTCGGTGGTTGGCAGTCACTGTTCACTTTCACTGTCGTGGCACTCCTGGTCCTCGTTGCTCGTCGCGCGCGTGCACCTGTCGCTGCGAGCGACACCTCGGCGTGTGCGGTGCGTGGCGGCACCACTGTGCCGTCCCGGGCCGCCCCGTCCAGGGCCGCCCCGTCCAGGCGAGACCGCGGAGATAAGGGCAGATAGTGGCGATAGCACCGCGTACTGATAGCGAGCGCCTCACCAGCCAAGCTCGGCCCGGCCGCACCCACGCCCGGCCACGCCACGCCCAGGCAGCGCTTCGCTGGGCGCGCTCGGCGCGCTCGGCGTGTGTAACCCGATCGTGTTTTCAGCGCTGCCCTGGCGGCGCGGCGCAGCCTTTGTTCTCGCAGCCCCGTGCCGGGCCACGCGAGCTGCGCCATCCTAAACGCCACTCGCATGCGGTAATGAGCTTTAACTCAACTTTCTAACTGAATAGACTATTCTAGTCGTCGTTGACTGAAGAACAAGAAGAATCACAAAACCGGAAATAGAGTAGATGGGGAGTTGGTAAGTGAGTCTGGTTTAAGGGAGTAATATGGACAAATATATTTCTTTCCTTTGCCAAAAAGCATCTGACACAAGCTAAATTGATTTTAAAAGCGTGTCGAATCGAAAGACTTCTTAAATGATGTGCTCGGACGGGTGAGTGAGGTTAAGTTGCCGGCGCCATTTCCGGTTTTGTGATTCTTCTTGTTCTTTAGTCGACGACGACTAGAATAGTCTATTGTGTTCCAACGAAAATACGCTCGTGAGAGGAAAATGGCGATGGGGCGCGTCGTAATCGGATGAGGCATTCCATTCCTGCGGTTCGCCGCCGCCGCGCCGCGCCGCGCCGAGGTGCAACGCTGCTATCTCTAATTTGGGTCTTCCGCGGTGCGTTGTCTCCGCCTTCCCGCCGCGCCCCGCCGCGCCGAGGTCTGAATCACGGGTACGACCGCGCCGGGGATACTCCGAAGCCACGGCGTGTCACGGCGTGTCACCCCCGCCCTTTCTCATCGCGGCTTATCGGTGTTGGGCCTGGCTGGCCTTTGGGACGTTTGGAACTTGGCAAGCTCGAGCGCCCCCCCCCCCCCCGGGTCCTGCCGCCACACCGCCGGGCCACCGCAGCAGCCCTGACCGCGCCCGGCAAAGTAAACAACGGGTGCTTTTATAGGATGATGGTCCGGGATGGCCTCAACCCTCAAAGTGAACCCCCCAGTCCTATCCGTCATCGCACAGTAAACACGTAGCCAAAATTAAAGACTTGAAAATCAAGCAGAGCGACAGCGGAAAAAAATGAGGCTCGGCACGGCGTAAACGATTTATATGCCCTTGGCACGGCCTGATTCGATTCGTGCACTTAAGAGGGGCGTGAATTGATTTAGAACTCCAAGGCAAAAGTTTATTGGCCTTCCAAAGTCATAACCTCATGACGCCCTTCAAGTGCGTGCGGAGGACCGTGATGGCCTCAAGGGCGTACAGTTTTCATGCCTTTGGTTTACCAGTGTAGGAGAGTATCGAGACTCGGCGCGGACCTCTTTATTCGTGAACGCGCTCGTTCCCTTTCGCCCCTTCGCTCGCCCCAGGCGAAATTGTTGATTGTTAAAGCTAACAGAAGCAGGGTGGGTGGCGCGGTAGGGAAAGGATGGCGAATGAAATTCCGACGAGCCAGTAAGGCGATACGCGCTCACAACATTCGCGGGCCGCTGTTTTCCCCCCCGTGGCGTCTGTCGCCTCGAGCTCGAGGACCGAGGCATGGCGAGGCACGGTATGGGCCGCGGCGCCGGGCGGCATTGCCGGCATTGCCTGGCATTCGCCGTATCAGTGTATCAGATAACGGAAACGCGCGGACGCGAAGCGCGAGGCCCTCATTTCACGCATTTCGGCTCCGGCTTCACCTTTCCCGGGAAGTTTCATCTTCATCGTGACCCGCTTTTGTTCTCGGCGGTTCTCGGAGTGAACTAGGGGGTAGAACGATGACGTCACCACCCGGACGCCGGCACGCCGGCTCGGTGAGGGGCGCAGCCGCGGGGATGGGCGGAATATGAATGTGCGGGTCAGAACTATGGCGGCAGGGTGACATCTCTGCTGTCAGGTTTGCCGCTGAGATATGCGACTGGGATGCCGCCAGCCGCAGCACGGTCGGGCGTGGCACGTCCTGGCCCGGCGTGGCGGGGCCACGGCGCCGCAGGCTGTGACCGAAAGTTAGCCGTCTCAATTAGCTTCTGGGTTTACTTTGGAGACGAGCTCCGGCACTCGCAACCCGGGCCTGATCTTCGCCCTCTGTCAATGTCAAATTAGCTATTGGCTCGGGTGCATCGCGGGCCTGCGGGCGCACACGCACACCCTTCGCCTGCACGCCACTGCCAGCACTGCGCCAGTGGCGTGCGCGGAAATTTTGAAAGGGGGTGGGGGGTTGTCAGGCCATGCTTTATGCCTACTTGCAGGGGGAAAGTGAAGCAATTTGCCTACCTTCCAGGCGGCTGTCTAGTGGCCAAACGGGGAGGGTCATGACCCCCCCCTCCCCCTTTTTTTGCGCACGCCACTGCACCTGGACTGGAAGCCCGGTAAGGTTTGGTTGTGTTTCAGCGAGGCAAGCCTCGGAGGGTCGACCCTACCATAAATGTGCCATCCGCGCCGCCGCCAGATAGATGGATAGATGGTCCGACCCGAAGGCGTCTTCGGGGTCGCCTGGCTCGCCTTCGGAGGCTCCTTCGGCTACGAGGCCGGCGGCTGCCTGGAGCGGTCGGACCCGAAGACGCCCGAAGTAGACCCGATTGGTCGGACCTGTGTGAGGCTCGTCTTGAGAAGGGTCGGGCGGGCCATTGACAATGGTGCATGCAGTCGGGCCCAGAGAGGCTGGTCAGGCCTCGGCACGCTGAGACAGCCCTCGCAGCCAGTCCCCCTTTAGATACTTTGTCCAGGCCACTGCACTGCGCGGGCGCGTCACCGCCCAGAGACACTCCACCGGAGAGCTCCACCGTGTCCGTGAGCCCTCGGCCTCCTCCAAAATGCAATCTTGTCCATCCTTTGAAGCGACTTTGAAGCAGTCCCACCCCGCCTGCAGTGCCTGCGCACGAGAACAACGCTTTGACTGCACCAGGATTCCAGGAACCCGGCGTCGACCTGCCTTTGAACATAAAACGCATTACGCCCGTTTGCATATTATGTACGTTTGTTTCAATGCAACAGCCAAGGGCTGATCCAGAGACGGGTTCAGCGGGGGGGCGATGTCGCAAAAGCTGCCTACCTACAGGGGCTAAGTGCGACAGAACCGCCGCACGTGTCTGGCCGGTCGAACTGAAGCAGACTTTGTGCGCACAGGGTGTGGACACGAATGCTGCATACTATTCTGGGGCTAATGTGACAAAATTGTAGGGCTCATGTGACAAAATTGTAAGGCTCCTTCTGATAGCATAATGCACAGTAAGTAGCCAGCAGAAGCATATTACCGAATAGCCTGCCCACGGCTCTTCGACGTGTAAGTAACGTGTAAACCCTCTCAGCGAGGCCCTGGCGAAACTAGACCGAACTAGACGCGCCGCTTTTGTCTGATTACCGCCCGTGGCGCTGTGGCTTATGCCCGAGGCGCAGACGGAGGCGGAACAGATGGAGGAGATGGAGGCGGCACCGACAGGCAGACAGGCGCAGCACGGCGCGGCGATACTCCACCAGAGGCCGCCTTCGGTGCCTCGGGGCCGCAGTCCGCCTGCGCGCGGTGTATTGGCTCGCCGCCCGCGGCGCGGCCCCTCGGCCCCTCGATCGCGCCACCAAGCCACCAATGCCTTGCCCCCTCCCCCGCCCTCTCCCTCTTTCCTATTTCGCCCGCCAAATGGCTGAATCGGATTTGGCTTTCCCCATCAAAGACCGAGATGTCAATCGACTTTGACTTGAATAGAGAGAGAGAGAGAGAGAGAGAGAGAGAGAGAGAGAGAGAGAGAGAGAGAGAGAGAGAGAGAGAGAGTGAGTTTGCTGGCGTGGTTTGAATTTTGAGTGGCGGGGGCAGGGCAGGGCACTTGATCGTGGCTGCTGACCTATGAGGCGGGCGAGCTGCTGGGCGTGGGACGTTCGATTTGTGCCTGCAGGCCTCGAGGCCCGTCCTGATTGGTCCTGATCCCCTGCGACTGAGTGGCTGGCTGCGCCTGCGACTCGCTTCTGGCGGCCGCTATCACGCAGTGACTCACGCCCACGCCCCGCCGCCGAGCCTGTGGCTACCTCGACCACCCGTGTGGAACGAAAGTCTGTAAAGTTGTCGTAGTTTTGTCGTTATTCTCACGATGAATTAACATCAAATACACTTCGTAACTACGACGAAATAACGTCAAACTGAGCGTCAAACGCGTTTGGCGTTAAACAGCAGGTAAATTTGAAGTTTTTTTGTCGTTAAAGTGGTCCGTTTTACGTCAAAAAAACTTCAAAATGACGGTGGTCCATGGAGCAGCGAGCCAAAACAGAAGCCTACCCGCCGAGTATCGAACCGAGACCCTAGCCCACCAACGCGTTGGAGGACAAGTGTCGGAGTTCGAAGCCGCTCGGCCAAAGCGACTTGTGGCGGTCGGAGTGCATCGACGCGAACTGCTTCGCCTCGCGCTTCCCGCTCTCGCATTTTGTCGCAGCAACTTAGAGCACTTGATCTAAGTAACGCTACTTGGGGTTTGAATCAGCTGGTGTTACATAACACATTCCAGCACGGTAAAAACGATTCCTGGTTTCCCATGAAACGTATGGTAAAGGGATTTCCAGGGAGTTCCTTGGATCAAGTGCTCTAAGTTGCTGCGACAAAATGCGAGAGCGGGAAGCGCGAGGCGAAGCAGTTCGCGTCGATGCACTCCGACCGCCACAAGTCGCTTTGGCCGAGCGGCTTCGAACTCCGACACTTGTCCTCCAACGCGTTGGTGGGCTAGGGTCTCGGTTCGATACTCGGCGAGTAGGTTTCTGTTTTGGCTCGCTGCTCCATGGACCACCGTCATTTTGAAGTTTTTTTGACGTAAAACGGACCACTTTAACGACAAAAAAACTTCAAATTTACCTGCTGTTTAACGCCAAACGCGTTTGACGCTCAGTTTGACGTTATTTCGTCGTAGTTACGAAGTGTATTTGATGTTAATTCATCGTGAGAATAACGACAAAACTACGACAACTTTACAGACTTTCGTTCCACACGGGCACGTGCGTAAATGCGGCCTTTCCAGTTCGCAGAGGAACCTTTGTTTCTCGGCTATTTGTTTTCGAAATGAGTCCTGGCAAGTTGGAGCAACCGACCGCGCTCTGCCGCGCTCCGCCGCACCCGGGCCTCTGCCTCTCTCCCACACTCGTGGGGCTCCCGGCCTCAGACGCGAGATTGACGGCCGCACTTCGGGGAACCGGCGGTGTGTACTTCAAAGCCCTCCAAGCCGACGGCAATGTACGCCACAGCGAAAACGGGAGCCTTTCTCCGCGAGGCGAGGCGCCACATGTATGAGCGCCACGCTCTGCAAACGCATGTGTGTTTAAGGGGGGACCCTGGTGAAACTTTCAAGTAGGCTTCAAAATAATCCCAGAAAGTTGAAACTTTGCTTAATTATTAGGTTCATTATGGTGAGTTCCCAAAACAAAATTCAATCCAAAATGTTGAACGGTCTCTGAGAAAAGTGGCTTTTTAGTGTTTTTTGGAGCGTTGGGGAAAAATCTTCCTGCGTCTTTCATTGGAACGGAAAGTCTTGAAAATTTTTTTGGGTTATCCTAAAGATGTATAGAAGAGATTTTAGTGACGGAATTATCAAATTTAACTTCTGTCCTGAGATATCAGTTTTCAAATTTTAACATTAAAAAAAAGTGATTTTTTTCCCTTTTTTCAAGCTTTTAGGTGTGTTTTAAAAAAAGTAGGGCTGATATCAAGATTCCGTCACTAAAATTTGTCGACAAGTCATCAATGAATAGAGTCCAAGCAAGACGACTCATGTAGGTGTCAACCAGGAACGCAGGAAGCCTTTCTACGACAAAATTTTTTGTCGACTGAGCAAAGCTGTGAAGTTGAGCGTAGAAGCCAACGACAACTGATCTCAATGTTATTTCCTTCCAAATGATAAAGAAACTACCCACTTAGCTTAAAAGTGTTCAACCTGTTGAATCTGAAACCTTCTATGCACATTTTTATCTATGAACTTTGGAAATACTATTTTTGTCCATTTTGGCGATTTTTTCACCAGGGTCCCCCCTTAATTAAGGTTTGAGGTTTAAGGACGGACGCTGAACAAACGGCTCTGTCAAGCATGAGCCTCTCACTTTTACTTAGTGAGGTTGATGGGCAACACAGATGGCCCTTAGTCCGCGTGCACACTTTAAAATGTACGCCTCCATGCACACTGTTTTAAAGTGTGTGCATGCAGGCACACTCTTTTAAACAGTGTGCCTGGAGGCACACAGTTTCTAACTCTGTGTCCAGAACCCGTGCAGTATCGCTCAGGCACGCAGTTCTAAAGTGTGTGCCTTGCAAGCACACTGTTTAAAAGAGTGCGTGCCTGCAGGCACAGACTTTAAAACAGTGTGCCTGTAGGTATACATTTTAAAGTGTGTGTGCCGTGCACACACTTGAGTTTGCAGTGCGTGTATGAAGTGCGCCGTGCGTGCGTGCGCGCGTCGTGAGTCGGTGGTCCGACAACAGTGTCGTGCGCGTGCCGCGTGCCGGGCGGCGGCTGGACAGCGTGACAGCGTCCACGAGGCGGCCGCTTCCGCCGGCGTCCGCGCGACCGGCCGACCGGCCGCACAGTGACGTCGTTCGGCAGGCGTGCTCCGGGGCAAGCGTCTGACGCCGAAAGTTTTAGATTGGATCTGTTGTCTGCTACGCACTGAACGCAGGAGGTGGTCCCGCTTTCGCGGCAGAGCCAGTACGTTATAACAAAGTACTTTGAGCACACATACCCAAAGAACACGAACACAGTGACGTCATTTTGATGTCAATATGACAAATTTTAGTCCAAATTTCGACAATAAAGCATTATTTTGACGTCATTTTGACGTCCTTTGACTGCTTCGTGAGTGTTTCGTGTTCTTTGGGTAAGCTTACGAAGAAAATACAAAATAAATAGTTCGCTCATTTGCTCGAAATACTTTGTAAGGCATTAAGCGTGTCTGGCGCGTCCCTGCGTGTGTAGACCACGTCATCGTCACTCAACGAGTGGTCTAACTAGTGGATGGCCGGTCCAGACTGCTGACTCGGAAGCCCGTAGCGCCTGCGAAGCCTACACGGCAACGGCGTGTGGTGGCGACATCGTCACAGCCACGAACGACGGCCGACGGCCTGGGCCTGAGCCCGACTGGCCACCGCTACGCCACGCCGGCCGCCCCATGTGCCGCCCGGCCCGCCGGATGGGTGCCAAGTGCCAACAAGTGTGTCCGGACGGTCCGGACGCGGCGAGAGTGGTGTAATCTCGCACGCCTCCTCGCGGGCCTCGCGGGCCTCGCGATGCGCACATGGACGCGCTGCGCACGGTGCCACCCACCATGACATGACCCCTCGCGCTGCCGGGCACTGCCGGGCTGCAGGCCGTTGGCGTTACCCGCGTTGCACCCGGCTCTGGAGCCGTGCGGAGCGGAGGCAGGCAGCCGGCACTGCGATGCGAGGCCGGCGAGGCCTGCGCACGGCACTAGGGCAGTCCCCCTCCCACGCCCCAGGCCCCGGCCCCTCGGCCCGCTCGATATAAGCGTCGCGGTGCAGACTGGTGGCAGTTCAGTCCGCTGTCCGTCTCCACCGAGTCCACCAAGACCCCGCCAACGCCCACTCCAGCCACCGCCATGCCGAACCCCTGCGACTGCTGCAAAAGTAAGTGGCGGTGAATCCATCAGCCCGCCGCGTGCCTTGGCTGTGCCCACGGCCGCGCCTCGGCCCTCCACCCACCACGCCACGAGCCACGTTCTCCACCCTCAGCGCACCGCTGTCCACCCACGTCCGCGTCGACCACGCCTTCACTGGCCTTCACTGGGCTTCACTGCGAAAGTGGATTTCCCGCTGTGTCCACTCCACCGGGGCCTGGCCTGGGGCGGAAACATGCAAAGCTTTATGAAGTGGGCACCGTCGACTGGTAGTACGCAAACACAATGGCGTTGTTGAGGTTTAATTCGTTTTACAGCCCCCCCCCCTTTCCCCCTGTTGCTTTTTCGTGGACGGCGGTTGTGTACGGCTCGACATGTTTGGGATCACCGAGACTAGAAACACCTGTGCACCTGTGTTGCCGAAGTGGGTCGGCGTCTCTAAGCCGCACTGCTTTGTTTGCAGAGGCCTGCCCTAAGGAGACGTGCCAGTGCAAGTGTGGCGAGAACTGCAACTGCGGCACCGACTGCAAGTGCTGCACGAAAACGGGAGGTAAGTGTCGACTCCAGTCCGAGTATAAGTACGGATCTGTGTGAACAAACCTGTGAAGTTTGGTGCATTAAAGAATGTGAGTCTCGAATTAAGTCTCTGCCTTCACTGGCCCTTTGGCCCACTCTGCTGGCGCACTGGAAACGGTATGTGACTTAAGTTCGCTTTGTGTTACAGATGCCAAGGGCTGCTGTTCCGGGAAGCAGTGCTCCGACAAAAAAGCGTGAGAAGGAAGAAGGGGCGCAGGATGGGCATCGCACTCGCATCCCGTCATTCGCATCAACTTCCATTTCCTATCAATAACCCATGCGTGCCATACGTGTCATGATGAGCCTGCTCTCTTGGCATTATCCATTTTTGTTTAGTTCCTGACAATAAAAATGTCAAAAATGCATTCTGCAATAGTTTGTCAGCTTCCCTCCCCCACACCACTGGTGTCACCCATGTGTTAAATAAAACAATTCCAACTTTCACACAAGTTTTCTATTTAAACACATTTTCAAAAATATGTACACATCCACATAATTACTCTACACATAATGTTAGTACAGATTTTAGTATGATACAAAAGCTGGAACATTATACAAAATATACAAGTTATAACCAGATCTCCTATATAATACAATTATCACTTTGGCTAGCGTTTATACATTGATAAAATTGGTTAGCTGCAAGCCAAGGCAATTTACATAATATCTAGCCATGTTGCTGTGGGGTAATTTTACAATACAATGTTATTACATAATCTAGAAGTTCAAAAACTTCTTTGAGACTCATAGTAACTATAAATTTTAAAGAGATGTCTAAATTGTGATGCTTGTTCAATTTTTTCCTTGATCATTTTTGAAAAAAGGAATAAACTATTTAATTATTGCCAACCCGCACTGAACACATCTTCTCCTAACTACTGACTTAGCACAACCTGATAAAATTGAAAAGGGAAGGAAATTTCCCCAAATCATATCAGGACTAAGAAAAGGGTACATCTTATATATTTTATAACGAATGCAAACTGGGGGTCTCTCAATAACTATATAAAAAAAATCAACTTTATGCATGTTCTCACAGCCAATCGACACATCCCCCCCAATTACTTAAAATATTTTGTTATGAATTCTGAAACTATCAGAAACTTAGTAACAAAACATGAAGTATACATGAAAAACAAAACATCATTCACATCCAACATATTTTCCACGAGACCTTGACTAATTATGAACACAGGGACTTCTATAGCATGGTTTCTGATAGTAATTAGTTTGAATAAGTCAGGTTGGCAATAAAGAAATTTTAGTCGTACAATAATAACATACTGTAAGAGCACTCATTGCTAAAACACAGATGACAACAGGAATTATCACAAAATAAGATTTAACACTCAAAATGTCAATATCACAAACATTTTTTCAACCAATACCTCAACCAAAATGAGGTTGGCATTTCAACAAGATGTCCATAAAATATAAATCAGCATCCCAGAATCCAAATTATGCGAGTTGTACTGTACGCCAAACTTTAATGAGCCTAGGCTAAAGATAACTTCAAAAACCACATGGACAAATTATAAGTACCCCCCTCCCTCCCCTCCCCCCCACAAAGACTAGGAAAGACATGCTAAATTTCATACATCTTCAATTAATAAAATGATCTAGGCAGATCTGTAGACTACCATCATACTGTAGCTTCATTTGACACACCAATGAATGTAAACCAGCCAAACACATTCCTAATATAACAGTCTTTTGAATTTATTTTAGTTTATTCTTGGCAATCTTCAGTAAATTATTCAATGTGGGGACAACAAGTAATTGAAGGTGTAATAAATGATTTGGTAAACCACTTTTTTAAATCGACAGCATGTCAAGTTAAGCAATTTTTTAAGTAGTGCTGTCTTTCCGTACACAAAATAAGGTATAATTTTTGACATAAATCCAGCCAGCTACAAATCCTTCAAATTTATTTATTTGCTGTCTAGGTTACTGACAGCAAAAAAACTCGTGCAGTAGAGGCTCAGTATATTGTAATGTGTATAAAGGATAACAGTGGGAGCCACAATTTGAGCTAATATCTTCCCATTTTGTTTTGAGAACTTTACGTAAAAAGACATTCTAAAAGTATTGAAAATTTCAATGAAGGCACTTTGATAAACTTACTAGTTAAAAAATTCTCCAAAAATAATTTGCATTACTGAACTCATGGTTTGAAAACAAAACCACACTCAAAACATCATTCTGCTTACACTTCGTGTAACATGCACTCCATAGGAGCCAGAACAAATACATATATCAGAAAGACATATCAATACTTCAAAGAAAGAAAAATCAAACCAAGTTTTTCTCTATAAAAATTTAGAAATCTGAAAACAAAGGTATGCCATTACAATAGTAAAATAAAAGATCAACCCCACTTTTAAGTGCTATGATTGAATAAACCTACAATTTAAATTCAAATTTTATCACAGAAGTATCCTTCTGCCTCCTCTCAAATTTTTTAAAAGAAATCATTGCCCCTGGAACCACTGCCTACAATGAACATTACATTAACTTTTCCTTCTGTTCGTTCATCTTGAAAATCAGTATGTGTTTCCTATTTCTATAAAATTAAATATCCAGGACCGTTTACTTACAGATGTACTAAGTGCAAATAGTGTGAAAATAGTGAGCAAATTGTAGTTACAGTAGATTCTTGATCAGTCAAACACTAAATCTTAGACAGGAATACAGATCGAAAGTTTGGATTTACAAAAGTTTCCACACATTTAAGGCTTTAGTAGAAAAAAATCTACCTACTATTAAAGAGAATTTAATGAGCATTCCTCAACAATTTTGAGCAAAATGCATTGTTACTTAAAATCAAAACCCCAGACCTCACGTTTTCACCCCTCACTGTCGAAAAGACACTACACGGCCCCCACAGCCCTTCAGCATCAAGGTCAATGCGATGAATGGCTAAAATGGATGTCTACAACATTTTCAGAACTTGTTCAGACCGATTTGTCATGTAAAAAATGAGACTCAAAGAACAAAAAGCAGCCTTTGGGTAGGACAAAGACTAAAACTTCTCAGTGAAACTACATTGCAACAGGAAAGCCAGTATACAAACATTCTACTCAAGAAGTATTCTTAAAACAACTGGAACATGCAAAGATGACAGGGTGTAGAAGTTAGGATTCCAGAGAATGGCCATTACTTCCAAAATCAAATCAAGTTTAAGACTTCTAAAACACACATCCATTCTGTTTCAGAGGCATCCTAAAAGCACAGTTGTAAATTAAAATTAATTTTCATACTTGGCACATTGCTTTTATCAGTTCTTCACATAAAAAGTATTCTGCATCTTAACACTAGTTAATGGGAGCTGTGTAGTGAGATTACACAAAGAGACCTTAAGAAGAATCATACAAGAAGAAGCCAAAAACACCAAGGGAATAGTGAAAACACATTATCATTTGAAACAAGGACTGTTATCATCACATAGAAACACAGAGAACAGAATGACAGTAAATCACAAGTCGCTTTAACACATATAAGGCATTCAACAATACTAAAACGAATGGCACATTAAAACAAGAGAATATTGGCACTCATCAATTTTAATGCTGGCATTCAGTTAAAATCAAATCTTTTGGACTACTGCCCTTTAAATTAAATGATGATAACAAGGAGAAAATACAGAATGCCAGCCTTGAAATTGGTAAATGCCACAGACAAATAATCCAGGGGCAACAGAGAAAGAGGCAGCAGCACTGCAATAGTAGCAGTGAGAGCAGTGGCAGCAGCACATACTTGCATAGCCCTAAAGGGTGCCTCCACAACTCTTAACAAATGCTCTAAGCTTTGCGACACATTTTGCATTTCTCTAAAATCCAGTGTGGCATAATCAAGCATGAGTTAAGCTTTGAGGAGGTCCCCTAACAGTCACAAAATAAAAACTAACAATCCACTAAACACGGCACATTGATCAATTTTTTGCTTAATTTATATCTTCTAGGAGGACACTACATCCCCACTAGTCGATCATCATACATAAACGGGGCTCTGATTGTCATTGTCGTCCACAGTAAGCTTCTGTGGCCAGCCCCCTTCATCAAAAAACCGCCGGAAAGTAAATTCAAAAAATCCATGGAACGGATGATTATCATTTTCTAATTGTTCGTCAGAGTCATCAGATGAATCTGATCTCAACCTTTCCGGTGCCACTGGGTCGAAGTTTGAGGTATCTGTAGAATGCTGAATACGGGGTTGATGAGGAGCTTTTTGTTTCCGTAAGCTTCCATCAAAGTTGATCGAGGCAAAGAATGGATGTTCTTTGATCTCATTTGCATTCTTTCCTATACGGCGATCAGAACTTGTACACAGCTTCAAGATCAAATCTGTGGCCTCTGGTGATAGATTGGCAGCCTTCGGAATATGAAGTGTCGTCTCCCAGTTAATAACCTGCAGCAAAATAGCATTGTTCTGACACTGGTTCCAAATTAAGACCAGTAATTAATAAGAGTAAATGTCATACCTTATATTGTGTTTCACCAGGAGTGTTGGCAAGGAAAGGAGGTGAACCGACTAGCATCTCATAGAGAATAACACCTACACTCCACCAATCACAGAGTTGAGTGTACCCTGTTCTCTGAAGGACCTCAGGTGCAATGTAGTTAGGTGTTCCAACAAGAGAATGTGCTAAGCAGCGCTGATGCTCACGTCTCCTTCGTCGTTCCAAGGGCTTCATAGGATTGCACCTACATTCTTTACCTAAGCTCCAATCATCAGGTATATCCATGGAGTCTTGCCTGGCATGATCTCCTGAAAGATAGGTGAGTGACCAAAGTTAGTCAAGTGAAATAAGGTAGGAGAAAAATACAACATTAGGTAACATAAGTCTCGGATTTGAATTGAACGAGAGAAAACCTACCATTTATTTGATAATATTTGGAATTGTGCGTCCACCTAAATCCTGTACATAGGCCAAAATCCGTAAGTTTCAGATGGCCATTTGAATCAATTAAAATATTGTCTGGTTTGATATCTCTATGGATAAAGTCCATCTTATGAACACTTTCTACAGCACAAGTGAGCTCTGCTATGTAAAACCGAGCAAGAGATTCCTTAAAAACTCCATATTTGCAGAGAAGTGACATTAAATCCCCTCCAGCAACATAATCCATAACAAAATACAAGTTATCCTTGTCCTGGAATCAACAAGAAAACAACCAATTGATTAAACATTTCAATTGAGTTTGAATAATGTTCTGAATTGAAGAAATTGGGCAAAATAACATACCTGAAATGAGTAATATAGTTTCACTACCCACTCATTATCAGCCTCGGCTAAAATATCACGCTCTGCTTTCACATGAGCAACCTGATTACGTTTGAGAACATCTGCTTTACGCAAAGTTTTCATCGCATATAGGTGCTTTGAATCCACTTTCTTCACAAGTGTCACCTCCCCAAATGCACCCACACCGATAGTCTGCAAGGCAAGGTTTATAAGTAGAACAATCAAAGTTATGAACTCATATAACGCAAGTAAGAAAATTTCTTACCTTTATTTTTGTGAACATGGATTTGTCCATCTTCGCTCGTCTCATGCGAATGTAGTTGGATTCCCTCTTGGAAAGCATCTTCCGCATGTGGAACTGAGCATCCCAACTAAGATCAGCCTTTTTCATCTCATTCTCCAGTTGTCTGATTCTGAACAGCCTGGCCTGACTGGACTTGAACAGATTCTCAATGTGCTGCTCCATGTAAAATTTGAAAGCCTGAGGGGAGTAGTTGCGAACCCTGCTGTCCCTTCGCTCTTCCTCCTTCTCTTTACTAAACTGTTTCCGTTCTGGGATGGGTGACTGGTGCTTGACTATGTGGTGCGGGCCTGGACTGGGCGCCGGCCTCCTGTCGCCATTCTGCATGCCGCACTTGTTGGTCACGGACGAGGAGGCGGTGGGTGGCAGGGGCGGGGTGGGGCCGTGGTCACCGTTGAGCAGCCGCGGCCCGTCCGTGGTGTCCCCGAGGCCGTCCTGGCGGTCCTGGCCGACAGGCAGCGGGTGCGGGGAGGAGTACTTGCGCTGCAGGATGGCACTGGCTGGCGAGGTTCGCGACTGCACCGCCTGCGCCCCGTGGTGGCTGGCGTGCGGCATGCCGTGGGGGTTGCCGTGGGGACTGGGGTGCGCATTGGCGTGGGGGTTGCCGTGCAGCATGCCGTGGGGGCTGCTGTGTGGGCTGGCGTGGTGGCTGCTGTGCGAGTTGTTATGGTGGCTGCTGTGCGGGTTGCTGTGGGGATTGTTATGGGTATTGCTATGCGGATTGTTATGAGGATTTCCATGGGAGTTGGCGTGCGGGCTGCCGTGGCCGCAAGGGTCGTCAGGACCGTACGGCGGCGGGCAGTGAGGGGGCAGCGGCCGCGAGGCTACGCCGCGCTGCACCGCCAGCACCTGCATGGTGGACGCGTAGCTGGGCGGCTCCGTGGTGGGCACAGTCACTGGCGATGCACTGGGGGCAGGAGATGGAGCAGGCGCCGGTGAGGGCGCGCCGGAAGGGGTGAGGGGCACTGGAGGCGGGGCGGGCGGCTTGCTGCAGTGCTGCTTCTGCTGGATCGACGAGGCGTACGACGGCGGAGGTGGCTGCACGCCGGTGCACGGCGAGGGGCTGGACGCCTGCTGCGCGGCCACGCCCACGGCCACGCCCACGGCCACGCCCACCGCCGCGGGGGCGGAGGTGGGCGTCGTGGCGGTGGCGGGCTGGGCGGGGGCGGTGGCCGTCTGCAGGATGGGCTTCTGCACCTGCGTACTCTTGACGGACTGCATGATGATCGGGGGCTGCGTCTTGGCCTGGCGCGCACCCCACGCCAGCATCGGCGTGGGCCGCGTCACCGAGGGCCCCGTCGGCGGCGTCACCGCGCCCCCGCACGCGCTCGACACCGTCACGGGGCTGGGCGAGCCGGCCGACGTGGGCCCCGAGTAGATGCCGGACGAGGGGCTCTTCCTGTAGTCCTGCGTCGGGCTCTGGCGGCTCTGGATGGACACCGAGTAGCTCGGCGGCGCCGACACCAAGCCGCAGGGGCCCGGCGACGACGGCACCAAGGGGTATGGCGGCGGCGGCTCGCCGGCCACACCCGTCTGGTACAGGGCCTGCATCTGCTGCGACAACTGCTGCTGCACCTGAGGCCCGTTCTGCAGGATCATGGGTTGGCGCCCTCCGCTGGGACTCGTGCCCCGTTGGGGCGGCGGCGGCAGCGCGGGCAGCGCGGGGAGGGCGCGGTCCACCTGGGGCGGCGGTGCGGCCGGGGACCGCGTCGGCACCTGCGACAAACAAGACCGTCAAACAGCGTCAAGCACAAGAGCAAAAGCAACACGTTGGCCTCCAGCAGCCTCGGTCCGGCCGTGGCTTTGGCAGGCAGCAGTACCCGATGAGTCACAATCAGAAATGCAGTTGGCCCCGCCTGCCCCGCCCCGCGCCCCGCCCACCTCACCCGACCCGCAGGCCAGCAGGGCGAGCAGGGCCGACGGCAGGGCGGCGGGGCAGCCCCTTTACTTCCGAATTCAATCATGCAGGTGACTCACCACGGGGGCGGGCGACATGCGCTTCAGAAGCTGCTGCACGTTGCTGGGGTAGGCCGCGTGGTGGGGCGGCGGCGGCGGGGGCGGCGTGGATCCGCTGCGGGGCGGCGGCGGCGGCGGCGGGCTGTACTGCCTCGTCATGGGCATGGGCATGGGGCACTGCAGGTCCATGAGGCGGGGGCTGTCCGACCGCGAGCTGCCCGCGCCGCTGTCCGCCTCCCCCGCGCGCTCCAGGCTCGGCTTGCGCATCAGCTTGAGCCCGTTCAGGCCCTTGCCGTTCAAGCCGTTCATCCCATTGAGCCCGTTGAGCCCGTTCAGGCCCACCCCGTTGACGGCCTCCAGCGTCGCCTGCTTCAGCTGCAACACACCAAACAACACGTCATGAAATGGGGGAACTGGGGTCCCACCAAGAGTCGCGCCGCGGAACCCCTGTCCGCCCTTCTCGCTGAGCGCTGTCGACGTCACGGCAGTCACGGCGGCGTGACGTCCATGCGTCAGCGCCTCAGCGCCCCAGCGCCCTGGGACTCCGGGACGAGCGCCGCACCTGTCCCGCCAGACTACTTTTCGTTTCTTTCCTTTCTTTTTTCGAGGGTAATAATCGCAATGGGCCGATCCGTGAGCTGGCTATGGCTGGAATGCCGCGGGTGGGGCGGCGGCGCGGCGCGTCAGAGCGGCACAGTCACAGTGCCGCGCACGCGGACACGGCATCGCCCAGGCATCGCCCAGGCATCGCCCAGGCATCGCCCAGGCATCTCCCACAATGCTCGCCGAGATAACGCGGCGGCGCGGCCAGCCCACAGTCCTACAGTGCACTGGAAAGTGTGACGTCACGTAGCCGTGTGCAGGCGTGCAGGCCCAGAGCCTTGCATTGGGATGGACCGGCGCGGCGCGGTAAGGCAGTGTGTAATGGAATGTCCGCCGAGGTCACGCTCGCCTGGCCGGCCTGGCCACGCCACGCCTTGTGGGCCTCGGGCCAGCCTAGGCCAGCCAGCCCGACCGGCTAGGCCCGGCACGGCACGGCACGGCACGGCCGGCTCTAGGCGCGCGGCCTGCACGCGGCGGGGCTATCCAGCCCAGTCCAGTCCCCGCCCGCTTTTCGGCCCTCCCGATGCGGTCGCGGTGTCGCGGTCAGCGCGGCGCGGTGTCATTGGGCGCGCCCTTTGTTTGCGACTGACTCATTGGCCCAGCCAGCGGGACGCGGCGTGGCGCCTGACACACTGGGAGCGGCCCTAGAACAGGGACCGACGCGCATGACAACGCCGTGGCGCTTTTACGTCACCACTCGGTGGCACACGCCCGCCGCCCGGCATCACTTGGTTGTGCAACACACCCGACGGTCATGGCGGTCAACAAGTGCAGCACGCGAATCACGAGCGGAGCGGTCAGAGGCGCGTCATTCAGACTGAAACGGTTCAATGAAAACAAATCGGGTTGCGAGTGTACAAGAGAGCACGCGGAGCACGTGGCTGAGGCCTCCTCTGCGAGGCGAAGAAAGGAAAGGACATCCACATCGTAACCACCTCGCCCGGCCCGGCCGGCGGCCTGGAATGTGCCAGCGAGGTGACGAGGCGCCTCTAGCATTCGCGCCAACCGTTTGCTCAATGTTTTAGCAAAGGCGCCGACGACGCCCTCGCTGCAAGTCGTCGCTTCCGGGAAGCCGCCTTGTCGAGCACGCGCACGCACGCACGCGCAGCACGCAGGGACGCGCCGGCGTGCGTACACGGCGTACGCGGACACGGCCGACGGCGTGGCGCGGCGCCGCGGCCAGCATATTCGAAATCGCGCCAAACCTCGCGACGCAAGGCCAGACGCGCGGCGGGCGAGGGGGGGCGAGGGGGGCGGAGGAGAGGGGGCGGGGCGGGGGGCGGGGGAAAGGAGGGGGAGAGCCACAGCGACGCGGTGGAAAGGGGAAAAGGGGGAGAGGGGCGCATTCCTACGGCTGGCTGGCTCAGCCTGGCTGGCAGGCACTGGCAGGACGGAGCGGGACCAGCCTCGTATTGGCCCACAAGGCCCCTACCCGCCAGGCCCCGCCAGCCTCGCCAGGCCCGTCTCCCTGCGTGTCACCTGCCTGCCTGCCTGCCCGCGCCCCCCGCGCCCCACGCCGCCGCGGCCCCGCGAGAGCCTCGAGCAGGCCGGGGCGAGTAGGGCGAGGCGGCGAGGCGCGCAAGACCCAAACACAAGCAGCACGCGGCACGGGGCACGCGGCACGCGGCGCCGCCCACTTCGCCAGAAAAGCGGTGACTCGTGAGGAAGCGCCACGGCAGCGCGCCGAACGCACCGAACGCGCCGGGCCGCCGGAAATTCCTCCTCGCCGCGCTTTGCTTGCTGCAGGCTGTACGACTCCGAGCATCACTCTGCCTTTGTCGCACTCGCAGGGCGTCACGGAGTGGTGCAAGAGAGAGTGACAAAAGCGCGCTCTTCGGACAAGGCCTCGCCGGGCGTTGCGCCTGCGCCGGCCGGCAGTGTAGGGTCTTTTCGGAGCGGCAACCTGTTGATTGGCCCCGCTCGCACGCAGCCCTCCGCGGAAAACGCCATGGCGTCGCGTCATCCAAACCCCCTTTCCTTCGACTCGGCTACCATTGCTGGCAGTCGGTTCGGTGCCGGCCGCCCGACAGCGGCCACACGTCGGGTACGCCAGGCGTGGCGTTACGGACGCATTGGGCGTTACGCAACCAATATTCGCAATCAATCTCTGCGAGCGCAGTGGACGCAGTGGACGCAGTGGGGCGACGTCCTCCAAGGCCGCCAGTAGTAAGCGCCGCACGAACTGGACACCCTCCCGGCGACAGGCTGGGGTGTGACCAAAGCAACACCCGACTCCGACGAGGGCTCGGTTCGTCAGCCGAGCGCGCCGGGGTCTTCGAGGGGGCCCGGCCTGGACCCACAGACAACATAGGGGGACCCACCACGCCGGTGACGTGCCGCGCGCTGTCGGGGGACTCCCTCAGGGATGGCGGGGCCACGGCAGGGAGAGGGAAGTTGCGTGGTTTATTTGAGAGCGCTTGGGCATCCACTGCTATTAACGTCCGCGCGCTATGCCAGGAATCTTAAACATCTCGCCGTCTCCGTCTCCGCTTGTGTGCCGGCAGGCCCTGCCCGCCCTGCCGTCCGCGCGTCGGTCTGCCGGGCCGCCCGTGCAGCGTGCCGTGCGCCGTGCGGTATGGCTGGTCCTGTAGAATCGCGGTGCCCCGGACCGACGCGCCGCGGAGGGGTGCCATCTGGCCGTCAGGTGCAGAGCTCGATGTACTTGATGTACTGCAACAGGGGCCTCCTTGCGGGCCTGCGGCACCGGACCGCGGGCCCCAGGCAGCACCAGGCAGCACCGCGAAGCGGGAAAGCGGAAGGGACGCGCTTTAGAGTCCCGGCCGTCCCGGCTGGCGGACGGGCCACCTCGGCCGGCCCTGCAGACTGCGGTTCCGAGAGGGAGGTCGCTCTCTCGCACTCGTTGAGCTCCCCGCGGGTGAGTGCGAGGGAGACAGACTGACGGGGCTTCCCTCTCGGCCTGCTGCTCCCTGCTACCGCCGTGCCGTGGGTGCGTGGAAGTTAACGAGTTCTCCCTCGGACCGGTCTGGCCAGGCTGGCGTGGCTGGCGTGGCTGGCGTGGCTGGCGTGGCTGGCGTGGCTGGCGTGGCTGGCGGGGCTGGCGTGGCTGGCGTGGCTGGCGTGGCTGGCGTGGCTGGCGTGGCTGGCGTGGCTGGCGTGGCTGGCGTGGCTGGCGTGGCTGGCGTGGCTGGCGTGGCTGGCGTGGCTGGCGTGGCTGGCGTGGCTGGCGTGGCTGGCGGGCTGGCGGGCTGGCGTGGCTGGCGTGGCTGGCGTGGCTGGCGTGGCTGGCGTGGCTGGCGTGGCTGGCGTGGCTGGCGTGGCTGGCGTGGCTGGCGTGGCTGGCGTGGCTGGCGTGGCTGGCGTGGCTGGCGTGGCTGGCGTGGCTGGCGTGGCTGGCGGCTGGCCGCGGCGTTGGCGGACCCGCTGGACTGGCCGCGGCTGGCGGTGGCGATGGCGGTGACGCGCGTGGCCAGCGCCAGCGTGCGCCAGCGCCCCGCTGATCGGCGTCCTCTCCTCGGCGCCGCGCCGCGTGCATAATGCAAGCTGGCAGGCAAGCCTTGGCCGCGCCGCGCCCGCTGCGCCGCGGCAGTTCGGCGGCCAGCCTGCTGCGTTTTGCCGCCTGCCGCGCAACCAGCCTGGCGTAGCCTGGCGGCCCGATGCGATCAGGACGGCCTAACGCATTCCAGCGCAAAGCCGCCCCCCCCCCCCCTTTCGCAAGGCCCCAAAGCGAGGCTCGGCCGGTGCCTCATGGATTCGAGGGGCGCGAGGCTTTCGCGAGGCACGGAAGGGACAACGGGAAGAGCACGCAACGTGCGCGCCGACGGCGTGTAAACAAGAAAAGCTATTGGGCCATCGACGCCGCCGTTCGGCACGCCGTCATCGCGGACGTCACCCCGCCGCGCATTCCTGGCACGACGACGCGACGCCACCAATTAGCAATGCCATCAAAATGCAAATGCCGACGGTTCGAGTCCCGGCGTCGGCGCCCCGCGCCCCGGCCGTAAACAATCCGAGCACTCGGACGCGGGGCGGGGCGCGGGGAAGGGGGGGGGCACCTCGTCGCCGGCCTAGCCGCCTAGCCCATTCACGGGCACGGTGCCTATCGGACGCCTGCCTGCCGCACGCCCGGCGCGCCGTGCGCCGCAAACAAGGCCGATCTCATCCGCGACGCCCACGACGCCGGGACGCTGCTGCAACGCGACGGCCGCGACGCCTCGTGCGACGCGGTCCGCGAGCGACATTCGTCATCGCCGTCGCAGCGCCGCCGCCTGCACACACACTGCATTACCGCATGCAGCCCGCTTGCATGCCAACATGCCAAGCGACTTGCAGCGGTGGCGCGAGCGGCAGCGTGGGAAACGAAACGCCAAGTATGCAGAAAACGCGCACAGGGCCAATAGGCAACTCGCACCGCGCACCACCGCGGGCCGTGAACTTGAAGCCGTTGGTCTTCTTACCTCGGCGTGCCCTGCGTGCCCTGCGTGCCCTGCGGCCCGGGCTGCACACTGATTCCACGGGGACCCCCCTCCCCCTCCCACTCACGGCCGCACTGCGCGGAATCCACTCACGCCTCTCCCCCACTGTAAGCGCGAGTTAGCCCCGCCTGCCCCGAGCACGTCAAATGCTGGCGAAAAGACGCGGTCCTGGAGGCATTCCAGCTTGTCCAGCTCGCCGTCGCAGACAGGTGGGCGGGGCAGGCGGCGGCCTAATCCCGACCGGGCAACTCGCTCGGCGTCCAGACTCCGGACGGGGCTTCGGCTTCGGCTCCACTCTGGAGGCTCCAGTGCACGCGGGGCGTCGCGGGCTTGTCCGGC